TCTGTCCAGCCTCCAGCGTTGTACTGGACACCATTCAACTGGATTTTGATTCAGAGAAGAATATCGAACAAAGAGTTCCGGCGTGTCACCAGCTGACCGCATTGTATTGCTCGCTTTCAATTGGCCCAGTGACACTTGATCCCGTCGAGGTCCAGGTCAAGACCCTCGGACAACACCCTTCCCGCAGCTGGTGACTTTCTATTGAACATACCGAAGACACATTGTCCAACCCTTCGCAGTTGCGCGCTTTCGCACGAGCGGATGTGTCGATCCTGTTTGTCAGGTCTGCCAGGGTCTTTGTGAGACGTTTCTAAGCTCGAACTTTCAGATTTACCATTGCCCACCCCAAGTCGGCATCGAGGACTGGCATACATCATGACGGGGAAAATGACCCTATATAAATTGGTGGTGCTGGGAGATGGCGGTGTCGGGAAAACGGCTTTGACCATTCAGGTTTGTTTGGACCGACCTCCTTGCGTTAACTGGATGCTAAATCCCCCTTACAGTTATGCCTGAACCATTTTGTTGAAACCTACGATCCTACCATTGAAGACTCTTATCGGAAACAAGTCATGATAGACCAACAGGCTTGTATGCTCGAAGTTCTCGATACTGCTGGACAGGAAGAATATACTGCTCTCCGCGACCAATGGATCCGGGACGGTGAAGGGTTTATCCTTGTCTACAGCATCACGTCGAGAAATTCTTTCAGCAGGATCCAAAAGTTCTATTCCCAGGTGCAACGAGTCAAGGAATCTGGCCATCCCAATTCGCCCACGGGGGCAAATTATCTCCAGTCTCAAATGTCCGGACAGTCCACGTACAATGGTCCTCCCATCATTATGTTGGTTGGCAATAAGAGCGATCAACACCATGAACGCGAGGTTCCTTTCCAAGAAGGTCAAGCACTGGCCAAAGATTTGGGATGCGAGTTTGTTGAGGCGTCGGCCAAAAATTGCATCAACGTGGAAAAGGCCTTTTACGATGTTGTGAGACAGCTGAGAAGACAGCGACAATCACCCATGAAAGCCATTGACCGGAAAGGCACAAACTATATGTCACAGCCTAGTCCACGCAACAACTTTGATTCGGATCATCAGCGGATATACCGTGATCACACCAAAAAGCGCAGCACCAAGTGTGTTATTTTATGAATGCGAGTTGGGCTTTATGAAACCCCACTACCCGGGGACTGATGCCTGATATGAAACTATGAGCCATTCATGTCTAGAGCTGGCGACAAGTGAGGGTGTCGGGACCTGTGGTGCAACCCCCAAATTCCTCTGTCATCCCCCAGAATTCCACACTTGTCATGACCAAGGACGCACACGACCGCGTCTTGTACGTGTGGACGGAGAGTAATCCAGTCTTTCAGGACATGGATATCCTCGGCACTTGTTGTCCACAGGGCACCTTTTATCCGCATTTTCCCTCGATCCCACTACGCCCAACAACAGCTCCTGTCTCCCTTGCCTTGGGTTGAGAAGAGTCGTCGACACGGAGAAAGCTTGGAACAGCGACGGGACCTGTTACAGTTGGAGAATTACCATATAAGCTACAGTACAGCAGCACGATTTATCAAACTCCAGTGTACAATATATTCACGTCTAAGATACTAGAAAGGGACATGTCACGGAATGTCTGAAGTTTTGCACAGGCTGGTTAGGTCTGAGTGAAGCTACGTGTCTTGCGACCAATTTTTTTCTCGTCGTGGAGTAAAGACGGACCAGAATCTTTGATGGGTATGGAAAGATGATGGTGGCATTTCTCCCCAGAGTTCCAAGGAGGACATCGGAATAACAGCCCCATCTGGCATGGTTTACAGGAACCGGCGTCGGGACGACAACCAATGTGGCGCGGGCCTTTTCCAGTTCCAACCTGAGAAGCCGATGTCGTATCCAGAAGGACCTTGTACATATTGGGCATGAGGTTTGATGGAGATGGAGATAAAAAGGAGGGCCTTTGATATCTACATACATGAAGGAGGGGGGGCAGCTGTCGACCTGACTTCGGACTCGTATGGCTGGAGCCTGGGGAATGGGGTATGGCGTATGGCGAATGGTGAATGCACAAGACCAAAAAGGAGGCACGGGGAACGCAATCAAATTAACACAAGTATTTTTGCGTTTTGCGGGACTAGATCAGAAATCCAGCGAGCCAGGCAGGTTGACAGGTTGGCAGTGGCAGTGGCAGTGACAGTGACAGGGAAATGTTAAAAGTTTGTCCCTCGTACCTATACGAGGACTACCTGGACTACCTGGACGACCACCTACAGTACCTAAGTACCGAGTACCGAGTAGATAACCGTCTCAGTTCTCGCCTGCTTCGTGCTTCGTGCTTCGTGCCTCGCGTGGTGGACGCTGGACGCTGGACACTTCGACGGGGGAAAGTCTAAGGGAAACTGAGTTGTGCCCGAGTACTCGGTACTGTACAAGGTGACAAGGTAGTAGTAGATGGTAGTAGATAGTAGTGCGTAGTTTGTATGGTGCGGTTGCATCTCTGGTTTCTACCTAGTACTGTGATGCTACTGTGCACAAGGTATGCAGTACCTAGCCAAGGTACCTCGTACATACGTTCTAGGTACTCCGTCCTCATGTGCCTGCCAACGCCCAAATACCCTCTCACTCTCTTGTCCTGTCCAGCACATCTCCCCCACGTTTGGCCCAAGCGTCCTCTGGTGGATGTTCGAGTACCTCATCTCATCACTCACCTCGTGTCGACGCCAGGTCTGAAACAGCCGAGAGCGAGTCCAACACTACATCCCTCGGCTTGCTGGCTTGCTGGCTTGCTGGCTTGCAATACCTCGTATACAAGTTCCAATAGTTTCTCCGTCCAAACCGATACAGACAACGGGTGCTGCTTGGGGGAGAGTTTAATCCCCCACGGCACCTCAAGAGCCCAGAAACCCGAGACCACAAGCGCCGCCACATGTTTCTCAACGCGAGACAAGGTTATATCGGCCTCTTCATCTGCTCCTCTCCCGCGTCGTTGGCTTGCATGTGCAACTCCGTCACAACGGACGCAACGGTCTGGAGACCTTTTCCACCGGCCCCACTAAAGCACCACTGTTTCTCATCCTCGTGTTTTGTTCTTGTCGATGGCTTTGGCAAACAAATCCCTTTCCCCTTCTTGGACGGCGTGGACGGATCCATCTATCGTTGTGGTTGGCCTTCAACCCTCCACATGCGACAGAACGGGATAAGATTCACCTCATGATGGTGTGTGAACCATGTGGCCGTTGCGGACCTGCATACCGGGTTTGTCCGCTGGGTCGGCATTTGGCAAATGGGCAAACGGCCAAATGGGCAATCATGCCTAGGAAAGTTCCGCCATACCTAGTTCGCGGTCGTGTGCCTGGGTTCGGGTCCTGGCGCCTGGGGCCAAGGTAGTTCCCACAGGGACCAGTCACCTTGCTCGTTCAGGGGTCAGGTAATAATTCGTGTGTTCAACGCTCAGGATGATGTTGTACTCGTATCTGGAGCTGGCAAGGCTGTGCAAAATGATGAGATGGCCCGGCATCAGGCTTGAGAGGGATACTTCCTGACCGACTCATGAGGCGACATGTTCAGGATATCCTTTCTTTGATGGTCGAGCCAGATGCAATATATGGGAAAGGAGAACGGGATTCCACCAATACCTGTCACTCTGGCCGCAATGGCCGTTGATGGCGTTTCAGGAATTTACCGTCACACATTGTCGCCCAGCCCAAAGTTGAGCCCCAGCGGGTCCTCGCCATCTCCCATGCTGGATTGTAAGGCTGCAGTCATTGAAAATGTGAGTCGGTGGTACAGAGTCTGGTGTCACACTTTCCCACAACGGACCAAAGCAGGAAGTTTGAAGACCGAGTTCAGAGTACCTCGTACGCCGGTGTGCTTAACTTAGGCCCGTTGTGGTTGAATAGGAACCAGTACTCGGCAATTGTGTCCCAGAAAAAGTAACTCAGGCCGAAAGAGACATTTATCGAAGTTCAATCAAGGCAGAGATGCCATTGTGTTCCTCCCTAACATTGGGCTTCAACGCTTTATGCAGCCAGAAGATACCACTTCCAACTCCGGAATGACAGTCCTCAGGAGTTCTTCGGGAGACCGTCATCGCTTGAATGCATTTTCGACCTAAGCGAGACGGCCGCATCTACGATTCCAACTGCCGTGCCGTGTCGCATGGTAGACAAATCAGGGCTTCTGCAAGTGGCCGGGAAGCTTATTGAGCTCGTTCAAAAATTCCACATTGCTTTGTCTCGAAGGCCTCGAAGAAATGGTAGCACATGAGCTCCGGCCACGTCAGAAACTGTATCAGAGATGCAAAGATACAGGGACATAGCACCATTCGGCTTGTACCGTACGATCCGTTGTTGGAAGGTCATTGCACCTAGGCAGCTCTAATTCATTGCGACGAAATAAAAGAGTAAGCCGTGTGCATTAGCTGTGTCGAATTCGGAGTCGGCAGAAGAGCGAGTTCAGGACTTCAACATGGATGCCGATCATTCACTTGCTTGTGCTGGCTGAAGGTCTGTCTTCCATGTCCTCCGAGTGCGTCAATCATATTACCCCGACCTGGGTTGAGATAGGGAGCGAGCGCGCCCAGCAACATCCCAGTGTCCATGTCTGGCTCTCATCACTCTACTCAGATCGTAGATGAGTGCAGCGAGTAATGGGTAGCTCTTTGCAGAGAGCGGGGACGCCCCTGAAGACTGCTTCGATAGTCTTGACATGTGTCTTTATGGGAACTTGCTCCTAAAAGAGACGGGATTTTTCATGCACCCCAAGAGGAGAAAAGAGTTCGCTGCCATCCTCGATCGTCGTCCTATCAGCAGGCACGCCGCCGGGGGTGTGATAAAGTCTCCCATGTGCTGCGGGTTGCTGCAGTCCATTGTGCGGCCCGAAGCCTGACGTGCATGCTGGATAGTGTGACCTTGCCACCGTCGAAAGACATGGAGGTGCCTCACGCTAGACCTCAAGGGAGACTTTCCTTTGTTCGGGCATCTTGGTCTTCATCAATGTTCAGGCTTCTGATTGTTGTCCCCGATGGGTACTCCTTCCTTTGCCTTTCTTGGGAGAGGCAGCGATGTCCTGTTTCAGGTGTGCTATGACTCTCTTGTTTGTTTCCTTTTCTGCTTCCAGTGCTGATATTCGAGCTTGCAGTTCTGTAATCTTCCTATCTTTGGCCTGAACAGCCAAACGTGTGATGTCTCGGCCCTTGATGATGCCTTGAGTACGCAGGTCGTGCCTATTAAGAAGATCCACTAATTCCCTCTCGACCTCCAGACTCAGCCGAGAGCCGTTCAGTATACTGAGAGCTTCAGAAGCAAGCGTGGAGGGTTCAGGTTCAGGTAGGGCATACCCAGTGGCCCTCCTAGCTGGTGTACTGGACGGTGAGAGCAATCCGCTGCCTCTAGACTCATGGGTTGCGCTTGGAGTACTAAAGACATCGTCACTGAGAGGCCAGGTTTCGTCGGCGACACCGGTCTGCTCAATCCTCTGCATAAAGTTCCTCTTGCCTGGGGATGTCAGACTCTCTGTGCGAGGAACTTTCTTCGGAGTTTGAAATGGCGCCTTCTCCAACATATCTTGCTCTACCATGAGAAGCTCTTCATCATTACTGGACGACCAATCAAAACTCTCGTCATGTTTAGGATTCGCAGGCTCTTTCGTGTCCCGTCTCGTTTGCGGTGTCGGAGGGAGAGCGGGAAGGTCTTTCTTCTGAGGTGTCACCGGAGCGGGCACATTTGGCTCTGTTCGGGAATTGTTGAGGACTGCAGCTTCTTCGCGGACTTTGGCATCATCATTCCAGAGGAAGAACTTGCACCGTTTGTGCTGCGGCTTTTGGCAGGTGTAGACTATCGCCAGGCATCAATACAAGACCCAAATGTCCAGACAATTCACGTACACCATCTTCCGTGATTCTTGCCGCCGTTTTTCACTTGAAACTTGTCTGCTGGCATCCGCGGCTCACAGTCGCAATGCCAGACACTGTTAAGGAAGGCCCCTCTTTTGGCCGTGCGACCGTTCCTCGTGGTGTAGGAGCTGGCCATCTCTGGTCTCTCATCACACGATGGTTTGCATTGGTGGCGATTGCGCCGTCATATGATGCCGCAGCATGACCGTCTCATCGTTGTACTTGTAGGTGATGATGTACCATATCATATGTCTGTGCGCCAGGTAGCTGAGGGTAGGTCACCAAAATATCGACCTGACCATGAAGGCAACAATTTTGGTTTGTTGATGCGATGACGCAAAATGGGAGGGTCATGATCCCGGTGGAGACAGTTGTGTCTGTCGGGTCAGGCTAGGGGCACACGGGGCATTCGGTAGGCTGGTCGTTTAGCCACCAGCAACAAAATCTCAGGGACGCTACCAGGGCTCCCTAGGCATCAGCCACACCTTCAAGCCTCTCATGTTGGGTTCGCTTCTCCAATACCAATTACTTTGTTAGGGGACCTTCTTGATCAATCTCCAATTGTATACCACTTTCACACCTGTCGTGTCCGGAATCCTCAACGCGACACGCTCCCCTTCCGCCATTTCTGGACATACAGCGGCCTGCATACAAACGCAAGTCACAAGCCCAACTGCTGCCATCAACAACTACCTACTTGCGACCTGTCCTCACCCACAGAAAACGCGCTCACCACCAATTCCGACACGAGCCGATCCCTCCTTGCCCAACCGAATGATGGTCATGCAAGCACACATTACCCAAGACTGATAACACCGGTACAATCATGGCGCCCACGGGCGGTGGAGGAGGAGGAGGCGGAGGCGGAGGAACAGGAGGCCTTGGTGGAGGGGGAAACATCAAGGTCGTGGTAAGAGTGCGACCGTTTAACAGTCGCGAGATCGATCGCAATGCAAAATGTATTGTTCAGATGCAGGATTCCCAGACCGTTCTTCAACCTCCTCCAGATGCAGAAGACCGTCTTCGAAAAGGTGGAAAGGATGGCGCAAGTGCGCAACGGACCTTCAAGTTCGACAAGTCCTACTGGTCTTTCAATAAGGCAGATCCAAACTATGCTGGTCAAGACAATCTATTCAACGACCTGGGCGTTCCCTTACTCGACAACGCCTTTCAAGGCTATAACAACTGCATTTTTGCGTATGGACAGACGGGCTCCGGAAAGTCATACAGCATGATGGGTTACGGCGATGAGGCTGGCGTTATCCCCCGAATTTGTCGAGAAATGTTCGAGCGCATCAATGGGTTGCAGTCTGATCCACACCTGACTTGCACTGTCGAGGTCTCCTATCTGGAAATTTACAACGAACGGGTCAGAGATCTCTTGAATCCGGCTACCAAGGGCAATCTACGAGTCAGGGAACATCCATCTACAGGACCGTATGTGGAGGATCTGGCCAAGTTGGCCGTCCGCTCCTTCAGCGAGATCGAGAACCTCATGGATGAAGGTAACAAAGCACGGACAGTGGCGGCCACAAACATGAACGAGACCTCCAGTCGCTCTCACGCTGTCTTCACCCTCACCCTCACCCAAAAGCGCCATGACGCGGAAACGAGTATGGACACTGAGAAGGTCGCAAAGATCAGCTTGGTCGATTTGGCTGGTTCCGAACGTGCAACCTCAACTGGCGCCACCGGTGCCCGTCTCAAGGAGGGAGCAGAGATCAATAGGTCACTCTCTACCCTTGGTCGGGTCATTGCGGCACTGGCAGACCTTTCCTCGGGCAAAAAGAGCTTGAAAGTGCCGTATCGAGATTCGGTGCTGACCTGGCTCCTCAAAGATTCACTTGGTGGAAACAGCATGACTGCGATGATTGCTGCGATCTCACCGGCCGACATAAATTTTGAGGAGACACTAAGCACCCTACGATACGCTGATTCGGCCAAGAGAATCAAGAACCACGCAGTGATCAACGAGGATCCAAACGCTCGCATGATCCGCGAGCTCAAAGAGGAACTTGCCAAACTCAGGAGCCAGCTTGGAGGACCTACTGCTGCAGGTACCGAGGAGACCTACCCTGAAGGAACGCCACTGGATAAACAGATGGTCTCTATTGTGCAGACGGACGGTTCAGTCAAGCGTGTCAGTAAAGCCGAAATCATGGATCAGCTAAGTCAAAGTGAGAAGTTATACCAAGATCTCAATCAGACTTGGGAAGAAAAACTCCAGAAGACGGAACAGATTCACAAAGAGAGAGAAGCGGCGCTGGAAGAATTGGGCATCAGCATTGAAAAGGGTAATGTCGGCATGAGCACCCCCAAGAAGATGCCTCACTTGGTCAACTTGAGCGACGATCCCCTGCTGGCTGAATGCCTCGTCTACAACCTGAAGCCAGGAGTTACGACAGTCGGGAATGTTGACTCGTCTGAAGCTTCTGAAATCAGATTGAAAGGGTCGAAGATCCTTGATCACCATTGCAAGCTCGAGCACGTCGACAACGTGGTGACAATCATCCCCAATGAGGGTGCTGCTGTCATGGTGAATGGTGTGCGTGTGGACAAGCCCAAGAGGCTGAAAAGTGGGAATCGTATCATTCTGGGAGACTTCCACATCTTCAGGTTTAACAACCCGTTGGAGGCCAAAGCCGAGCGCGCCGAAAGAAGTCTACTCCGGCAATCTGTCACCGCCAGCCAGCTGAACTCGCCAACGCCATTCCGTCCCGGACACGAAAGGAGCTGGAGCGCCGCGGGATCTGAATTTGACGGTGAATCACGATCCCAGTCTCCCGGGTTCAGCAGTAACAGAGACTCGGACTGGTTCTTCGCTCGTCGAGAGGCTGCCGGCGCTCTTCTTGGTTCAGATCCGAAAATCATGCAACTCACCGATGAGGAACTCGACAGTCTTTTCGAGAATATCCAGAGAGCACGAGAAGAGCGACGTGGGCGTTCCGACAACAAACAATTCGAACATGATGAAGACTCGGACGATCTCAGCTCTTTCCTTGTGCGTGACAAGTATATGTCAAATGGCACCATCGACAACTTTTCCCTCGACACTTCTCTGACACACCCTGGGACGCCTTCTGTGCATGACAGCTCGCAAGACGATGGCGAACCGACCTTGACCCCCAGCCAGTTTGGACAGCAAGCTCAGCACCAGATGCAGAAGGGCGAGGAAGAAGAGAAGCAAGGAGCTCCAGAGAACATATCCAAAGATGCAGAACGGGAAACCCAGGCACTTCAGATGCAGCAAGAGTTGGAGCGGGCGAAACAGGCGTTTGAAGAGGAACTTCGGAAACAAAAGGAAGAATACGAGGCACAAATCAAGAAAATCGATCAAGATGTCAGGATACGAGAAGCTGCTCGAACCCCAGCTGGATTTCTGCCGCTAGAGGCTTCCGAGATTGCCGTTGCCCGGAACGTCGTGGAAAAATGGCAACAAAGAAACTACATTTTGATAGCGGAGGCAATATTGCAAAATGCCAGCCTTCTCAAGGAAGCACAGGTTATGAGCAAACTGCTGGAGCACGATACCAACTTTCAGTTTGTCATTTTGGACATTGGTCAAGAACGCGGCTCGTCGTATGATCTCATCCTCCAAGACATCTCTGGGGACGATGATGATGCTCTAGCGGATGCGCGCAAGCCGTGTCTCGCCGTGAGGGTTATTGACAATCAGCTCAGCTGTATTCACCTTTGGTCGCTGGAAAAGCTGCGACTGCGAGTGGCCAAAATGCGTCAAATGCGCCAGTACAAGAATCAGCCAGAGTATCTTCAGCATTTCCGTCTGGACAACCCCTTCCGTGACTCTGACCAACCCTTGTTTTCGCTGATTGGTGACGGGAGCATTCCTCTGACCGCTGTGTTTGAGACCCGGGTACAAGATTTTGTGGTCGAAATATCCTCGCCGTCGACAAGACAGATTGTTGGCAAGGTCAGGATGTCCTTGGAGCCATCGCTGGCAGAGTCTCCGCCTTCCACAATCAAGTTCAACATTGTCATGCGTGATTTTGTTGGCTTCGCCGAGCACGAGGGGACGCAGGTACATGCCCAGATGACAGTGCTAGGAACCGACGACGAGAGTGTGGCGACTACCCAGCCCATCCACGGGTTTGGTGACGGCCCAGTACGCTTTGAGAGCATCCACAACTTGAGTATTCGTCGATCCGGGGAGAAATCTGCCACTCTGAAGATCGCCATTTTTGCCCAAGTTAGCTCAACCCATCTCGACAAGCTGATCAGCTGGGATGAGCTTCGTGAAATGAATGAGAACCCTCCGGATCAGCAACCATCTCATCGCTTGCCCGAGTCTGAATACTCCGTGGAAGAACGGCATGATGTCTTTGCAAAGGTTCAGATTCTAGAGCTCGCAGAAAACGGCCAGTACATGCCCGTGGAAGTCATACACAACAACCCGAATGATATCGGGGCATTCCAGTTGCACCAGGGACTTCAACGTCGGATCTCCATCAATCTGACCCATGTCCTGACCGAAGGTCTGCCCTGGGACGACCTGAAGTCTTTGCGGGTTGGGGAAGTTCATCAACTAGACTCATCCGGCCGCATTACCGACATTGCGTCCGTCACACCAGATATCCCCCTCAAACAAATCCAAGAACCCATGATCAAAGATAACGCCGATGGGACGTCCAACATTACGATTGTAGGACAATGGGACAGCTCATTGCACAAAACCCTCCTCCTTGACCGAGCCACCAACGAGAATTGTCGAGTTCAGATATCGTTGCGGTGGGACGTTGTGTCCAGTCGCCTCGGACACGATCATTCTATGAAATTCTCCATCGACCAACAGGTACAGATCTTGCCGCGATCGTACGTTCGACCACAGTCTATGTTCAAGTCATTTTGGAACCAGACTCGGGTCACACACGCCACAGACGGAGTGTTCTCCATTGTCGTGCTACCAATCAGCGCAAAGAGAGCAGCCGATCTATGGCGTCTAGATACTTCAAAGAATTACATCAATGGAGAAGAACTTCTCGGGAATTGGCAGCCACGAGGAATTTCGTTGGTTAAAGACTACTTGATTGCCCGAAGGAAAAGGCGTCAATTAGAGGACATCGAATCCGCCAAAGCCGCACTGGGATTGCGCAGGCTTAGTATCACCGCACAAAGAGGTCGGTCTCGCACAGTATCGTCTTCTGTGATGGATTCCCGAGAAGAAGAACTTCTGCGCAAATACCTCGCCATCTGGATGAAGCCGAGTGTCGAGATGAAGAACCCCATCTTTGACAACGGCGACGAGAGCACATGTCCCCGACCGTCGCCAACACCGGTGACTGAGGCATCGCGCACATCGTCGACCCGCTACCGAGCCACCGTCACTCATGTGCCCAAGAACACAGTATCTCTCAAGTCAGGCTATCTTCTCATGCCTTCGGAATCTTACGAGACGTCCCCTTCCGGCAATCACGCCAGCGTCATGCAATGGAAACGTCGCTTTGTCGACCTGCGCCCCCCTTATCTTTATATCCAGTCCGTTCCAGACGGCGAGGGAATCAACGCGGTAAATCTCACCCACGCACGGATCGATCATGACCCAGACTTCAAGCGCTTACTTGGCGGCGGATCAACCATTTCACACGACGGCGCCGACTTTTCATCAACAGAGCAGCAGCAGCGCGGTCACAGAAGGGCCGGGAGCAACGCCGAACTCCACGGCCTAGCTCACGTGTTCGCCGTGTATGGCGAGCAGAATACGTTCTTATTCGCAGCGCGAAGCGAGAGTCAAAAGCTCGAATGGATTCTGAAGATTGATCAGAGTTACTTTGCCAATGACGGGGAGCAAGATCAGGTGGAGGTGTGAGAGATGGAGTGACGTCCAGCCCACCCTGGAGACGGTGTGGCCGAGCTTATGAGGACGACGCAGATTGTTGGTTGCGATCCGGTATCTGAACAGGTAGTGAGGGAGGCTATCTCGATGCGAATGTGGTTACATTTCGATTGGGCGCTGGAAAAAAGAAACACACACACACACACACACAGACACACACACACACACACATGACTTGGACGTGGACTGAGCAGAGCGGTTATAGATCTGACTTGAAGATACCCCTTTGGTTGTTATCAATATGACTTTGTTTTGGCAAATCCATACATCTTTATGCCGTCCCGTGACGGAGCTGGCCCGGCTCAGGCTGATCTTGCCGTCGATGTCTCTCGGTGTAAAGCTCCCGCTCATACCAATTCACTGTAGAATGGACGGCTGCTGTTATCATGTCCTGGTCGTGGACAAAAGGGACATATGCGGGCCAGAAACGGAATCATTCTGTTGACGAGATTGTTGGGATCGACATAGACAACACAGATAGTCAGAAAGAACGCCAGCAGGATGCATAGGTCCATATACGGAACAGAGAAGGACCGGCCAGTCAGAATCCAAGCAAAAGCTCGGGGCCCCATCAATAGAGGACTCAGGATGTAGTAAAGAAAGTGCACAGCTCGCCAAAAATAGGTTCGGTCGTATAATGCTCGTTTCTGGACCGGCCAGGCTGTGCGATAGACCATCAAAGTTACCAAAGGAAGCCACAAGGCCGTCATTATCAAATAAACCAAGCCTTGTGAGGGGGCCCGAATGTCGTTGTGCATCACCACTCTCTTGTAGACCGGCAATCCAGAGAACTGGGGAGGCCGGCCGAGGTCTTCTGAGAGGGTTTGATGGCATGCTGTAGACCAGTTGCCAAATGCTTGCTATGCAACCACAAAAAGTCAGTTTCTTTTTAGAAGATCAGAAATCGTGTGGGAAAGTGGTTTGGATTTGGAGGGCACATGGAGCTTACTCTCTGGTTGAAGCAGTCTTCGCGGAAATCCTTCCTTGCTGTCCACGCTGCCCGAGAGTTGTCGACATACATATAGGCAAGGCCGAGGATAGATGACGCCATCACAAGTAGATTGAACGCCCACTTCGCCAAACTCTTCTTGGTCCCTATTGATGTAGAACCGCACGGCAGAAGCGTACAAACTCTGGTCTTTCGAATAGTCCTCATAGCTTGTTGTTGCGCGGCACCCGCTGGTATCGGAGTAGCGTTGCTGTTTGCTGTTCGCAGGAGACTTGGGGAGAGGATGGCAGGTGGGCTTGAGGCATGGACGGAGATCTGTGGTGTGCCCGCTGGGAGTGAGCTCAGCCTGATCGGGGCAGGAGCGCGTTGAGCCGGGGAGAAGAAGGTAGTAGCACTCGACGCAGGCGCCATGGAGATCAAATGGTTTCCAAATGACAATGGACAGAGAGATTCAGTACAGCGCTGGTGTTGTTCTTCAATCTTGATGCGGTCCGAAGCCGGCTTTTCGTGGTTGTCGTGGGTGTAGTGGGAAGGCGGTGCGGACACATTCCAATTTGGGGAAAGCCCGTTCGCCTTGCATGAAGCAGGCACAAGGCAGAATGAGCCCCATTGCAAATGAATCAGCCTGACAGCCTAATAGCTACTTGGAACTTTTAACTTGGAAAGTCCACCCAGCCTGATATCCGATTGATTCAGCCTTGTCATTGTTGACATGAGCACATGCACGAAGCTGTCTGATTGTGTGGATGACGTAATGAATCAGTCATTTCTTGGTATATGTCTTGGCGCTTCATCCCCCTTCCGTCTTCACGTCTGCGTAAAGTATTCGACATGCTGCATTATCGACATTCCCATTACTTCCACCATCAGCCGCTGGAAAGGGCTTCTTCCTAAGGACGACACAGATTTGTTGATATCACTTGACCTATGCGGGGAACTCTCGACAGGACTTTGATGTCATATCTGGCCACTTGGCGCCACATCCGAAGTTGCAAACCAGGGTCCAACAGGACGGACCATCTCGCCGTATCTCCAGCATCACCCGGTGACAACATCGCATTTCAACAAATCCATGACAATTGAGTTTTGAGAGCGGCCCGGCCTGGGGCGCCATGGCGCTCACTAGGGTCGCCTTTTTGACTCACGATCGACACATGGCAGCTATGTCGCTCTGCCTGCGATCGACAAGAAGCTTTGACGGCAAAGCCCAGAGGTAAGATGGATCGAACCATTTTGTCCATCCTAGCATTCAGGCCATTAGGCTGAGCATGTTTCCACTTTCACAACTAGCTCGTGAAGCAAACCTTTGTATCATGATTATCCTCGTATAGAGAGCTCACTCGTTGACATCATCCATCATCCATCCTCCCTACTCCCCTTTTACAAAGCCAAACTCCTCCCCTTCCTTTTTGCAGAGAGGTTGAAGCACATTCTCGTGCAACATTGTTTGCCGAACCCTTGATCTCTTCCAGCATGCCTCGCCATTTCCCCCCTTTCTCAGCTCGACGTCACCATATGTCCAGCTCGACCGCAGCCACGGCGTCGGCCTCGAACAGCCAGCAGCAGCATCACCACCACCATCTTCCTCGCAACAATGACCCCGATCGAGACTTCCTTTCACGTCGAGCTCGCACAAAGAACCATGTCATTGCCATGGTTGGTGAATTTGTGGGCACCACGCTTTTCCTGTGGTTCGCCTTTGCAGGTGCGCAAGCCACTGCCATTACGGGTGGAGGTGTAGCCAATACTCCGACCCAGATCGCCTTGACGAGTTTGGCCTTTGGATTTTCGCTGCTCGTCACGGTGTGGGCATTCTACAGGATCTCGGGGGGACTGTTCAACCCAGCAGTATGTTTTCTCTGCATTTGTTTGAGGCATTCCTCGCGCGGACCTCGAAAAACTGACCGAATCTGAACATCAGGTAACCCTTGGCCTCGTCATCACAAAGAATCTCCCCTGGGTTCGCGGCCTGCTCCTCTTCCCAGCCCAAATCCTCGGCGGCATCGTCGCGGCCGCCCTCGTCAGATGCATGTTCCCCGGTCCGCTGGTCGTGGGCACGACGCTGAGCAACAACACCACGCCCGCGCAGGGTGTCTTTATCGAAATGTTCCTCACGTCGCTTCTGGTATTCACCATCCTCATGCTCGCCGCGGAGAAGCACTACGCCACCTTCATGGCCCCTGTGGGCATCGGCCTTGCGCTGTTCGTCGGCATGATGGCCGGCCTCCCTTACACGGGTTCCTCGATGAACCCGGCGCGGAGCTTCGGCCCCGCCGTCGCGGCCCCTTACTTCCCCGGATACCATTACATTTACTGGTTCGGTCCCATCATGGGCTCCCTGCTGGCTTCCGCCTACTACGGGTTCGTCAAGTATTTCCGGTACGAGGAGGCGAACCCGGGCCAGGACGCCGTCAGTCCCGAGGAGAAGAGCAGGGACGAGGAGATGGGTGCTCCTTAGGCACCAGAAACCCCGTTTATCTAACATCATCAACCCCCCAAAAAGGTCCGCTCAAGCTGGCATGAATGTTTTGTCTCGATATGGTGCTATGGTGCCCGCAGAAGGGATTGGGCTCAAAATGCATGTTCATGCACCAAAAACGGTAAAGGAGAACGAAAAAGGACGGAGGAACAAACCAAAACGGAATCGCACACTCGGTCGGACTTCGCGGACAAATGGGGAATGACGGGATTTGACGGGTCCTGCCATGTCATGGTGAAGAGCCTTTTTGGGGGGGGGAGGAATTTGCGCGGTACCAGACCGATAGGGGAGATATCACTGCGATCTGTAATATATGTGGGTATTTATGAATGACGAGCAATAATACTATTCACAAGGCATGCAGCAACATGCGTCAGGCGGTTACTCCAGAAGAGGAGGCCGGCACGGATGACGCCTCTCTAGTTACTCGATACTTGTGTCGGGGCCATCCTGTCAACCACGTATATATGAACCTGGTAGGAGAAACACGCTGGGAACTATAAATCTTCACTTGTAGACATTTTTGATAATTGGGCTCTGCTTTTTGCCATAGATAACTCTAGGAACTTCTAATGGCATCGCCAGACCCTATAAAGGTCCTGTCCTTGCGTATATTGGATTGAAACTCCTTTCGTCTCCTCATCATCAAGCCCGACAGAATGCCATTCTGCAGTTCCGATTGAGGTAATTGAAGAGTGGTTGTCCAAAGATCGCTAGTGTCAAAGCACGTTTCGCCCGCTGATTTCACCCGCTTCAACGGCGCCTTGAGAGCCATACTCTCGCCTGCTTTCCAGCTCCTCCTCGTTCCAGTGCAGTCAACCGTCAGAATGTGCCACATGTTAATCCATGGTTGCAACCACACATTTCCACGCCAAAGCGATTCTTTGCAGACCAGTATCCAGCAATTTTCAATTGTGCAGCCCTTGCAAGACGATAGCCGACTTTTCATCCCCACACCGACGCGTTGAGTGTTGCCATCGCCCTTGCTCTTGGTCATGACATGAGACTCCCAAAACGCCTTTCCATAAAGCACGCCGAAGGTCTTGACAACGAGATCCTCCCTTGTACCAGCCCAAACTCCCGCAATCAGTCACTTACAACATCGTCAAGTCTTTTGTCATAAATCATAATATCATAAAGTCAACAGTGCGCCCGCCTCTTCAAGAGACATTTTCAGAGCTCCAGCCTCCCTTTCTATCTTCGTGTCGAATTCTCTGTACACCAATATCTGACCTTTTTGTCAAAACTTTTCACAAGCTGTCGTTTTTGTGCAACTCAGGTCTTCCGTCATTAACGCCGTAACCAATCGAACTTTTTTCTAGGATCCGTCCCATTCGCTTGTGGTTCAACTTGTACACTTCGGTCGTATAGCTCGCTGCGTGGGTCCGCAGAATCCTGTTGTCCAAGGTTAGAAACGAGGGCTTGCGCATGATCCTAGTGAATTATCTCACCTCTGACTCTTCAACAATCTTGGTTTCCAAGATCAACTTGATGATCTCATCAGTTCGAACAGACCTTTGGGGGAAGCTGTAGGGGTTTTCCAAACTGCGTTGGATCCCAACAATGACATCTCCCATGATTTCAAATTTCTTCCAGTTGATGTTCGTGCCGATAAATGTCTGGTTTGCCGAAGCAGCCATCGTAAGATCTTGTCGCACAAGGGGGAGAAACGGGATTCGTTCCCCTGGAGAATTGTCCCAAGCCATGCGATATGCGGCATGAGATCTCGATATGCCCATGAGAATGGTCAACCTCAGAAATTGCTTCTGCACCTCCGGAGGAATCAGATCTCGAGTTGCCCCCAATCGAGCAATCTCATGACCAGTGATGCCTGCCACGATAGCACCGAGGGAGTTGTAATTATTCAGTTGCCTCACTTTCCATGCTAGTGCCATAAACTTTTCCAAAGCTCTCGCTCGGTGCTTTGGCTTGTCTCGAAGTAGGATCATGCCAGAAACAAACAAGGCCAGATGATTGAAATTCTTTACCATGGCGCCGATGTTATCACCGGAGCTGGACTTCCTTTTCTGGGAGGTAGAAATAGAGACATGCCGAACAAAATCCCGGGGTCTGATCGCCGAGTACACAGTCCAATCGATCCGTGTAATTTCCCTGGCAAGGTCGTCGAGGGTGCTTTCCATGAATAGATGCCATTGGAATTTGGTGAGGCGAAATCGAGGCACTGGCCTGAATCTTTCGGCTTCTAGCTTCGCATTTTCCAGCTGGAGAAAGTTTGCGTATGACTGACTGGAGGGATTACTTGACCTCATCATGCTGGACGACATCGCAGGCACATTGGATCCACGTGCAGACGAAGTCGTCCCGTCAAGATTGTCGCCATTCTCATCTTCTTCCCGCCGTCCCTTGCGACCCAATTTTGCCATATTTTCAGTGCTCGGCGATGGAACCAGGGTTGATGACGACCCCGACGTCCCTGCTTTATGACTGCCTCCGCCACTCTTTTTACCCGATGCTGAGGTAGAATCATTAAAGGCCCAATCCAAATCTTCGTCGGGAATGATGGTGTCCAAGTTGTTGCTTATCTCTCTAGCAGCAGGTGCGAACACTTTGCTCTTCTCGATACTTTGCACAAAAGGGATAGCGATATCACGAGCAGGGCCAGGAGAAAAATCTCCGGGATACGTGGCAGTCCATTGAGCCAATACCTGTAGGTAGCGAAGCATCTCTGCGACCTTGGTGAAGTGAACCATTTTACTTTTTTCCACCTTCATGAACTGGTCAATGATAGCCGTCAGCAACATTTGTGGGGTTGCAAAAGCACGGTACAGACACAAAAAGGACGGGACAAATTTGGAATCTGTCTTGTTCGTGGGTAGCAGGAGGAGCTTGTCGACCAATTCTTGAAACGGAACCCCACGCTCGACGTTTGGTGAACCCTCGTCAACTTTGAGAGCGCCCAAAGAAGAACCCAAGGCTTCCACTTCAGTCCGAGGGGAAAGCTCATGAGAGTCTTCGTCCATGTTGAGGAAAGTTTGATATGCCCGGCTGTCAATGGTGGATGCTGACTCGGGACGAAGCATTGATTTTACATAATAGGAGTCGGGCGTTTCGGGAACTGCTGTTGTCGAGGTCTCGAGAGGGGATGTCAATTTGCCGGTGTAGTCGCCGGAAGACATAGGTGTATGAGGTTCGGCCGGACGGCGCTGGGATTGAGAAACAGCTGTTGTATCCAACTTGAGTTTGGCCTTACGACCGGCCGGAGCCACATCCTCCGTTTCCGAAGATTGACTATATTCGTTCTCAGACTCAATGAGTGCTTGTCGCACCGAAAGGTTCAGCAGTAGTTCCTTAGACTTCGATACTTGTAATCGACTGTTCGATCGGCTCCTGCTTCGAGCTGCTTTCGGCGAGGGATCCCTTGAGACAACGCGCTGGCTGCCTGAAGACTCGGTGGAAGTATACGAAGACTTGCTTGCTCGGATAGAGGCTTGATTCGTTGTTAGCTAAGACTCCATTGCTCGTGTGGTAACAGATGTCGAACGTGATATTCGGGTCACAAGAACATGACTGTGTTATGATATATTTGGGAAGTCTATGTATGCTAGACAATAGACACGGGAAGCGAAACGAGAAATTGAAGTTCGGGTGGCGGGGAGGAACCACCGTCCTGGGGACGGGGAGAACGGGCAGCTCATATGGCAATGACGACTTACCTCGCGGAGAGGCGATGACTCGATGAATCATTGCAAGGAAACACTGCTTGGTGTTCTCAGGAGACCTTATGGAAATTTCGGCAATGGCGACCTTGGCAAGATTACGGCGGACAGTCTCGTGGAAACGTGGACTGATCTGGCGGGAATCGTCGTCGACGTCGCATTTGGCAGCAACAAGCATACAAGGCACGCCAGTATTGGTCATGGAGGCTTCAGTAATGTCGTTAGCGGGAGGTCCAACTTCCTTGGGAGAGATATGATTGTTTGAGACCAGCAGGAAGATTGTGAGTGGGAACTTACTCAATGCGGCCGGGACGTCGGCGACGCTTTCCTTGTCAGAGACGTCGTAAAGGCAAAAGACACCGTCAATTTCGGGTAGAGGAACCCCATTTATGTATGGTGGCCATTCGATTCTCCGCTCACTGCTGAAGTCGACATCCTCGAAGAGCAGCTCAAAGAGTTGAATTTGATAGCACCTGTCTCTGATCCGTACTTCAATCGAGGTTCGAGTCCGCTCTTTCCCAATGGCGTTTCGAATGAAGCTGGTTTTACCAGAGTTGCGAGAACCAAGCACCAGCAAGTTAATGGATGAGGTCGACTCTGATTCACTCGCCTAGAGGCAGATCGAGGGTCAATATAGCTACCGAGCACTGGGACTGCTAAAATGGCGAGGCGAGAAGGGCAAGACGTACCTTGTTCGGTAGCTTCGCCTCGAGGGAATAGCCAGAAGGCTGGTGACGATCTGAGCGCCGGGTGTTTGTGCCACGGTCTGGAGAAGTTAATGAGTCGACCCGAGCATGAGGTTTAGAGCTTCGGTGGCTGGTATCAGAGGGTTTGACAACGGCTGATGGACGCCTTTGGTGGTGCTGGTCTTTGCGTCGATCAACAGTGGGGGCCGAGTTGTGCCTTTCCCTAACTCTGAGAGGTGGCTCAACAGCCTTTGCGTCGAGTGATCGGTACCTTGTGGAACGTGAATCCATGGATTAGGGCTGGAGAGTCAGGTTCAAATCACTGCATAGCTACTAGTACCAGGCAGCGAACGGGCTCAGGTTGGTCCTTTGAGAAACGACTCGTTGCAGAGAGATGACGACCAGAGAACTGGAAACTGGTGGAGGTCATGGATTTCTGGGACATAAAGACACCAAGTCAATGGGTCTTTGTGATGAACTAGCGGGAGTCGGGACGAGATGAATGAGGTTAGAAGTTCGAGCAGCGCTCCGTGTCGAGGAGAGATATGGACAGGGAACTAGACGAATCGAGCAGGTGGGAAGAGGGAATCGGGTGGTAATTGTCTGTCGGTTTCAGGTGGTGATAGTGAGCAGTGTCTCTAAACCAGGTTCGGAGAGATGAATGAGCGTGAACAAAGTCAGGGTTTGTGAGAACAGAAGCGAGTGTCGATCGAGGCAGGATTGAGAGGAAAAGGGTGAGGTTTAGCACAAGCAGGCTCCGTAGGGTATCGGCGGAGGGTGGGTATCTCAGAGGTCCGAGGCTGGATCAACTGTGGAGAGGGTAATCTAGCCCGTCGACGTGGATTTCAAGTTGGTTCTGGGCCCAACGAGGGGAGGAGACACGGCTGGACGGAAGGGCCTGAATTGCGAGAGACGAGTGCGTTGTTTGAGATGAAGGGAAGACTGAGATTGAGGTTGGGGTTGCGCCTGCGGTCACAGTATCGGTTGGGGAAGAGGGTTGAAGGGTCTTCAGAAGGAGGAGGAGAAAGAGAATGAAGGATTTAGAAGTACCTCGTATCGATGGATTTCGAGGTTTGGTTGGCAAGGGGGAGTGGGAAAAGTGTCGGACACCAAGCACCTTTCAGTTTTAGGTGAGTTGATGAGAAGGTCGGCCCCATGTGAGAAGGACTTGGGTGACTCCGAACAATAACGTCAGTAGTCGAGTTTTCCTGGTCAGGTACTGCCACCCAGTCTGCCAGTCAGTGGTAGTTTGATGCAGGAACTACGCAGTAGCAGTAGCAGACACTGTGGAAAGGTGCAGGGTGAGAAAAAGCCGGCCTGCTGCAGGCTGCTGTAGGCTGGTGGTTCCGCGGCAGGACCATGCAACAAGCCATTGGCGGGGGGTTAAGTTGATGCTGGTTAAGACGCTGGGGGGTGGGCTTGGGGGCTCTCTAAGGGTCATTTAGGCCTGTTTAGGCTGGTAGTGGACAAGCAACCCCCTGGTTGAGGCTCTGGTGGAGAGCCGCTTGTTAGGCTCCCACCCGCCGCTACTATGCACGATCAAAAAGGATGCATGCTGCACCCTGCACAGGGAAAAATAGTGACGAGGTGTTTGAAATTGCTCCTCGCAGGAAAATTGACGAGATAGGAAGGGAGTCTACTTCCGACATGAGCCTATTCTGTGCCTACATTGCCCACCTAGGTACATGAAATGGCGATGAGGAATATATTAAAAGGCTATGCTCCGTGATCTACAAGGGAAAGAGCTTCTCGTGAAGTGATGGTGGTGAAAGTACGGAGCGCGTGGGCAGAGTGCGCAGCCAGGCAGCCGAGAAGCGCAGTCTGGGTGCAGTGCGGTACCGAGGACCAGCACCTCGTACCTGCCGCAGTCTCGCCCTCAAACACCTACACAGGCGCAGTCACCATCACTACCACCTACTACCACCACCATCACCTTTCACTTCACATCTCGTTCTCATCCACATCAACCTCACCACCTCCTCACTCTCCTTCGACCTCTCTACTCGGCACTCGGAACTCGTTAGTACATATGCACGCATGCTCATCACCTTCCCCTCCTCCAGCGTGTCGCAGGCTTCGCCACGATTATTCACCACGCTCTACCGAGCCGTAGCTGGTGACTTCCCGGCACCAAATTCCATCCCGGTCAGGGGCCATTTGACTTGCAATGTTCCTTCAACCAGCGTCTCCACCTCTCCCCTCAGTGCATCTCGAAAAGCTTTGGGGCTTGTGCTTTGGCTTTGGCTGCTGCAGCTTCTCAATTTTGGTGTGGTCGGCGTGAAGCATCCTCCTCAACCTCTTCCACACCCACGCCTTGATTCTGTGTGCTGCAATTTCCCCACCAACATGATCGCGATAACTTCCGTACTTGCGCGGGAAAAAAAAATACTCTTGAAGATCTCGATGTACAAGACTCGTTCCAATTTCATGAGGGCGCGTGATTGAGATGCGTCCGCGCTTGACTGGCTGGTGACGGCCATTTTCCCTCGTTCACCGACTCATTGATCTGGCGGAGGCTATTTTGATCACCATTATGAGTATTATTGGTAGGTACTTCTAGACAAGAGAAGTTACTCCGAATGGAATGGCTCAGCATACCCACGAGCGTGTGCCCCTCTTGTCCGTTGTCGATGTCACTCTGAATACTCCAAGGTCACATACTAGCTAGCACGAGCGTGCACGAGTAAGTTGTCTCTCTGTCACCAGTTCTCTACCACTCCTTCGCGATGGAAATGCTCGATTTGGTGTGATTCCTGTCTCTTGTGCGCCGCCCCGCAATGCCAACAAGTCTATCACCAATTTTTTCAAGCCACCCGTTCACCGTTTTAGAAGGGACCTTCAGCTCCTGGTCATCTACGGCGCCCACTATGCCTCATTTGGTGTTATACTCTCAGCATGTAGGAACTCTCTCCTTTCCAGCCGTTGGTGGCTTTCAGTGATCGAGCTGGAACGAGATTTGTCTATCGCTTTCGGTCGAGCCTCGCTTCACACAAATGTCCATCCCCCCCTTTTCGCTTACCTTCGCTCCAGCTCAAAAAAGTGGGCAAGCAAAAACGTGGCAATGGAGCGCGCCAACCTCATTTCGACGCGTTCCAACATATACTGATGACGGATGTTCCTGTTGGTATAATATCGCCTACCATGATTGCATCAAGTGGACTATTCATCTAATCTTCACATCCTCTCCCAAACTTGGAAATGTCGTCCTTGTACTCTGGTGACCATGGGGAAACAGGTGGAGGCAGCGCCAGGGCAAGCACCATATCGATCGGTCAGGCTATGCAGCGGACATGGGAATGGATGGCGGCTTATCAGACGGGATCCGGTGACTTGACCACATCGACCTCAGATTCGTCTTTGAGAAATCCAGACGATGATCTGGATCTCGATTCCCTGTTCAGACGTCTAGACAGGTACACAGCCGAGATGCGGGAAGTCGAGGATCGTCTCAAACGAGCGAGAAGCGTTTCTGAGAGATCCGAAGGTATCATTGCCAAGCGATTCTCCTTTGAAGACACCTCGCTGGAGATGACCGAACCTTTGCCGGCATTGAGGTGGCCGCCAGACTCACATCCTCCCAAAGCGTGGAGACCAAGGCAAATCCCAAGTATTGCGACTTCTTCCGAGCAGTCCATACCAGCTCCCTTTGCCCACCCAGAGCATCGGAGCTCCTTACGCACGGAAAGCCTGCCACCTGATGCAGAGGAAATAGAACAGGATTCACCGGCACCACTGATTGGAAATTGGAAGCAATGGGCAGAGCAGCAGTTCTTGCCCACAAAACTAGCCCCCACGCGTGCCAGCAGTAGATACTCGGAGACGAGAGAATCATACTCTGAACACTCGCGCCAACGATTTATCTGGCGGCGGCAATCGCCCTCCCCTCCTGGGGAAGCAAGTCATCACGAATCAAGTTCCGAGATGAGCCACCTCTTGGCCCAAATCCCTGAATATCTCACAGACGACCATTGCGACTACCATCAATTCGACTTCTCCGAGGATGACGAACTCAGTCCAGTAATCCCGAGATCTTGGACGTTACCGCCCAGAACTTCAAGTATGAAACAGCCGAATAAGGAAGCGTGCCGAGAATCAGCAAACGCCCATCTCAGACCGATGCCACGTAGGAGGATGACAACTAGTGACGCAAGGCCTGCGATAAGGAATGGCGGAGTCTGGTCCGGTGAGGCTGCTGAGCTCTTCATCCAAGGCGAGGAACCGTCTCTTCCTGGGTTATCTCAATCCACGTCCAACGCAACCTTGAACTCGAACCCTCCTTTGACGCCTTTGACGCTAAGTGATCCCAGAGAAGACCAATTACGTCGGGAGATGGAAAGTTTTGCCATCCAGGATGGACCAGGAACACTCGAATACCGATACCAGAAGCGTAGGCCTCCTCTCCTGAATTTGCTCGATTCGGACGAGGAAGACTATCAGCAGTCGGTATCCTCCACTGCGGAGCTGGACAACTCAAGCTTGCTCGACATGAGTGAGGAGCGCAGCGTCAGACCCCGGCGGCGACGCAGGAGCCTTTTCAATATTTTTCAGAGGAGGTCGCCTGTGGAAAAGCTGATTGATATGTATTTCGAAGACGAGCCGGGAGAAAAGGATACTTCCAGAAAAGGATCCCCTGTTCGAGAAAAGGTGCCGAAAAGCCCCGCAACACCACCCCTTTCTCTGGCCATCCTCGGAAAGCAGATGTCGTTCTAGACAGGGGCACCAATGTGGGCTGAGTCCTCGTCCAGCTTTCTCGAATCCAACTCTGCCACCAGCTCTGCAAATGCCAACATACCTGATGCCTCAGCTGTGTCTGAGTCTAACTGGCGATCCAGAAGTCGCAAAGCACGCGCAATACGTTTCTGTGGAGTATCTTGGAACCTATGTCCTCGTGGATTGTGAGATGTGGACTGGGCCTCCTCCCTCTCGTCAACGGTGGTCCCAAAAATAAACTTGAGTTTCGTACGCAGGGTTGGGTATTGTTGGAAGAGATTGTCCAGCCTAGGGTCCTCAATCAGACGGTCGACAAGAGGCTTGTCCTCTGCTGAAGCCGCCTCTGATATCGGAGGTGCAACTCTGGGGCTTGATACATCGCTCCTGGGTAGGGACTGGTCACACTGACTTTGATGTGTCTTGAAGCATGGCAGGGAACAGCTGGGTAACAACAATGGTTAATGACAGGAAAGTAGTTTAATGTCATGTATGAACTATCAAAAACATACCTTGTAGCCCTACAGGAGGAGCAATGGTATTTAAAGGTCGGATTCTGACAAACACTGCAAGGCTCTGATGACATGTGGTCAGTCCGATGTGGTTTGACTGTTGAGAATATGTAGTTTGTGGGTATTTGCGTAACGGTCAAGACCAGGCGACGACCACCAATATTGTAAATGCCCGAGGCGTATGATGATACTCGAATTACTTTCATACACTTGGGTTCAGAACAATGGTGCTCTAATGAGGTACGAGGTCCTTGTGCCAAAGTGTTTAGATGGAAATGATTGGCTTTTAGCGGATGACAAATGCTACGTGCTTGGCTGGCACTGAAATGGCCGCACGGCCGGCAAGGGGCTGTGCCACGTGACAGCTGCCCTCCAGAGTTGCGTCATTCCAAGGGATTTTTTCGGTTTCTAGAACCTTTTGCACCGAGTTAGATAGACAGAAACCGACCAAAACACACCGTTTCTATCTATCTACCTAATTACCTCCCTACACAGGTGATATACACACACTCCGTATTTTGTATTCTCTTTCTCTTGTCTTGTTCCGGCACGATACGATGCGTGGTCTCGTACAGTCCCGGTCGCTGCGTGCTCTGGCCGCTGGCTTGGGGGCAAAGCCGCCATTGAGCGCATCCTGTCAGGCAGCTGCTTGTATCCGCCACGTCCATCACCAGTCGGTTCGCATTCCCCCCATCACCTCGTCACAGTCCCGTCGGCGGCCGATTCTGCGGCCAGGGCAACATCCCACGGCCGCGGCGCCCCGGACAGCGGCGGCGGCGACCCGATCCATCTACATCCAGACACAGCCGACGCCCAATGCCTCGGCGTTGAAGTTCCTCCCAAACCACCCCGTCCTGCCGGAAGGGTTTCCCTCGACGTTTTTGGAATACAACTCTCCGCGGTCGACCGTGTCCGCGCCTCACCCCTCGCCCCTCGCGGCGCGACTGCTCGATATAGACGGAGTCACATCGGTCTTCTACGGTCCAGATTTCATTACGGTGACCAAAGCGGAAGATGTCAACTGGGCGCACATCAAACCCGAGATCTTCGCGTTGATTACCGAAGCAATAACATCAGGCGAGGCACTGGTGAATACTGTGGAGAAATCTACGTCGTCGGAAGACGGGCAAGAAGGTCTCGGCGAGGATTCCTTGGCTCCTAACGACGAGGATGATGAGGTTGTTGCCATGATCAAAGAGCTATTGGAGACACGCATTCGGCCGGCGATCCAAGAGGACGGAGGGGATATTGAGTACCGCGGATTTGAGAATGGGATGGTGAATCTCAAACTGCGGGGAGCATGCCGGACGTGTGACTCGAGTACAGTTACATTGAAGAATGGGATCGAATCGATGCTTATGCACTACATTGAGGAGGTCAAGGGCGTCAACCAGGTCTTGGATGAAGAGGAAGAGATTGCCATGAAGGAGTTTGCCAGGTTTGAGGAGAAGCTCCGACATCAAAAAGGGCCTGATGCGGCTCCTTCGACTGTGGGCAAGGGCAGTCTCGACTTTGCCGCATGAGATTTGGTCGCTTGAGGGTCATCGATCCACACTTTTGTTGAGCGTCGAGCCCTGTTTGTAAAAATCAATTGGTATCTCCTCGGGATTGCCTGATGGATGAGTCCTGGCCTCCCGCGACGTGCGCCTGCTTCTTCCGATTCGCGAAGACAAAAGGATGGCATTCTTTCGCAGATGGAGTCTGTTTCGCAGATGGAGTCTGTTTCGCCGCCGCCTACGATAGAGGGCTCGCAGTATTGTAAGAATCGAGCTTGATTTTGACCACCCTGGTAGGCGACGGCGAGATTGAACCACGATTTCCGAGGTGACGTAGAGGGATCGAGATAAGGCATCTTGGCCGGTGTCAGGGCGGGGGAGGAGGTATGTCAGCTGGACGCGACTGACCCCAGGTGTTTTGAGGCATATGTATCTGGTCTGAGGAGGTTTGAGGATTTCATTCGTCGTGCGGAGGTGGCGCCATGGGTGAGATGGAAATACATGGACATACAAGTAGACGGTAAATGACGAGATGGGCGTGTGGTGGCAACATCTCTTGGGTCATGAGAACCAAGCACGAAGTACAGTACATTGGTGTGGCCCAAGACACAAAATGGTAAAGATCAGGGCGCACATGTTTTGGAGGGTGGAGGTGGATGGTGGAGGGCTGGTTGACGCAAACTGCGTTGGTTGGCTTTCAAGTCTAGGCCAGCAAGGTCAGCCAAAAGGGAATTTCGGATGTTGGGTTATGAGTTTACTTCGTAGTTGCTCGTACTTGGTTTCCCCGCAAAATGCTGAATTGGATTCCGGCGGCTTGATGCATGCCAGGGGTCAATCATGTCCAGATGTAGGTCTATCAGGAAGCATCTCGATCGAGGGCTGTCAAGGCCAACCCGTTCTGGCCAGTGTTGAAGGGGGAGCATCCACTGCATCCACTACCCTGTTCATCAATCACGGCGCCAGCCACTTGTTAGAGGTGATTTGCAGAGGAGGGGAGCCCACCAGGTGTCTTGTAGTAGGAGGGGAGGAGGGGATCCAGTAGTACACAGTGGGTGAATGTGAATGTCAATCACTGCAGGTGTTCATATCCGGGAGCCTGTCTAGTAGTATTGTTGACAATGCGCCTGCTCGACTAAAGGCGTTGTTCAAGTATTGTTGTATTCTTATGCTGGTTACACAACCTCTGTCACTTTCACCAGATCCTGGTAGAGACAGTGTTAGTGGGCGTGGCCAAGTGGGAAGGTGCGTACCTAGTACTACCTAGTACCTGTGGTAGGCGTGGTAAGGGTGCGTGCTGGCGTGGTAGGGCAGGTGGAGGCGGGGTTTGTGAGTCGGTAGCAGTCAATGGGTGATACTCACACACTCGCCCTGAAGCGGAAGTGACAACCTACGTGCCTACCTTGTCCACCTCTACCCACTATTACCACCTCGTAATTACCCTCTGCTTCTCTATGTGCTTCTTGTCACAGCCTGGCCCATGTCATTACCTCTTACTACCATCTGCTTTGCCTTTTGCCTTCTTCCTCACTTGCCCTTGCCCTTGCCCTATTCTCTTGGTTCGCTCGTTGTCCCCTCCTCCTCTTCGCTATTTTGCCTTTTCCAGACTCCCTTCTCGCCCATTCTCCTCTTTGTCCTCCTGGGCCAGACTGCGCAATCCGCCTTCGCAACTGGCCCACCCCCGCTCAGGTCCCGAAAGTCAAAGCTTCTTCGTCTTGTCTCTGACATATTCCGGACCTCTTTACGAGTACCTGGGAAAACAAGGGCATAATCTTGTGGAACCCTTCCATGGGCATTGACGAAACCCTGGCTAGGAAAGAAAAGTTACTTGTACAGCCCGCATCTCATGGCGTGACTGTCCATATTGGGCCAGCCGGGCCTCGGTCTATCTGTCATTCCTTCCAAGGGCTGCTTCAGATTGCAGGCTGCAGGGCTTCAGTTTTCAAGGCTTCTACTTGTGCCTAAGGACATGACGGTCAACCGCGTGGTTGAATTGGCCCATGCCCCCAGATGGCGTCCACTACCGCTTCGACTAAACTTGACTAAGAGAACCGCCTTCGCCGGCCCTCAAGCACAAGCACAAGCACAAGAGCAAGGGCCACACACAGACCTAAACTGTTTTCTCTTCTTCACACCAGAAGCTAGCCACACCTGCCACCCTCTCGGTGCTTCTCTTTGCCTCCTTGTCGTCCTGGCCATGGACTTGTTTTCTTGTTTCTATATACCGAAGGGGGGGCCATGTTGTCTTTTTTCTCTTCGTATACTTCTACTTCTCGTCGACTTCTTGCAGTGTCGCAACCTTCGTGTCACCTGAGCACCGTTACCATTCTGTTTGCTACGTGCTCGGTATTATTGCTATACTGCTTGCCCAACACGTGCTGCCCTACACTTGTTACCCCATCCTGCCCGTAGCTAAAGTATCTGGTCGCCCATTGATCCATTGATCATCGCCCTCGACCAGTCACAGAGAAGAGAAGCAGCCCCAGCAGTCGCCAAACCTCCTCCCCCGCTTGGACCATCAGCAGTTCCCGCCTTTTCGGCCTCCAGACCTTAGCTTTTTTTCCCATTACCCTTCCCCCTTTCCCAAGAAACCTCCCGCTGGCTGGCGCTGGGATCTCTCAGTCCTCGTCCTCGGCCCTTACAAACCCTCGAAACGACACCAAAAACGAAGTGGTCGCGTGAGAAACTAAGCGAAAAGCCTGTTCATCATAATCCGGGGAAGGCGGCACATCTTCTTCTGTTCTCTGTTCTTAGTTGTGAAAAAGGGCCCCCGTTCGTGTCTATTTTCTGTCCATCTCCTCTGCTCTACCTCTCCTCATCTTGTCGGATTCCTCCGCCTTGTTGTTCGTAGTAAGTTCAAAGGGCCCTATTCACTAGCTTCCCTCTTACACACACATACACTCCCTCCCTCTTCCTTCTTACCACAATCCACCCCATCATCCATCACCCATCACCACCAACTGTCAGCCCGCTTCACTCTCCCCCATCTTCCCCAGGCACTCACAATTTCCTCCATCCTTTTCATCCTTTCCGTCCTTCATAAATTGCCTCCATTGCCTGGTGACAAAGCTCTTGTCTGCCTTTGCTCTTGACAGTCCTCCACAATCCTCAAGACAATCACCTGACTCTTCTAGCCACTTGCTCTGGGCGCGGGCCGGTCGTTTGCTGTGAGGGTCCAAATCCCGAACTATTCGCCGACGACCACCACAAACACGACCACCAGATTTTGTCGACCACGCCAGCAGATCCCTCTCCACGATATTCATCAACATTCACACGTCTCTGTTCTCTTCCGGCTTGTCCCAGTAGGTTCCACAGCTCTTCCAAGACGGAGCGTTGGTCCTAAGGCGCGGCCGCGCCCCAACTCAACCATCTCCGTATCCGTACCCCGACATGTTAATTCAGACCCTCAGCCTCTCCATGTCTCTTTCATAGCCACAAGGTGAGTTGGGCTTTTCAGTCTTCATCATTCATCATCAAATTTGGTTTGTGAAACGATCCTGCCCCGTTGGCTGGTGAATCTCTGAATTCCCGTCTCAGCCCTTGTAGGTGAGGACGGCTCGACACTGGAGCTATTCTTCCTCTTCACACATCTCACGTTCCCTTGGAATCAATCGGAATTCTGCTGTACGCCGAGTTCTCCCCTGCTGTCTAATCGCTTTTCTGAATCCCAACATTCCTTGCGACCTTGACAAGCTTGTGCTGACTCGAAACGAGAACAGTGTCAACCCACGTCTAATCTGGCGTTGCCACCCTCACCCATCATGAGTAACACACCCAACAAGTCGGGTCTGACCACTCGCGGGCCTATGCCAGCGTTCGGCAATTTTGGCGCGCACCAGGCATCCGCGTCGCTGCTCCTTCAAAAATCCAATCCAGGCTTGGGCAGGTCAACCCCCGATTCCGAGGCGCTGGCTTCTTCAGACGACGAACCCGACCACGGAAAGACTGGTGGTGGCAGCAACGTCAAGCCCAACCGGAATGTGCGAAGAACTTCCTGGCTAAATGATGTCTCATTGGCGAATGCGAATCGCAAACCCTCCATCACAGGCCCTTACAGCCCTTCCACCTCCCATCCAGGAACTCCTGGAGCAGAACCCTTGCCTTGGGGAAACCCCAACCCCAACGCGACAGGGCCGGGAGCATGGCCCAACTCCGCCACATCGTATCCTTGGCCTACCATTTGGAGTCAGGATGGGCGGAAAGATCCACCATCCCGCCTTCAGGAAGTCCTACCCACGAACGGTGAAGGCGGAATACCATTCTCCATTCCTCTCCAGCCGACGCCAAAGACCTACCGCTCACAATCATATTCAGTGGGCCAGCTCGACACGACTACGGCGCCACCGACTAATCCCATCTCAACCTCAATTGAAGCCACCCGCAGCAGGCTCGGAAGTCAATACCCTTTGCAGAGACGCACCTCGAGAACCAGTGGACTTGGTGTGATGGAGCCCGGCGGGCTGGGCCGACTGCGAGAGGTAGAGGACGATGAGGAGGAGCAGCGAGGCAATATCACTCCCGACGCCATCAGTGCTGAACAGGCTCGTATGATTGAGAGGCTGGAAAAAGAGAATGCTCAGCTTCGTCACGCTGCTCAAAATCGGGATCGTGGTTTCCCGACAACCGCGACGACTCCGGTCCAACCTCCTGGGTTTCGGAATACACGCCTTCGAAGCGCTGTGCCAGAAGAGGCTGAGACTGCGATTGATGATAGAGAAGACCTCGCGGGTTTCCCTGGTCGTGATAGCAACGCCCGTCGCATGAGTGAACAAACCCTCGGGTTCGCTGAAAGACAGCCGCTGTCCCCCGGCGAGAATCGCACCTTTGATGGAATCAAAAAGGCACACTGGCAAACTTCCCTTGGATTTGGCCCAATCCCCGAAGCTCCCCAGAGCCGACGACATTCGTTCGCTGACGTACCAACTCGCCATGGATCCTTCAGCTCGAACGGTGAGCAGATACTGCAAATGTTGCTTTTACAGTTTCCCGGGACTAATTGGTTAGGTCGCGACGACGATGCGACGGCGTATGAAAGCGGATCCCAAGCGTTATCCCAAGGAGATGATCGTAAGTTGGCCCTGGCTTTGACCCTAGCCATGATGCACCCAGATGAGGATCAAATGAATTATACGTACTTACGTGACCGCCACTTTGCAGCTGCCTATTTTAACACGACCGAGTCCACCCGACGTGCTGCTGATGCTCGAGTCCATCAGCACCACCGCGATCCCCAACTTTACGGACAACACCTCGGTGTTGGAGCGTTTATCGAACCGGCGGCCCAACCGCTTTTCATCGTCAACTTCAAGTGTTGTCGCTCAGATGTCTTCTACATCCAAGAGGGGACCGGCCTCCACGTCAATGTCGGTGACCTGGTCATTGTGGAGGCAGATCGAGGCACCGACCTGGGCACGGTTCAACATACGAATGTGACGTGGGAAGACGCTCGCCGTTACAAAGAATATTACGCCGAGGAACATTATAAATGGTTGATGATGTTCTCACTGCAGAGTCGGAATGGCGGGCCCAACGTCGTCAACCCCAACGGCATTCCTGGTCGGCATGGTAGTGCGGTGGGAGGCATGGGCCCTCAAGGCCATCATGGCCCTCACGACTCTGCCGGTCCCGATCTCAAGCCAAAGATGATCAAGCGACTGGCACAGAATCATGAGATTCAAGCCTTAAAGGACAAAGAGGGCAACGAGGCCAAAGCCAAGCGTGTCTGTCAGCAAAAGGTTCTGGAGCACCGACTGAACATGGAGATCCTTGACGCTGAATTCCAGATGTACGTTCTGCAGACCAGACCCTGCCGGCGCCCATCACTAACACCAGATTAGGGACAGCAAGAAGCTCACATTCTACTATTTTGCTGACAATTACATCAACTTCAATCACTTGGTCACTGACCTCTTCAAGATTTACAAGACCCGAATCTGGATGTCCGCCATCAACCCTGCGTCTTTCCAGACCCCGACCGCTTCGCTCGGTATACAGCCTGTTTATAGCACCGCTCCTGGTGATGAGCGCCATCGCAGACGACAGCAACAGACCCAGCAAGCTCCCAATCTCGGTCACCAGGCCGTCACCACGCCATTTGGAGACACCTTTGACGCGGACCGAAACTTCAACAACCATCAGAACCAGGGCATGCGAAACGCCTTTTACAATCAATTCCAGGATGTTGGGGCAGGACCTCAACAGATGCAGCCGGGAGCATCGCCATACGCTCCAGGCATGCAAGGTCAGATGGATCCCTTCATGTCGTTCTACGGTCAACCCTTCCCACCTCTCAACCCCAATGCGCCAAACTTCGCAAGCAGCCGCCCGGACTTTAGAGGAAGAGCACCAAACCCACCTGGCGATGTCAACTGGATGGGACGATTCCAAGGGCTCTCACTCGGTTCCTGAGTTCGGACATGTTTACCTAATGCATACGCATCGGACAACGACACTTGTCTCTCGCGGCTTATTTCGGACGAATTTTTGCATATGATGACCGGATGACAAAACGTAGAACTGGGTGTTCAGCACAAGACGAGGTTCAAGGAATTTCACGGAAGGCAACTAGACCTGCACTTTGGGAGGGGGAGGAAACTGGCTGAAAGATTAAGACTTGCTGATGAACGGGTTTTTGTGCTGGGACACGCATAGCACTCGATTCTGTTGGATCGCGAGCAGAAAGATTTGCTTTGACATCAAAAATTGTTGGGTAGGCTGGATTGGATCAAAGACCATTCGAAAATCAGATTGTTTTATGGGATTGCTGGATACAGAAAGATGAGCTAATATCGAAAAGGGAAGAGACGAAACGCATACAGGGAGGGAGATGGTGCTTGCGAGATCAAAGTCGAGATCGGGCTGAGGACCAAATGAGCTGAGTGTCAACTACTGGAGGGTACATGTTCACATTGCAGGCTGGCTTGTGTATTATACCGACACCAGAGTGCTTTACAGATAAGGACAACATGATGGAGCTTGATAATTGAAATACCTGGAACAGTCAGATAACAAGGGGTTGTTGCTGTACGCGGCAGTTGCCTTGGTGTTTCTTTCGAGCCCAATTTCTCACCTAAAGCCGGATCTGCTGTTGACTTTGCCTTCGCCTCAACTCACCATCGCTCCTGTTACTACCTCGACTTTGCAGCGTTATCGTGGCGCAGAACTCTCAACGATTACCGAACATCTCCTGAATTAAGTGGCTATGTCAGGTAGTGCAAATTCAGGTGTGTCCAATGCTGAAGTTCCGTCACAAGCACGCGGTCCCTGACACTGCACAGCTCGGTCCAAGTCTCATCAAAGCTCACGCAGAACCAGCTCCAAGCCCGATCACAAAACAGTAAAGTTCGACAATGAGGTAGTACTGTCGTCAGAGGATGAGGCGTCGATGGAGGAGAACAAAGAACATGGTGATAACGGCGCAGCGAATCTGCCGTAAGTGAGTGGGAGGTCCCGCGTTTGGCTTGCGCCGTGTCAAATAACCAGGGACAGGTTCGACCAAGAGAAAATGGACCAAATCTTGGGAAAGCTCAAGAAAGCCGACCCGTGGCCTCGACAATTTGGGGATGTGATCCAAGAGAAGGAGTCCTCCCTTGTCAAGAAACTAAGGGAGATCAAGGAGAAGAAGTCGGCGTTCACATCTCATCTTGTGTCGAGAGCCTCCGCTAACGGTCTCAGCGCCCTGGACAAGCATTCATTCGATGCAGAAATTACGCCGCTTCTGAGTTCTGCACTTGGAAGCTTCGCCAGCGGCGTGACCAAGGATCCTACATCTTTGGCTTTGCCAATTCCTGTTCAATTTCTGGGAGCCGAAGGCCAGATGTTTTGCGATGCAATGGTCGCTCTCATGAAGCAATCAGGCGCCCTCATAATTACTTACGACGAGCTTGCGGCCCGACCATCCCATACATCCCGTCTTGAAGAGATCCGGACGTCCTTTGACAAGGACAAAGGGGTTGGCGTGGGCACCATCGAAGCCGGCAAGAAGGTCATAGGCATGGAGATTGAGAGACTTCTGGCCGATGACCTTCACGAGGTGAGGGATCTGCAGGGTATTACGGCCGAGGAGGAACAAAAGGGCAGGATGCTTTTATCACATGGGGCAGATCACAAAGAGGCTGTTTCGAAGCAGACGCCAGGATGGGGGAATATTGCCCGGGACACGGAGATGGCGATTGAGGGGCTTTGCTTTGCGGGACAAGGGCAGGCGGTCAAGCGTTGATTCTGCATCTTGTGACTACTGTGGTACGAAGGTCTACCAGCAATTGCCTAGCAAGAATGTAATTATCAAAGAGCAGAGTTGCTTCTATGGCATCGTACATGGAGTAAGTGATGGTACTAGGGGAGTACCGAAGTCGACCTCTGATTGGTGGATGCGAATGCCAAGATTACAGATTTGCCAAGCCTGCGCACGAAACTTGGCCGTCGAAAATGAGAGCCAACCTAGTACCTTGTACTCAATTCTCAATTTCCAGCCGGTCTCTTTTTCACCACAACCGTCCTTTGCGAGGCGCAACAGTCAAGGTAATAGAGAGTCGTCCATGGTCAGCGATATCAATAACTAACGAATACTGTCAGATGGGTGCCCTCAAATACGTCGAAGAACTTCAGAAGAAGAAGCAGTCCGATGTCCTTCGATTCCTTCTCCGAGTCCGCTGCTGGGAGGTAAGAGACTCCCCGAGATGACAATGGAACAGACAAGAGGTTTTGTGAGAGGGGAAAAAATATACCACCGACCTCTTTGGGCTGTTTTCCATTCTCTTGTGGCACAATCTCATTTCAGAGATGTGTCTTGCTATACACTCGTTGAACATGTGAGCTGAGAGTGCAAAATATAGCTCCGACAATTGAACGTCATCCACCGCGCCTCCCGTCCTTCTCGACCTGACAAGGCCCGTCGCTTGGGATACAAGGCCAAGCAAGGCTATGTCATCTACCGCATTCGTGTGCGCCGCGGTGGTCGCAAGCGGCCAGTGCCCAAGGGTGCTACATATGGTGAGTGAAGACCGTGGTTCTACAGAGCCACACCAAAGCCCTCGTGGAGCAGCCACATTCTGACCGAAGGGCATCAATCATGCAGGCAAACCCACCAACCAGGGTGTGAACCAACTCAAGTACCAACGATCTCTGCGCTCCACGGCCGAAGAGCGAGTCGGTCGCCGCTGCGCCAACCTCCGCGTCCTCAACTCGTACTGGATCAACCAGGATTCGACCTACAAGTACTACGAAGTTATTCTCGTGGACCCCAGCCACAAGGCCATCCGCCGCGACCCCCGGATCAACTGGATTGTGAACGCCGTTCACAAGGTGAGTGACTCTTACATATCTCTTCCCTTGATAGGGACATTCGTCCCTTTCAATGACTGTTGTCGGGCTAACTTTTGGGGGAAACTAGCACCGCGAATCCCGAGGTCTCACCGCCACCGGCAAGAAATCTCGCGGCTTGGGCAAGGGACACGGCTACACCAAGACCACTTCGGGACGGAGAAAGACATGGAAGAGACACAACACCTTGTCGCTCTGGAGATACCGCTGAAGGAGGTCTGTCGGGACTTCTTGACACGATGGTTGACACGACGGGTTTGTGTTGGGGTATGCGCCGTGTGTTCACGACATGGGTATCAAAGTTTCTTGAGCGGCGAAAAGGAAAAGTTGAGGAGAATATGCTGCAGATGACGACCACGGACTTTTTAGGCTCTTTGCAATGGGTCTAGTCCTGATTTGCCTGATTTGAAATGGGAACCTCTGTCAAAAAGCCTTGAGCATGACTCCGAGTATGGATGCGAATTCAACCTTGCAGAGAAGGGATTCGCGGACGTACTACTGGCAGGGAGAAAGCTTTCTCTAGAATCTCGTTTGCATGCGCGCACGCCATGCCACGCATGGATGGACGGATGGTTGTGAAGAATGAGTCTCTTTTTCGAAATAACCTAAGCGAGTGAATGGGCATAGAAAAATTACGGCATTGACACTGACATTGCCTTGCAAACGAAACTACCTCGTTTCTTCCACAATCTTTTTTGGTAGAGATTTCGTGACCCACATCTTTGTTTGTGCACCTGCAAAATACTTTCCCCCGCAATTTTTTCATTCCCCGCAGTCTTTTGCGCCGTGCTTTTTTTTTGGTCGGACAAGTGACTGTGGCGATTCACTCATCTAGATAAAAACACTAGATTCTCTCCTCGCAGGTGTTTTGTATCCGACTACTACCTTAACCAGCCACCTTCTGGCAAGCAGCCCATCGGCCCGCTGCGGTATCTCTTGATCTCTTGATCCCTTCGAGAATCCGCAGGGCCAGTCATAGTCGATCCCAGAATACCAGAGTCGGCTCGCCCGGACAGACAGACAAACCAGTTGAAAGAATACTACCCTACATTTCCCAGGCCTCAAAACTGCGAAACTACCACCTCAGACCTCGACCTCAGTCTTGGTCTCGTTCTCGTTCTCCCGTCTCCTAGAAACTTGCTCTTGTCATCGACCTCTATCGCCTGGCCTGTCTATCCTACACCCTCCATCCTCTTTGCCAATATTACTGTTCAACATGCCCTCAACCACAACCACCGCCGCCGCCTCCTCCCTCACCACCCTCAACCTCACCGGCTCTTCCTCCTCCGCCAAAGATGCCGAAGACCTCGACATGTACGACGAAATCGAGATCGAGGACATGACCTACGACCCGACCCTGCAGATCTACCACTACCCGTGTCCCTGCGGCGACCGGTTCGAGATTTCTCTCGGCAGTCTGAAAGAGGGCGAGGACGTCGCCGTCTGTCCGAGCTGTAGTTTGATGGTGAGGGTCATCTTTGATCTGGAGGATTTGGTTGACGAGGAAGAGGAGGGTTCGGACGAAGAGGAGGAAGGGAATGGAGAGGAAGAGGAGAAGAAGGAGAAAGAAGAGAAATGAGAAACGCACGCATCTGGCGCACCCACGATGTCGCATCACTCATTCTCGCAATCCAGTCACTACTGAGGGACACCCATCGGGACGCTGAGCCATGGTAGCTCTGAGGGTTCGCGGATATGATTCCTCCATTCATAACCTTCACCTTTGACCATGAAGGACCATGACGGACCTTGGGAGGAAACCACCGAACCATAACCACTTCCTTCCTCTAGCGCTTTCTGGACGATACGTACCTCATCCGGCCTAGCCCGGCGACGAGACATGTTCGTATTCATGTTCATGTTGCGCGCTTTGGAAATTGTGGAGGCAAAGGCCTCATGCCTCTCTCCTTCCATACCATCACAGTCGAGGGTTCGAGGCCTCGAGGGCCCGCTCCGTTGAGCCACGACAAAGAACCCCGTCGAACTGGTCCCGGCCCCGCAAAGGTATATCGTGTATTGTTCTCGAGTGTCGTCGCCCCGACTGGGCTGGGTTGTGCCGTTATTTCAATCTCCAGCCAAGTCCAAGTCAGGGAGACAGGTTCTTCAGCTTGGTTCTTTCCGACTTGGAAGACTGGATGCAGATACAGACCGACTGAGACTGAGACTGAGACTGAGACCTTCGAGGGAATCAAGAGCAGAGCAGAGGAGAGGGGCAGTTGCAATACCGACAACTGTGCACCTCATCCCCTCGCCTATTTATCGTAAAGGTGATGGAGTGTTGAGAATACCAATGCCACGCAAGTGGACGCAGAGAAGGAGAGGAAGAAGAATGATACCACCGGTCACTCTCAAAGGATATCGCTTGAGAAAGAACATAATGTGGCCTGGTGGACTTTAAACTTGGGCCAGTGATCAGGTCGGTTTTAATACAGCTGGAAATCAACCCCGGCTTTCTTGTGGTATCTAGGGTCGCTGTTCAGATACCCAGTCAGCCAGTCAGTCGGACAGACAATTAGACAGATGGTCTCTGCGTCGTTCCCCAGTGACGATCCACGAGCAGAGAGGATAATCATAACAGAAAAGCCAATGAGCAACGAATACGCATTGCTGCATCGCTGTCTACCTACAGAGGAGCACATGCACACGAGGGAGAAGTCGTCTGACCAACATGCTGAGCATACACGATAGTCAACGTTAGGAACATATGACCAAGCTGTCCTCAACTTCTGCTGTTTAAGCCGGGATCGGGAAAATGTGTTAAAATATACATACCATGTGTACCACATCTCTGTGCCTTGATGATTGTCTGATTCTCGATCCTTGATCACCGAGTAACGCTCACTGTCTCCCACATGGAGTTACCTATAGCTTGTTCCCTGACCGAGGGAACGTAGTCTGTTCGACGCGTATATCCCCCGTAGGAACCTGGTTTTGAATACCTGTCCTTCTTCTCCATCCGCCCTTTTCCCTCGCCTTGCTCTTCCGACGACGTGACTAGACTTACATAGATCCAAGTCGATCCAGTTCATCTCAAAATCCAAACCTACCCAGTTTGGGATCTCCTCTCGAGCAAGTAAGTCTACCGGGAGAAAAGACCATACTCCTTCCTCGGCGGGTTTGATCATCCACGTCGATCATTCTTCTCCTCCGTCTTCTTCAGAGATCCCGAGTCTCATCTCGGTCTTGAAACACCTTCTCCGCAACGGGAGGGTACTCGAGCCCCCAGCCCGGAGTGCCCGAGGGTACGGCGCCCATCTTGCAGATCCGGATGCTGCGGATCGAGATATTCTCGGCCCAGATGAAGGGCGCCGCCACCGCCGGACCAGAAGGAACTGGTGTTGACGGTGCTCCTTCTGGACGACTCGTAGCATCCGTAACGGCGTCTCGTCCCTGGTTAAACAGCCTCAGAAGCTCCCGCGCGTCGACGTTCCCGTCGTCTCCACCTCGACTCTTCCCTTTCCATTTCCCACTCCCACTCCGGCCCTTCCCTCTCCCTTTAGCCTTTACGTATATCAGATTCGCGACCGTGGCGTGCAGAACCAGAGGTCGCGTCTCGGTGATGAGGCCCGCGTCCCGGAAGATGTCGCGCACCATGTTTCCGAATCTCTGTAGGCGGTCTGTGGGGTCGTGAGGGTGCGCGTAGAAAACCCGGGCGGAGCGGGCAGAGGGGAACGTGCCCAGGGAGGTCAGGGAGATGGTTATCGGTGGTGGCTGAATGTCTGGAGCTCTAGATTCGTTTTGGGAGAATGCTGGAGTGGTAGAGACGTGTGGTGGGGAGATTTCTCTCGTTAGGGATTGGATTGTTTGGAGTGGTGAAGATAACGCTGCGCCGGCTTCTTTTGCTGCCACATGCAGGTTGCCCTTCTCTTCGGGTTCGTGGTCTGCATCTTTAGCTCTGACAGACCGACTTTCGTTCTGCGTCTGCCCTGTTGAGGATGATCGGATCTCCCCGGCTGCGTCAACGGCTTTTCTTTTTGGCCGTATCTGATGCTTCCCCTGCCCGGATTTCCTCGTCTCGTCTCCTTCACCGAGCTCCGCTCGCCTGAGCAAATCCAGGTAATCAATCTGCTGAAGCACGGCCACAGCGTTGTCCAGATCCTCCGCGCTGGGGAGGTGCATAACCCCGAGAGTCAAATGAAACGTCCCAGGCGGGCGATGCGCCGACTCGGGAATGATTCTCAATGCCTGATCTGCATCTCGACCCCGTGTTTCGTTCCCGGCTTGCTCTGGTGTCGTGGAGTCCGGGTCGAGCTCCTGCCCCTCATAACCTCTCTCGGGAGTCGTATCACGCTCTGCAGAAGGTAAAGGCGTGGTGAGCGATCTGAAGTGTGCCAGGGATCTGGAGAGCTGGGAGACTGATTCGTCGCTGACAAGCGGGAAACAGACAAAGTGGGTGGGACGGTTATTTTGCGGGAACTTTGTGCTTCGCTTTTCTAGAGATGTCGTCTTCAAAACCGCCGAGTCCCGTGGTGTAGATGCTGGGTGACTTCGTTGATCTCGCGGGTGCTCTTGTCCGGCCAGAGGTTTTGCCAGTGGCGTCGTGGAAGTCATGTTGCGGGCGAACCGTGATGAGGCTGACCAAGTGGTAGAATCGAATCTACCAGACTCTACTATGCTTCGGCGGTGTAATCTCCGGAGAAAGAGGCTGGTGCGCATTGACACTGTCAGCCATCAGACGGTGATCCCGTCAACTGAAGCGTATTCGCTGCACTTGCACCATACCGCCGTGATCAGATCTGTGGTATGGGGATGTATTGTGCAGAGTGAGAAGAGCGGCGAGATTCCAAAGTAAAGTATTCAGAGAGGGCACCGGCAAGCAGAGATAATTTGCTGGTTGGGCTGAGTGGTGATGTATTTGTAGGCAGACAAACCAGGGATATTGGGTGCACGAGGCAGAACCAATCAGACCGAACGTCGGGGTTTAAGGTTAACGATTATGCTTGATTGGCCCTGAGGCTGCAGCCTCGTCAGCCTCGCCTCGAGACACGAGACAGAAGGGATATTTCTCATGCTCCAAGATATCATCTGAAAGACAATACGCCTAGGCTGTCGGAGAGATCTCCATCGGTGAGATTTGCAGATGGGAATTTCTCTGCAAGAGTAAAAACAAACTCCTGGATAGCAACGATAGCGGTTGTCAGGAGAGCTTATGCGCCTAGCCTCCAACGTTTCAAGGGCATCATAATCGTCGTGTATCTCGCCTTGAAGCTCCGTTTCTAGTGCGGGACAGCGAGAAGTACAACGCTGGCGACGACGAGCTGCCCAAACGCGAACGGCATATTCCAATGTCCTCCCATACCACCCCACAGTGCGACGCAAAGCCACACGACGGCGAACACCAGCCAACACCAAGCGGCTCGTGGTGCCAGCTCATATTTCAGCCGATCCATCTGCCATCCCACCGTGTACATCAGGCCACAAAACTCGTTGGTCCGGTCAAATGGCTGATCATCAAGAGAATCCATGACGCCGTATGGTCCACTGTAGGCGCCCGAAAATAACTTAGCTGGTTTCCAAAAGTATCACTGCCCTCGAGCAGCCGTAGCAGACTCACTTGAATTCGTATATCCATTCCGACCCAGCCATTCCTTCGAGTAGTCCCAGTCCATTCGCCTTCTGGGGGTCCCGCCCACACTTTGTTAGAAGATCGAGCATTCGAAGCTTCTTCTTGAGAAGCCTGGCATCGCGAATGCGGTCTTTGACGCACTTCCAGTCCTCACCAGCATCCATTAGACCGGTACAGTATCTGCTATGTTCGTCCCCGCAACAGATATCGCCCGAGGCATCTTCACACTCAAGAACACCTGCGACCATGGAGATGGTGCTATCTAGACCTTCTTCAATCGTTTTCAGGTCCCAGGGGTTCACGATGATTGAGAACACCTTGTCCTTCTGGACAACTCCAGTAACTTCAAACTGTAGAGCTGTAAGTAAGACCAAGCATCATGAACACCTTTGAGCAGCGACGCACTTTGACTTCTTCAACCTTTGTAATTCCGTAGTATGGAAGCCACTTCTTCCAAGTACCCTGTTGCTTCAGACATTCTTGTTGGAGCCTCTCAAAAACTGCAGCGTCACTCTCGTCTGTCTCGTCTGCAGTGTCGCTCTCCGTCTGGGCCTCTTCCGATCCTGCATCACCAACATCTGGTTCTTGTGCATCATCTTCGAAGATTACAGGAGTGGCAAAGGGTCGGCCGTATTGAATCGGTTTGAGGCAGGGTACAGCAATGGCAAACGCGCCGTCTCTGTTCCTCATGCATAAAAAGCAGCACTGTTTTGTTCTTCGATTTTTGAGGGGAATTCTCAGAGTCGACGGTCGTGTGGCGCCGTCCGGCGATCTCGCATTCATGTCTTCGGTTGGTGCATCGTTTCTGGCTCGCTTTGCTAGCAGTCGAAACCAGACACTCCATCTCCTGCCGACCGAGACAACTCGAGACTGTCCCCCTTGTCGCTCTAAATCGGGCTGGTCGAGGCCCCGTTGGTTACTGTAAGTTTGAGACGTCATTGGCGCGGAATTGGTGGTCAGAGACGTATCTGCTTCAAGATGCGTGTAGGTGAGGACTTCATATATGTATAAGTATGAGGCTGCACCTCTAGGTGATGATGGTAGGAGTTCACAGCCCCGACCATGCCTTTCGCGAGTGCGTGAGGCTCACTGCTGCTCGGAGTGCACTAGAAACACTGTCCGCGAATGAGATTCCGTAGACGCTCAGCCTCTCATGCATGCAATGTAATTGCCCGGCTTTGACCAGGGACCGCAGCAATGCCGCCTCGCTGGGCTAAACTTGGCCTTGCATTGTGTTTGCCTCGTCCCAAGTAGTGCGAAGTTCAACTTGAGGTTAGTAAGCATACCGTTAGTGATGAATATCACTAGCGCTACCAGGAATAGTTAGACCAGTCCACTAGTCTACTAGTCTGAGTCGGGTGCATGAGTCCATGAACGTTGATTGGTTCAAGTCAGGAATATCTGAGCGTCCCTTTCCGTTTCCATTTCTACACCAACTTAAACTTTCATCCTCATGTCCCAAAAGCCCTGCCTCAAAAGTCGCCCTCTTCCGCCACTCTCTACCGTGGAGGGACTTGATTGTCTTGATGTGGGGAAATCAGCGAACGTGTACGCCCTTGACAATGAAAGAGTCGTCAAACGATATGACGGCGGCAACGACGAAGAGGTTCGTGCCGAGCGTATAGTCTACGACCGCCTCGGCCATCATCCCAACATCGCCGAATTCTTGGGAGCCCTCGACGATGGCTCCATTGTCCTTGAGCGTGGACAAGTCCTTCGCGCTGTGCTTGCTCAGCAGCAGACTGGTCCAGACACTATTCCGTTGCGGACGAAGTATCGCTGGGTCCAACAAGCCGCGACGGGGTTACAACATCTCCACGACCACGGCATCATCCAGGCCGACGTCGGATGCCGCAACATGATTGTGGTTGACGGGACTCTGAAACTGATCAACTTCGAGGGCTGCAGCATCGATGGCGAAGGCCCGCGTTCCTCTTACGAGTGGTTCAGCTATAAGCCGTCGACGCCCCGAGCTACCGTGCAGACCGACATCTTTGCCCTGGGCTGTGCAATGTACGAGATCATGACTGGCAAACCCCCTTATTACGAATTCAAGGGGACGGAAAACGCGCGAGAGCATGTCGAGCGTCTATACGAGGCCAACCAGTTTCCTGACGTCGCTCGTCTGCCGCTGGGACAGGTAATCTCGGATTGCTGGCGTGGCAAATTCAATTCCATGCGTGAGGTGATGGGAGAGAGTGGGACCATTCACATTGTCGCCGAACATTGTCGCCGATCCAGCCATGGAGGATCGTTGCTGGGTGGAGAATGATCACAACACAATCCCTACAGAACAAGCGGTCGCTACTAATCAAAGACGGCGGTTAAGAGCTGGCTAAGGAGCATGAGACATTCCAAGATAAAAACGACAGTCGAGGAGCAAGCTGGTTCGGACGACAAAATACATCGAAGACGAGTATATGATACGACGGCGTTTGTATACGGGCAAAAACTTAGAGGGTGTTAGTGAAGGGCCTTTACTGGAGTACGGAACTTCCACCTCTGTACCCCGTTCTGTAGATGAATGCCACATGAAGACAGCCCACCGTCGGGCGGGCTGATAGACCTGACCTGACTTGGCTGTCGCATACCTCGTCCTATCCATAGCTGTACTATAGTTGTAACAACAAAGATGGATGGCCTATTTGTCGTGGTAGATGGAATGAACGGATCATGACCTGTATCTGGGCCAATGTCGAAGATCCCCAGCACCTCATTCAGCATTCAGAAAGTGAAGAGCAACATGTACACCTACACAGGCAGAACACTCCGTGTGAAGTATACAAATTCAGGGAAAATCTGGGTGGCGGCAACAATGGTGAATTACTACGCAGCCTTGGTTCCATTGCCGCCATCTCATATTCTCTTGATTCTCTGAGCATCTATTCGGGGTATCTATCTGTTGAAGAAGCTGATGAAGCTTCTGCGCGTGTCCGTTGAAGGACGTCTCTTTCTCTCTCTCCGTCTGATCTCAATTCCGAGATTTCCTTCCCCTAGTTTTCCCGCACTCTCAAAACAAAGGAGTCGAAAATGCCCCAATATTTCAAAGGGGTCTGATCTCGTCCCAAACTTTTTCTTGCCTCATCAATCTCATCCCAGGGTCGTTGAGTTTCGTGCGTAAGATCCGTTTGGACAAGGACGATAATGGGACCATGCCGTTGGATTCTCCATTTCTATGCGTTGAGCATTAGAAAACCTTCTCTCCCGAAGAAATGTAATCAAACCCCTCGGACGCCGTTACACATGCAACCATTCAAGAACTATTGGGGAAACCCTCGACAGACATCAAACCGTCTAATAGCGGTAGATATCAGACTTGAAGGGACCTTCAACGGGCAATCCCAAGTATTCTGCCTGGACAGAAGTCAACTTGGTCAACTTGGCGTTGACATGGTCCAAGTGGAGTAGTGCGACTTGCTCGTCCAAGATCTTGGGAAGAACGTAGACGCCAACCTCTTTCTTGCCGGTCTTTCCGAACTCGACGTATTTCTTGCCAAAGGCCTCGTCTTCAGCCTTGTACAGCATGATCTGAGCCAGAACTTGGTTGGAGAAGGAGCAGGACATGACAAAGGAAGAGTGACCGGTGGCACAGCCCAGGTTGACGAGACGGCCCTCGGCGAGCAGGATGATGTTACGCCCACTAGCCATCGTGTAGCGATCGACTTGAGGCTTGATGTTTTGGACAGACTTGGCGTTCTTCTTCAGCCAGGCGACATCGATTTCAATGTCGAAGTGACCAATGTTGCAGACAATGGCATCGTTGCGCATCGCCTCGAAATGCTTTCCGACGATGATGTCACGGCAGCCGGTGGTGGTAACAAAGATCTGACCCTGCGAAGCAACCTCGTCCATGGTGACAACCTGGTAACCAGAGACAGCAGCCTGGAGAGCGTTGATGGGATCCACCTCGGTGACGAGAACACGGGCACCCATGCTGTGGAGAGCCTGAGCGCAACCTTTGCCAACATCACCGTAGCCAGCCACAACGGCAATCTTGCCGGCGATCATGACATCTGTGGCACGTTTGATGCCGTCAACGAGGGATTCTCTGCACCCGTAAAGGTTGTCGAACTTTGATTTCGTGACGCTGTCGTTGACATTGATGGCAGGGACCAAGAGTTTCTTGCCCTTCAGCATGCGGTAGAGGTGGTGAACTCCAGTTGTGGTCTCTTCTGACACACCGTAGCAGTCTTTCAACATCTCGGGGTATTTGTTGTGGACAAGGGCGGTCAGATCACCTCCATCGTCGAGGATGAGATTTAGTGTCTTTCCAGAAGGGAAGGCCTTGAGTTGTTGCTCCAGGCACCATTCATATTCTTCTTCAGTCTCGCCCTTCCACGCGAAGACAGGAGTGCCTCCAGCTGCAATAGCTGCGGCAGCATGATCTTGGGTGGAGAAGATGTTGCAGGAGGACCAGGTGACCTCAGCACCAAGAGCTTTGAGGGTTTCGATGAGGACGGCGGTTTGGATGGTCATGTGGAGGCAGCCAGCAATTCGGGCACCAGCAAGAGGTTGGTCGGCGGCATACTTCTTTCTGATTGCCATCAGACCTGGCATCTCAATCTCTGCGAGATCGATCTCACGACGACCAAAGGCCGCCAACGAGATGTCGGCGACCTTGAATTTCTGGGCAGGAGCACCACTCATGATGTCGGATTGATGAGGGGGATTTGAGAGGAAGTAGAGTTAGACACTTGTGAGTTGGTGGTTTGTTGGTAAGAGAAAGATGAAGTGGGTGAGGGCGATTGAATTTGTCGGTGACATTTTTTCCACCTTCGCCCTGCAAAATCTAAACTGCGTCTCCAACGCCAACGACCAGCACCAGCACCAGCACCACCACAACCACAACTCCGATCCCACTTCCTCCTGGCGCCACTTGCACCCACCAATCACCCCTCATCCTCTGCATCGTGGGGTAGACCACATTCAACTGCCGCACCTTGCTAAGAGATAGGCACCTACTCCTTAGGGTCCTCAGCTCCTGATTTGGGTGGGATGGCGTGGATGATTAGCGACCTGTGGCGACCCCTGCCAACGGCCTCGAACTCCAGCCTAAGATAGGCATGATCACGGCATCACCACCCCATACTCGGTCTTGCTCGGTATATAATGGATAAACTCCCCCTTCGATATCGATGGACGCTATCAGTCTTCTCTTTATCTGTCTCGTGGACTATCAACTATCACCAACAAGCCAAATCGCAGGCTACCTGGCCACCATTCCGCTATCAGCAAAGCTCTGATCAAACTCGATGACCCCGTGATTTTTTGCCTCGATTAGGAAACAAAATGACAGTTTCCTCTGGCAGTCCAGTCGCGTCTGTTGTCGGCACAGTGTTTTGGCGCCTCCATGCGTGCTGTTTGTCATTCCATGCTTTGCCAGATACGTGGGCAAGCAAAGATGCTGTCCAAGGACTCTGAGACTTGCGGCAGGACACGGCAATGCGCTGTACACGTGGAAGTCAGCCAGAACCGCCGCTGGAGCCCTGCGGCAGAGTGCATCCTCCTGCAGATGGCCTCTACTAAGTCAATGGCTTTTTCCTGGCTCCTCTGACCGCCATATACTCATCCGTTGTGTTCCTGCCCTGTTTCTTTTGACTCTACACTCACTACACGGCGGTGGTTCCTTCCTCTGCCATAAGCCTCAATTGCGTGATCAGTTCCGCATTGCACACAATTCCAACCCCAGGACCACGTTCGGGCATTCCACTCATTTTTTCTAGAAAAACCCTTTCCTACGTTGATTCATCTTACACGGCAGCAATTATCACGATATTCTTGTTCTCGTCAACGACATTCGCACGTTGGTGAAGGGAATTTTGATCTTTCACCAAATGGCAGCCGCCCAGCCCAGACCAAAAACAGGGGGAAACGAGGACATCAATCTAGGCGCGCACGACGCCTATGTTTCGACTAAGATTCAAGGACTCCCTGCTCAAGTCACCGTTGAACAGCACAGTCCAGCAGAGGTCCATCTCAACCCAGAATCCACCCGCTGGCTAACAGTGTCGCCATACCTTGAGCAAGAACATCTTCTGGATCTGAACAGTGTCGACACTCCAAATCGCCTTCTTGCTCTTGCAGCGACACAACTAGAGCCAGCGTCAGGGAAATATGCCACGGTCCCCTACGAAGACGCTTTGGATTGGACCAGTCTCATGGAAACACTAAAGTCACTGGCTGCCAAGGAGGGGTACAGGTGGACGCGTCAAGAGTTCTACGTGGTGGAATTCCGGTCGAGACTCAAGAAAAATATTGACGTGGATCTCTTGTTCAAACTGGACAAAGAATCCCACATCGAAGCTACACAAAGTGGAGGGCTTCTCAAGTATTGGTACGGGGTCCCTGACAATGATAGGAGAAATCTGGCCACCTGTGAGTCGACACGACGAGTCCTAAATTTCACGCGGCTGATCGGTCTCTAGGTTTTTGGCGCAATAAGGATGATGCAGTCAATGGGGGCCGAGGGCCATGGCACAAACAAGCTCGAGCTGCCATTTCCAGCATGTATGAAGAAATCGATGTCAAGGGGCTGCGCTTCACGATTGAAGACGACGTGGCAAGCTGGGAGTTTGCACCGTATGTTTGAAGCTGCGAGTGCCTTGCAATCGCTCCACAGCTGCAAAATTGAGATGGACTCATCACGAAATGATCGTGCTTGGTGTTTCGAGCGTTGGCGTGGTAGCGTTGGGGCGTTCGGGGTTTGGATTCAGGTCATCACCTATGGGAAATAGACTGCTTGAATGAAAACATCTCTTTGCTAGGGCTAAATGGCATTCGCTAGAGGGATGTTGAAGAGGCAGTGGTTGAATGATATTGATATTGAGGATAATCTTGCCCAGTCCCTAGTTTCCCCATTAGGACTAGTGCCATCCTGCGATTGACGAGCTTCCTTTGCAAACCTCATCGACTCAATCCAAAAGCTCCAGCAAGTCCACCGAGCTCGCCCTCACTCTCCGCTCTTCGACTTCAGTCCGTTCCTTTGCAGGTTAACAACTTTGCATCGTCCCTCCCACCGACAAGATGATGGCCTCCAAGCTGATGCGGCCAGCTTTCGCCGCTGCCCGTCGCACAGTCCCCAGAACAGCTGTCCGAACATACGCAGCTCCGGCCGCCGCAGACACGAAACCCCCAGTGCCCTTGTTTGGACTCGACGGGACTTATGCGAGTGCTCTGGTATGATCAGTTGAACACTTTCCATGCAAAAGACGGAGTCTGGATCTGGGCACAGCTGTAGAGAATCACGGTTTCGATGCAGGCCAAAAGATCAGCAATTCAGGAACGTCTTGTTGAGGGAATTTTAAGCTGACACTCCTATTCTTAACAGTATACGGCGGCTGCCAAACAGGGCTCTTTAGAGCCAACGGCCAAGGCTCTCAGCAGTCTGGAACAGATCTTCAAATCCGACGCCAAACTCCCCCAAATTCTCGCCGCTCCCACCCTCTCCGACACCGACAAGTCACAGATTATTGCGGAACTGGAAAAGCACACCGGAGCCTCCGATAAATCCAACACCGTCAAGAACTTCCTGCAAACCCTCGCGGAGAACAACCGGCTGAGCTTGCTTGAGGGCGTCTGTGAGAAGTTTGGCACCCTGATGAGTGCAGCAAGAGGAGAGATGGAATTGATTGTGACCAGCGCCTCGGTACGTACACGCACTGCATTTATATATCATGGCAATGCACAGACCCCAAAACACCGTTCGGAACTAACTTTGTTGGCTGACAGAAACTCGATGACAAACTCCTTCGCCGTCTCGAAGCCGCTATTGCGAAATCCGAATATAGCCAAGGCAAGAAGCTGAAGGTGGTCACAAAAGTCAACCCAGATATCCTCGGCGGACTCGTGGTCGAGATTGGCGAGCGAACCATTGACCTGAGCGTGTCCAGCAAGATTTCCCGATTGAACAAGCTGCTCAACGAGACCGTGTAAGACCATCCTCCATGAATGGAATTTTGGGGAATGTGAAACAAAGTCAAGGGAGTGACTGGTGAAAAGAGCACCCTTGGGGGGTGATGACAATAGCACCTCGAGGGTGAGAATGGAAAACACTAGACAGGCAGTAGCGGCGGTCATGTATATAACCAATCCAGTTCTTTCGTCCTGACCACATTGATCATCTCTCAATTTCTGATGTATCTAGGGATCTGACGAAGCGTACCCATATGCAGACCAGGCTGAGGATTTGGCTTCGCTGCTCAACTTCTCAATTTTTCTCACTAACGCCATCCCACCCTCCCTTCGTTACGTTAGGCACCGATGGTGAGGCGACTGACATATTGACTAACAGACCTCAGCCTCAAGCATGCCGAACGGAGAGGAGAGGCCTCCACAAGTAACTCAGAAAATGCGAGGATAGCGCAGCCTCCTCAAACCCGGTATCAACGGATGTATCCCGGGGCCAATTCCATATCGCCGTCAATGATTTGAGAAACGAACATGACCAGTTCTCTTCTGGCCTCCGCAGAGAGTATCGACCAGCACACGAACCTTTCCACGGGAGAATCACAAGGCCATCAAACCCTTGGACAGCCGACGATGTGTACTCCGTACCTTGTACTAGTTCGCAGCCAAGCAGATTTGGCCCCCTCGCCCTCGGGCTGCCTGATCGCCATTTAACCAGGGGCCACACATCCAGGCCGAGCTGTTTGGCGAGGTTACGGCCGGCAAGAGTTGGTGTAACAGATCATCCGTGCCTGGGGACAGAGCCGTTGGTGAAACCCTTGGCTAGCCAGACGATGCACGACGCTTCAAGGATTTGTCGACACAGCCTGCTCGCAGCAGCTAGGGCTGGCTATGCTCCTAGCTGCAACTTCAGCCTCCGAGTAGCTATCAGAAGTCCCCTGTCCGACGTCCAGGCTACCTCCATGCCTCGAGCATCCCTACGCTACATAATGACCTCAATATTCATTTCTCGATGTTTCAACCTTGATCAACGGGCGAGTGGCTCACAAGTAATAGCTATTTGCTTCTTCTTCTACGATGCGCGAGGCCTGAATCCGAGGCAGGAGATTGGCGACCCCATTGGTGAAAGCATTCCGCTCCATTATGGCATCCCAAGTCTCGGCGCCACTGCTACGACAAAGCCAGGAGGGTGACAACCGGACTATACAAGGCCAAGAACATCAGAATCGGTTGAAGGAGGGTACTGAACAATGGCGAGAGTCTCATCACGCACAGGCTCAGGATGCGAAGACGCGGCCATCGGACAGGCCTGTACACAGAGTCGAAGGAGCGATTTCCGACATCATTTGGGCCCTTACATTCGTCAGCCTTCCCATGCTTGTATTGACAGCCATCTTCGTCTACCTCGTCTATCGCTATGAGGTTTCCAACACGCCCGAGGCCTTTGAGAACTTGCTTGGAATTGCGTCCATCCGAGACAGCTCAGCATACTACGTTGATTACAGCGCCACACGACTAGCTACCGTTTCGTCCTGGACAAGTACTGCCACGTCGCTAACGTCTGCCTTTGTCATGGTCCTGATCTCCTACCCGCTTGCGAAGGAGTATATGAGGAGATCGACCTTGGGACAGGTCGAATCTCTCCCAACGATCTATCAGCTCAAGTTGATCATAGGTCTGCTTGAAGGAGGCTTCGGGCCGTTGTGGTCCTGGATACAGTACTGTTTCTGGAAAGGGCGAAACAAGCAGATCAGGCTCTTGTGGATGGCCGTCGCGAGTCTATGGGCAGCAACTCTGTTGAGGTAGGGACTATATCAACAAGTCAAGATGTGTGCTCGCTGGCTAACTTGAGCGGACAGCATCGCCATCGTCGGGGTCGATACGTGGCTTCATGTCACAACGACCACGGTGAACCTAGACACCCTCTCACCGCCCGCATCTACGCCTGTCGCAAGCTACGGACGTGGCCTCATCCCCCTCTGCTACAACCAAACTTGGACGCCCGGGGACATCAACCAATGTATCGGCGGCCTGCAACTACCGGGGTCGATTCACTTTGACAGCGCTTCCGAGGCGACGCGGACCTCGATGAACCTGTCCACGGTCAATGCCGTGTTGGCCAGTACCATCGACGACAAGCATTTCGCCTTTCTGACCTCTGCACAGCGCGATCCCGATCTCGATTATCGGGCGCGCACCTACGCCATGAGCACCACGTGTTCTCCGGCCAGCGAGGCGTGTAAGCTCCAGCAGATCCAGTATTGCCCCTTTGAGAACGACTGTCCTCTGGGACTGGTGCAGATGGCGCTCGGAATGGCGTACAACTGCAGTTCCAATCTCTACGGGGACCTCAACAACAACACCGGGTCGACCTTCACGTCGGTTAATGGCAGTTCGTCCGGGACAAGCAGCAACATTGGCTTCTTCCTCCAGATGTTCCGGGCGCGAGGGTTCGAGGACCCCATTGGCACCCCCGATCAGCAGATGGCGACTCCGAATCCATTCTTCTTCGCCGTCGGTGGTCGCGTGGCCACTTCCGACGCTCTATCCAAGGACCCCCAAGCCGTCGAGGACGACGAGCAATACAACTACGCCTTCATCTTCGAGTGTACCTCGACCGTCTACGAGTTGGAGTACGCCTCCATCGACGGCGGCAGCGTCGTGGACGGGAACTACACGGCCGCCAACGAGACCTTGTCCAACAACGTGGGCTGGACTCTGTTGCAGAGTCGGGCGCTCGTCCAGAACTCGCTCGAGTCGGCCTTTTTCAGCGGCGCCCAGCAGGTCAACACGTCCCAGGCGTTCGCCGACTACTTTTCCCAGCAGTTCAGCCGGTCCGCGCTGAGCATGATCGCCGGCATCACGGTCGAGAGGCTCAACGGCGCCGAGCAGACGCGGCAGACCCGCCTGGTCGCGCGGCTCCCCAAGGCCCCCTTCTTCAGCCTCATCGTCGCGAACCTGCTCTACGCGCTGCTCGGCATTTGTCTTGCCGGGGTCGCCCTGGCGAGCCAGCCCAGGAAGACGCGCAACGTGCAGGCCCGCCTCAGCGTGGCCGGCCTGGTCGCTGCCCTGTTGGAACCCGACCGCGGCGGCGCAGGGCGACCGTGCTGCGGCCACAAGGGACCCAGTAATACGGGAATTGAGAGCGTCTTTGCCGAGTACTACTCCACGCATACTCATGCTCGTGACCACGCCCTCGAGCGCGATCATCACAGCCGAGTCATCCTCGTCGACTCTAGTCCAGGTACCGGCACTAGTATAGGGAACCGAGTCTTTGAAAAAATCTCCCTCCCCCGCGCTACTGTTGGCGAGGTTTCTTCCACCTCGACCACCTCTCCAGCGTTCATCAATCGAGTCGACACCCCCGTCTGTGACAGTCACGCCACCACCACTACTACTACCACCACCACCACCAGCAGTACCAGTACGACCTTGTCGCCCGAAGAGAGACGATCCTCGGAAGAAAACCCCGTGCATCCAGATCCAGATCCAGCCGCTCGGCACGGTGTCCACGTCCATGTCCCACTATCCATGTCTTTGTCTTTGGCTGGAGACGGCGGTGTAGGCGGAGGGGGAGGCGGTGGTGGAGGACACGTATCTTGAATGGTATATGGTACATGGTATATGGTGCGAGATGGGTCACGAGCCAAAGGACAACAGACCAGGATCCAGGATCAGACAAGAAACTTACATACCAAGCAGCCAACTGACCGAGTAATAGATGAAATGAAATCTGAGAACAGCGTTGAGAATTCCTGCTTTACATTGCCTTGTATTGTATTGTCCTCGGTACCAATATACCTATGTATGTACCTGGGATGATTTAATCGAGGGCGCAAGGCTGACCTGAGCTGGGCTGTCTCTTACTCTCCCCTACTCTCTCTCCCCCGCAAGGCTGAATACCCCCAAAGATCTCTTTTATTCTCTTCGTTGACTGTATAATCTCGCAAAGAAACAACGGGCAACCCAGGTTGACGTTTTATTTATTTATCCACAAATGCCTGCTCAGATGCACTTAATGTATATACAAGACGCTCTAGCCATGCTGTATCTATGCTGTTCCATGCTCCAACAACAAAAGCCCACACGCTCAAGACATCTAGTATACAGCGCATATGCCAGCCAGCCTCTATTATTTGCTCATGCAGCATCTTATGGTTCTTGGCGCCACTGAATTCTACCCAGAAACCCTCACTGCCAAACTCAACTAATCAAGCTGAGCCTCAAACTCATCCTCATACACTGCAGTGCTCTCGTCCGTCTTGATCTTGGTCAACTGCTCATTGACGTATCTGTCGTAATGACTGTCCGCAATACTCTTTCGCCGCTCTTTCTCCAGTTTGTCCTCTTTTCCCCATGCATCCGAATCCGTCACCGCGGGTTCGGCGCCTTCAAAATACGAAGTCGGACTGTCCACATCATGGATAACAGCCGGTGTCGCATGGCCTCTACTCGAGTGGTCGCCGTTGGTGACAGAGACAAAGGAGCTGCGGTTGCCAATCGAGCGCGAAGTCGAAGAACGCCGCATCGGATTGGGCGTGCCAACAAAGGTACCTTTCCGGCTAAGCCCACTTGAAAGAACGTCATCAAAGTAGTGTGCGGCGGCAGTAGAAGGTGTACGAGGAGTCTGCGGTAGACGACAATTGATTCCTGTGTCGTGAATCATCTTTGCCATGAGCCCAGTCCACCCGCATTGATGGCTCGCACCAAGACCACGTCCACTATCACCGTCGAAGAACTCAAAGAACCAAAGGTAGTCCTTCCAGTGCGGGTCGAAATCGAGCGTGTCATTGCCCGCATTAATGGCGCGACGGCCTTCACTGTCACGCACCATGAGATGCTGAAGCCGATGCTGGATCTCCTCGGCCACATGCCCGAGATGCATGTATTCGCCCGAGCCAGTCGGGCACTCAATCTGGAGGGACGTGCCATAGAACATGTAGAACCGCAACAGTGACTCGACAAGCAGGAAATTCACAGCAATCCAGATTGGGCCGCGCCAGTTGGAGTTGCCACCAAAGAGGCCAGAATCAGAGTCACCTGGTACGTAACTGACCTTGAACTGTTGGCCGTTGACATCCATGCTCACGGGGTGGTCTTTGTGATACTTGGACAAGCTGCGGATCCCATGCTCAGAGAGAAACTCTGTCTCGTCGAGCATCCTCTTCAAAATCTTCTCTAGCCGCTCCTTGCTAACCAGAGATAGGAGGAGACGCTCATCTTTCCCTCTTTTACGCATCGAGGCAATGTTGCGCTCCGCAACGTCATGGCGGTTTTCAATGAACCAGTCCATCCTCCGCTTGAAATTGGGAAATTTGTTGATCAGCTCCGGCTCCAAGGTCAGGACAGCGTACAGTGGAATGAGGCCTACGAGAGACCGTACACGCATTTGTTGGGTCCATGGCCCGCCCCAAGAGATGGCGTCGTAGTAGAACCCGTCCTCCTCGTTCCATAGACTCTGGTCTGTGCCTCCGGCCCGGAAGCTCATGGCGTCTGAGATCAGAAGAAAGTGTTCAAAGAATTTCGATGCAATATCCTCGTACGTTCGTCTGTGCTTGGCAAGTTCCAAAGCGATGTTCAACATGCAGAGGCAGTAGAATGCCATCCACCCTGTGCTGTCAGCTTGCTCCAGAACTCCGCCTGTCGGCAAAGGCTCAGAGCGGTTAAACAGACCAATGTTGTCGAGCCCCAGGAAACCCCCTTCAAACACATTCTTGCCGTCATAATCCTTGCGGTTGACCCACCAGGTAAAATTGAGCAGTAATTTCTGGAAAACGCGTTCGAGGAAATCCAGATCCTGTCTCCCATACATCTTGCGTTCGATCTTGAAGGTCCGGAAAACGGACCATGCGTGGACAGGTGGGTTGACATCGCCAAAATTCCACTCATAGGCCGGTAACTGTCCGTTGGGGTGCATGTACCATTCGCGAGTGAACAGGTCAAGTTGTTTCTTCGCAAACTCCGGATCGACCATGGCAAGAGGAATGCAATGGAAAGCCGAGTCCCACGCCGCGAAAAACGGATACTCCCACGAGTCCGGCATCGAAAGAATGTCGTCGAGGTACATGTGCTTCCAATGCTGATTCCGGATATTCTTGCGATTCTCCGGAGGAGGTGGCATATTGGGGTCGCCGTTCGCCCACTGGTCCCAGATGAAGTAATAGTGCTGTTTGCACCAGAGCATGCCGGCAAGAGCCTGGCGCTGGATATTTCTCAAATCCTCTGCCATCGGAAGAGGGCTAATTCTGTAGTAGAATTCGTCGGCTTCTTGTCGTCGTTGTTCGATGATGTCGTCCAAAAGCTCTTCGTTGAGGTAGCCATCGTATTTACGCGACAGACGGAACCTGACGACAGCGCACTCTCCAGGAGGGACTCCGTCGCCTTGCCCAAAATCATACCACGCAGCGCATTTGGTGCCCGAGCAGCGAGGATTGATGGCTCCCTTCTCCTCGTCGACGATCCACCGGTGGAAAGCGTCCTTGACGTATGGTTGCTTGTTCTTGACGCCGTAGAGCTTTTGAAGATTGGTGTCATTTTCTGTGAACATAAGTTGTGGATGGACATCATCAGCATCCGGGCCACAACCTGGTGATGGAGACAGCTGGAAGAAGCGATGGCCCAGCTTGTGGTGTTTGGATTGCGCAGTCATTGGTCCCACCATGCGGATATTGGGTTTGAGCTTTTCAGGCTCATGGCCCCAAGACCATGTGTTCCGGAACCACATGTGAGGGATGATATGTAAAGGAGCAGGTTCCGGGCCCCGGTTATACGCAGTGACCCGGAACAGCAACTCTTCAGGGTCGTCCGTCTCTTTAGCAGTCTCGATAAAGATGTCAAAGTAGCGATTGTCTTTGAAAGCGTCCGAGTCGATGATATTGAACTCGCGCTCAAGCTTACCACGTTTCGCATTTTCTTGGATCAACTGTTCGTAGGGAAACCGTCTCTGGGGGAGCTTGTAGAGGTATTTCATGTATGCTGAGGAGAAGTCAGCTGAGTGTTGCTCGAGTTTGCGACAGTCGCGACTCACAATGCGTAGGCACATTGTCCAAATGGAAGTGCGCCTCCTTGAGACTTTCACCGTGGTTGCCCTGAGGGTTGCTCAGGCCGAAGAGCCTCTCCTTCAAAAAGTCGTCCTTCTCATTCCAAAAGGCGAAGGCGATGTTCTGGAGGCCATGAGTATCCGACACTCCAGCGATACCGTCTTCACCCCAACGATATGCTCTAGACCTGGCTTGATCGTGAGAGAAATGACTCCAGGCGTCGCCATTGTCCGAGTAGTCCTCCCGCACGGTGGCCCATTGACGTTCAGCCACGTAAGGGCCCCATTTCTTCCAGTATTTCGTGCGCTCGCGGTCCTCCTTCAGCCGCTTCTCTTCTTCACAGAGATACTCATGGTGGTCTACAACAACCATCCTTGCGAGTGCGGTTCCTGTTGTGTAGTATGCTAGGAACAGGTGGAATGCAGATCAGCACTCGCGGTGGAAGATGTGGAGAGAAGTGAGGACTGCAGTTCTCTGCAGGCAGAGAAACGAACGAGATGACAACGATGGACGTGGAGACCTGCAACTGCTTGGATGTCCCAGACGGAGAGCAAGAGGAGCGACAGACGGTCTGCCTCTCGAAAGGAATGAAAGGAACAGAAAATTTCCAAGTCGCACAGATGCGCTCTGTTTGGCAGTGATGACGATCGGCGCAATCGAATTCTTGATGGGAATTGGCAGCCGGCGGCGTCGGTGGCCGTTGCATCCCACTCTGCAAGCCCGGCCCACTGCCTGATCGTGGCTAGGTGGTTGGAATCTGGCCAGGAACCTGTTCTCGGGGCATCCACGATCGTCAGCGGCGTCCAATATTCGTCAAGTTAGCGGATCTAGGGGGTTGTGATAGGCTGTGGCCCTGACATCCGGGCCCGGACCGCCACTGGGATGGCTGGGGATTCAACAGATTTCCTGGCCCAAGGACTGGGAACCCTCGCCTACCGCCCCCACGCCAGTCACTCCTGGTTAGTTAATCGACTTAGGGGCGCCTAGCTTGGCACTTTGGTTGACTACTGCCCCCGTGCACTCGTAATCTTAGCGCGAAATGCCGGGCCTAGGCTCTCCTGCTAGGCTTGTTACACTTAATAATAATCAGTCCCTCTCACTGCTCTATTCAGAACTCATACCACGTCCACGTGAAAACATACAGAGCTGGTATAAAGTGATACTTCAAATTCGCAGATCAATCTCATAACTATCATAGAATTCATGCTTCTATGCAGCAAATGCTGCCGTGGGTACATCTCTCGTCCGTTTTCGTAGCTGCTTAAAACCTGGTTGTCGATAGCAGTTTTCCCCTTTTTCATACCAGATTGCCAGCCCATGCAAGTTCACCATGTCACCATTGTCTATGCCAATGCCCATAAGGATATCCAAGCTTCGTGGCTTTTCCCCAAAGTCTCCCTTTTCCCGCTCGATGGCAACCCCATTATCTAAATTGTGCGACTTGGTCCCGTATGTAACTGCGATAATACTTCCAACTCCTCCAAGATGCGGCGCCACCAACGCTGCCCGGCAATCACTTGAACAGTGCCAGAATCTCCTTCATATGCTGTTCTCGTACCTCTTGCTTGCTCAGCTGTTTGTAGTTTTGGTTCACCGACACGTCGGCCAATTGCTGCTTTCGTTTCTGCAATTCCACGATCTTGCCCTCAATGCTATTGTCCATTTGGTAACGTTTGACCACAACGGGGCGCTTCTGTCCAATGCGATAGATTCGATCCACTGCTTGTGCCTCCGCTGCAGGATTCCACATCGGTTCCATGATGAACGCCCGTGATGCAGCCGTCAAGTTTAGCCCTTGTCCAGCAGCCTTGATCGATGCCAAAAGAATCCTGATGCTGTCGTCCGATGCGAGAGCATCCAGTGACTTTTTGCGGCTGTTAAGGGACATCGTGCCATCGATCCGTACAAAGGTGTAGCCGTGATCTATCAGTGCCCGCTCGATAAGATCCAGGTGCGACGTGAATTCCGAGAAGACAACACATTTCAGAGGAGCTTCTCCGGCGGTCTCCAACTCTCGACTCTCTCGATACATTTGCTCAAGGTCTGCCAAAAGTGCTTTTGTCTTAGTATGGGGTCCGTGATATATCTGCACATGGTCCTCTTCTTCTTCTTCTTCGGCAATGGTGTCGTCTGGCGCCACGAGAATCTCTTGCGCCGTGGATCCACTAAATCCAACATACTGCGCAGCGATCCGGGCGGCACAGAATGGACAGGTAACGGCTTCCTTGTCCGGTATGCTATCGAAGGATGCCTTCGCTGGGCTGAAACAGTCGGCGCAGACGAGGTCGAAGCAAGGGAGGATAAAGCATCGCAACGCCTGCTCTTCGTCATCCACTTCGGTCTTGACTATATCCTTGGTTATGCTCCGTTCACAGCTTCTGCACACGTCTAGCTCAGCTTCGGTCCTCAAGTTCAACGACTCATAGGCGGCTTTTCGCGATATGCTCGGCGGCGCGGTATCCTCGTCGACGTCAATCGCGTCTGTAGGGCTATTTCCTCTCAGCAATGTCAGATCTTTCTCCTTCAGCAACTCTCGACCATGGGCGCAGATTAGTCGTAAGGTCATGATGCCACGAAGTACGTGATGCTGAACACCGCTGTTCTTCTCCTTCGCACGGCTGAGCTGTTCGATTTGGACGTGAGCAATACCTTTGAAAAAGTCGTGCAGCTTTCTCTCTTCGTCCGAAAACGACAGTTTGGCAACGTAGTCTTTTCTCTCCGGGAGATCAATCCGGTCTCGAAGTCGACGGAGGGTGAATGAGTCCACAAAGACACGCAATGCCTTCAAAAAGGCCGGATCGCCTGCTTGAGCTGGACCTCGAATGTACTGGTTGAATCGACCAGGGGTGTCGTACGGATACATGCGCAGGAATCTAGTCAGAGATCCCAGGTCATCCAGGCGATTTTGGATAGGTGTTCCTGTCAAGCACCAGCGTCGTTGAGCGTCCAAGCTATAGCAGGCCTGGGACTGGAGAGCTTTCTGTTCTCGAATAGTGTGCGCTTCATCCAGCACTATCCTGAACCATTTCAGCTGTCTCAATGGGCTCACTGCTGTAGCAGCCTTGGAGAACTCAGACGCCACTACACCGTATGTCGTGATGATCATTTCGTACTTCAGTAACTTGTACGGATTCTTCTCTCGGTTGGGGCCATGATAGACGTGGTATTCCATGGTTCCAGGCTTGATGTGCTGTGCAATCTGATCCTCCCAGTTCTTCACTGTGCTGGTTGGACAGACAATCAACGTCGCCTTGGTGTTCGACAGTATGATGTGCTGCATATCCTGATTGTCGCGAACTACTTTTTCGTTGGCAAAGGATTCCGCTTCTTCCAAGGTACTTGCGATGAGTGATAGGGCCTCCAGCGTCTTTCCCAGACCCATCACATCTGCAAGGAGGCCCCCAAGTACTTGGTCGGGTTCGTCCTTGACAGTAAGGCCGGTAACAACTTCATGATACGCAACATCTCCATTTCTGCGTTGTTTCCGCCGCCAGAGCGAGGAATTCTCTGCTTCATCACCACCGAATGTACGTGGCTGCTCTTGGCGCAGAAGAAATGTGAGAGCCTGCTTCTGGTGACCAAGCAGAGGTGTTGTAATGATAGACGGCGGAGGAACGGTCTCAGTCAGCGGCCGACTTGCATTGGCGAATGAATCAAAGAGCCTTGAGACTGCTTCTGTAGCTTCCTCGAGAGTGCGTGTATCTGACAAAGTCCGCGTTTGGCCGGTCATCCGCGGAGCTTGGAACAGTGGCTTATGCTGTGCATGTGGGTGGACGATGGGTATGCCGGGTTCCGAAGCCATTGGCGGGCGGAGCCAGAAGTTGTTGTTGCCAAAAAGCCGGCCGACCCTATTGACATCTCCACGTCGGCCATAGAGGTTTACAATCATCTTGATCTGCTCGGAACAGGCTTGGTGCGGCCATTCATCCGGCTTTTTGCGCCGATTGATCAATTTCGCTTGTGTCCGAAAACCCTTCAGCGAATCCATGGCCTGTACAAGCACAGCAGCAAAATCGGGGTGAACTTTTGCAAATGTAGTGTCCCACGCATCTTGAACGTCAATCACCATGTCCTTGGATGGTTTGCGGACGAGGGTACACCTCATGACAGGCCACTCTCGTTCCTGGTGAAAGGAATTTCCGGCCAGCTTTGGCTTGGGGACGAGGAAGGCTTGTGCAACAGTCGCGATGTGGCCATAGCATACCTCTTGATCGTCGAGCGATCGAGAAGAAACTATTTGTACATCATCGTCGTCCACGTCCTCTTCCTCGTTTGTGAGATCGACCAGACTCTTCTTTGTCACTTCTGGGGCCTGGTCAGGATCTGGTCGCATGTATTCGCCGACGATGCCGGTGCCACGACGTTGGGAGGAAATCCCCATCTTTGACGGTCTCTCGCGCTGGTCCTCGGCACTCAATTTCACCTTTTTGCGAGGGTTGCTCGTCCGATCTTCGACACCATAAAAGGTTTCGAGCATGGATTTTTTGGCCCCATCTGCGTGACCAGTTTCTCCTTTGGACGAAGGGCCCATTAAATTTGAAGCAGATGTCGCCGATTTGAGAGAGAGACGCGATTTCTGAGGGTCAAGAAGAGCTCTATGATCAAATGTGTTGGACAGCTTGGAAAGGTTGTTTAGCGAACGCCGAGGAGACATTGAGCGCGATTTTGAGCCTGCTCTCTGGGGAGATTGTGATCCTTCGGAGGGGGAATGATCGCCGCGGGATGCAAGGCTGCCTGAACGTCCTGATGAGTATGAAGAAGTGTCAGCTCGTCACTGGTCCAACAAAACTTTGGGTTGAGCTTTTATCTGAGTGCTTGCGCTTGACAACCTGCCACGATCCTTCTTGAGTATTTCGTTTCGCTTAAATCAGGAGCGCAGAAACCATCAATTGTGGCTTCATCAGCATCTTCCGCAAGAAAACTCAGACAACTGACTTAGTGGTAGTCAAAGGATCATGGCGGGATTGCGACAACGAGGGACAGGATTTCACACTCACCTGGCGCTTTGGACGTCTTCTTTATCGACCGAGGGTCCAGCAACATGCGAGCGTTACTCGCCATCTTATGCTTGATCACAGCTAGACTTGAGGACTGTGTCACTTCTATATGAAAATCGTGACTGTAGATCGGCTGAGGTGAAGACGGTGGCGAATCATGTTGCGGTAAGAGCAACCACAATTTATGCCTGCGCGAGTGAGCGGCACAAGAGAAAGGGATCACAAGAGGCTATAGCAGCCACATACGCTGACTTGGAAGGATCATGGCATAGGAATGGAATGATAGACGGAGTTTTATCAGGTTCTGTGATCAAACATGCGCGCTCGGACCAACACGGCTGCAGCCTTGCGCTAAAATAACAAAATGGTTGACGAGGCTGAGGCAAAACTGGGAGGCCGCCCTTTTCCGAAGCCAATTTCTGTCCATCAGACCACAAAGGACGACGCTGCAAATAAAGGAACGCTATTATGAATGCCACACTTGGGCTTTCATGACTGTTGGGATATCTCCCCCCTGCACGCTGGATATGCATCTTGTAAACTTGTTAAGCCCGTGTCACCAATTTAGTGGATATTTCGGACGCCATGACCATGGCGTCCGCTCCCTAAGCGATTTCATTTCCATCGTCATCTGGCGCCCGCGAGCCCACCATCCAATCTTCGAGAGCTAACCATTCACTCCAGCCCCTCTCGGCTGCATCAAGCTCCGCATCGGTAGGGTCGTAGAGCGGCCGCATGAAGGGGACCGTCTCCAAGGGTAGCATGTCATAGTCTCTTTTGACCGATGCCCACCCGCCACTTTTGGCAGCGAACAAGTAGTTTCGTCTTTCCTGCTCTCGTTGTGGCCCAATGCCCGCTCGCCAGTCGTCACCAAAAAAGCCATGCAGGACTTGGGGCACGTCCATACCTGTGACCACAAGACGCCGCAGGTACGGGATCAGGGACACGGCAGAGGCGGCGGCTGCTGCTTCGGACGCAGAAGGCCTCACCGGATCTCTATCTAGCCGCGATTTCCCACTGCGGGAGCCGGATGTGCTGTAGACCGGGTGCGGCTGACGCTGAAACGGCAGTAGAATGTTGATGAAAGATGCAAATTGCTGAACAAGTGGCTCGTGTTGAGCATGATCTATAAAATATCGCTGGCAGCTTTGGTATTTGGGAAACCATGTGATAATGTCGAACTGGAACCCTCCTGTTGGTCCTCCGCGTCTGCTCTGGCTTCCAGAATCCGAAGGGCTACTGATGCCAGTAAACGCTGCATCACGGATAGATCTGGGTGCACTGAAGTTACTTTCGGATGAAGACGATGAGAACGCCATAGTGGGCTTAACAGCCCCCAAGAATTATGCCAAATGCGCCGTCAAAACCGAGGGCGCTCTGGAAAGGTAAGGAGAGGCATGCAAGTCTCCTACCCACAATAAGTCGTTGATGAAGGCGCATCAGGCTCAAGTTCAGGTGTGTCCAATGAGCGCATCATGAGAAACGCAGCGTGGACATATCAGACAAAGAGAGGGTTGACAGGTTCGACGGAACTATGCTTCCATGCTACGTGCCGAGACCACTGGGTGTTGACATGCGGAAACGGGGGAGCGGTGAAGACGCCCAAGAACCAGCTGGGGAGGGGGGCAGAAACTGCGCTCCGGGTTGCTAGAATTTTTGAACGACGGAGTTCTTAGGCCAGTGAATTGGACCGTGAGAGATGATGGAGTGCAGGCAGAGCGGCAGCAGTGAAAATACCCTTGTTCTCCAGGCTGAGTGAGGTTGTGCTATCAAGAAGATGAAACTGCGGCAAGAGAGTAGGTGGTGTGCATTGAGGACTGAGAGTGTTATGGCTTGTCTTGGTTGGGAGGTTGGAGTCAGCGTTAATACCGAGTACAAGAGCCTCGACTAGCTTCATGGACCACGGCACCCACGGCTTCTCCCACTCGCAGGACCAACTCTCCGGCATTCGAGACGAATCACATTATCCTCTTCCAGCAATTTACCCAAAGTAATCTCCGTGTCGGCAATGGATTCCGCCCGCGAGCCACGAGGGCTGACATCCTCACTTGTTGTCCGATTTGCAAGAGAAATAGAAGGAAACAATAAAACCCACCACAACACGACCCAACACAGCAACATCGATGGCGCCCAACAGCTTCTCACTCTCCACTCGCCTCCCTCTCCCTAATGGCCTCTCTATTCCACAGATACACTTGGGTGTGTACTTGATGTCGAATCGAGAAGCGTCGCAGGCGGTCAAATGGGCTCTCGAAGCGGGCTATCGCGGGGTCGATAGTGCGCAGATGTACCGAAATGAACGAGCCTGCGGTCAGGCTATTTTATCCTTTCTCAATGACAAGTCCAGCAATACCACGGGGCTGACCCGAGAGGACATATTCTTCACCTCTAAACTAGCGACCAACACCAACTATGACGCTGCTCGTCGCTCGATCAGACAGTCAGTGGAAGCAAGTGGTCTAGGGTATATTGATTTGTTCCTTCTTCACAGCCCTTACGGCGGGAAAACCGCCCGTCTCTCTAGTTGGCGGGCTGTCGAGGATGCCATCCAGGACGGCGAGATCAAGCTTGGAGGGGTCAGCAACTTTGGGACCAAGCATTTGGATGAACTCGTCGCGGCGACGCCACGCATCATGCCCTGCGTCAACCAGATCGAGGTCCACCGTGAGTCAATCTTATTCCGTTTCTAAGAGGCGAACGTTGCCGGTGCAACCTGGACGGACAGGCGATAGAGAAAACGGTACTGACAAAAGTGGCGAATTTAGCATTCAACACGCGGACACCCATCGTCGAAACATGTCGCAAGTATCAAATCCTGGTCGAGGCCTACGCTCCTCTTGCAAGAGCCCTACGCATGGAGCACCCAACTATCGTATCGCTGTCCAAGAAGTACAAATGCACTCCAGCGCAACTCATGGTCAGGTGGAGTCTCCAACACGGCTATATTCCACTGCCCAAAAGCGTATCGCGAGACCGGATCAAGGCAAATGGCAATGTTGGCCACTTTGAGATATCCAGCGACGACATGCAGACAATGGACGGTCTAGACGAATACTTGGTGACAGACTGGGATCCAGTCGACGCAGACTAGAGGTTTAGCCTGCAGTTGTACCGATGACCAAGCGCTTCTCAACCGGGGTTCACTGAGGGGCGGGCGCGGGTTTTTACCATTACAAGCAAATCAAGTGGCATACCATTCGAACAGTGCATATCTGTCCTGCTTGTTCTTGTCAGGTGATACCAAAATATCCAAAGAAACCACCAACAATATCCTTCCCAGCAGCCCTAGCAACCCGACCAACGCAGAAGCCAGAAGTCAAAGCTGACCCGGCAGCTACAAATGATGTCAATGGCGTTGCGTTACACCAGACTGCAGGTCCCAGGCCGCACGGCTTCGAAGGTGAAATCGTAACTGGTTTTTTTTTTTTTCCCCATTCTCACGTTGATACCTTAGGTAAGAGTAAGGTGTAGGGTTGTAAGGAAGACACGTAGAAGAGCAGCAGGTCAAGAAGCACAAAAGGATCCAATTGCGCAAATCTCCAGTCACAAGATATATCTCAACATCGGCGGACTCTCCCCGCATGATATCCAACCGACAAGTTTCGTTCTCCGTATCTCGGGGCCGAGTTTCACTTTGTCTATTATTGAGCGAGATGATAAGTGCTGAGTGAACGGAAACAGAAGCCTCACTTGCCTCAAGCCGCGCATTTTGATGGACGGATGATCATCCACTAGAGTACAATATCCCTTGTCATCAGCCAACGGTCCGGGGCTTATTGCAGCCTACCAGTAAGCATTCTGGTTGGACTTTGAAAGAAATACCCAGTGGGAAGAAGTCAATTGGTTCCGGGGTATTGCTCCTCTACAATCCCAGCTATCTTGAATGCTTAGCGGGGGCAGAGACCAACAAAAGTGATATTAATCGGAGTCCTGGGGAGGTTCGGGGATGCTCGGAGGTCGGAATTCCTTTGCTGGAATATCTGAAGGGACACGGTGCGTTCGAGAAGGACTCGCAAAGTTCTCCAATGATGACATGCCTTGGTTTTGGCCGGCTGAAGGGGGGAAAGGAAAAAAGACAACGGGATGACAACGAACACCAGTGGTATGGCCTTCACGGCCTTCCAGTGCCTCCTGGCACTGGTGGCACTTTGTCAGACAAAAGCTTACACACAAGTCTGTAGAAGTCCTTCAGCGACTGGCTGTCCCGCTTTCCACGTTGTTTCGCCCCCAGATTCTGGTCCTTAATCCCCCTCGCTTACAAGGGGTAAGTAACTGACACGGTGGTTCTCGAACCGATCTCCTCTTGTCCTCCATGCCTTACGGATGGAGTGGCACCCTGAGGCCCCTTCGGAGCCCCTCTGTTTCGCCTGCAATAAGCCCAGGAAGACGATCGGAGAAAAGAAAGTGCTTACTGGCAAATTTCAACTGCCGTTGGCTGAAAGGATCCAGTCGCAGTGGACTGCGATACATACTCGTATTCTATCAGTTAGTTCTGTGACGAAAACGCTCTCGGAAGGTGGGACTTGGTTCACGGTCTGTACCCGTTGTACTTGTATGTACCTCGTATCGCCCGTGCCGCAATCAAGGTGGCCATGAACACGCAACGATGAAACCAGCGCATACAAGAATGAGCATATGAGATCATATCCTCCTTCTGCTGGAGATCCAGTGATATACTCTGGCGACTGGAAATATTGGCAACAAGGGATCGCTGTACCCGGTGCTTTACTCGGTACTCGTAGCTTGGTGGCTGGCAACAAATACCGTAGCAGGGGATCCCATCAATCGGCATCCAGTCGGCCTCTGGACTTTTGCTGAGTCACAAGTGTGCGAACCCCCCCTTGTCTCTTCATTCGATCATCTTTGGTTGGGCGGCAGATGTTGTGTTAGGTGCAGAAGTGGCGTTTGGTGGGTGGTGGGTTGAGAGAGGAAGAGGGACGAGTACGAGGAGCAGAGCCAACTTAGCACCACCCGTCAACATGTTTTGATCTTCGCCGGTGATTAGTTTCCTCTCACAATTGTCTACCTCGTACTAGACCTTCTTTTCACTGGTCACACCGAACCTTGTGAGGCGTGGCTAAATTACAGCCTTAGTCAGAAATGGAGGTTGCCATGAGGGAGCCCCGTGCCCGTCCATCTCGCCCATCTCGGGCGCATTGGGCATCTGAGGGCATATCTCCAGATTGTTCAAAGGCGTACTCGTATGCCGCTGGTTCCAGTGGCCTTTACCAGGGGCACACCACCTCTACCTCCAATCCTACGTCGGGATCCTTTCTTTTGAGTCCCCGAATGATCTTACCAGGTGCCCTGGCTCCTGGGTCGAAAACGTCTGGGATGGTTGCGCACACGTACTCGGTACATATGTATGGAAATAGTGACTGAGGGACAGAGCGACCGACTGGGAGTTGGACGTACGAGAAGGTACCAGCTGCCACCGGTCGTCGCCCGCAGGCAGCGCCCACTATTGGTCCCAAGGGGCCCCGTCAAGGGGGGATCCGCCCAAACCATGCTCCCACGACTCCCCCCTTCTGCCAACACGGTAGACCGGGTACCCAAAACGTGCTCGCGCCCTTGACAGGGCCTTTTAATTAAGTCTACTAGGCGTGCTATGCCACTAGGCTTCCCTGGTGCCCCTCCATGCCCGGCCACGGGCATCTCCCATTGTGCAACACCGCCAATCCGGAGGCCACAGATGTCCTCCAAGAGTCAAGGCTTGCCCTGCAGATTCCCTTGCGCGATCGCCCTCAAAATCCTTCGACCTCGTCGTCAGTTTCACAACGGTCTCCTTTCTCCTCAATTCCCAATCCCATTGCGACTTTATTCTCTCCATATCGTCTCCTGAAAGACGACTCACATATACGACATCCCCGTAGAGAGCAAAGTTGGGCTACAAGAAGCCACGAAGCTCTCTTCAGCTGTTTCCAACCCGCCGACTTTGAAAGATTGACCCTGGTTATATACTTCCCACCTGCCCACCCACGATTCCCCGAACCCGCACGATGCATCCCCTACCGACGGTTCGTTGACACACCTCCAACTGCGACTCTCCGGTCCTTGTCCTATCTTCCACGTGGGAACGCCTGCGTACCATTATTGCCACTCTGCTGTTGCATTCAATTTTGCTGTACAGGCGTCTCTATCGCGACCTCACGCATGTGCAGATATTCGGTCGTTGATTTGACCTAGTCGCCTTTTCTCACAGGATATCGGAATCTTATTTTCCACGGCTGTTTACGCGAAGGTCTGGTTCAGCGACCTACAAGACAACAAGAGAAAGGACGTAACTGCGGGAACGGCGCAGAAAGATTCGAGACTCTCCGATATCAATTCTACATTCGCAGTCCTTGAGAACCCAGTCGTATCATGGATTTCTCGTACTTCACTTCAGCCCCGCAACCGTATCAGTTTTTTGGTTTGCCTCACACGCCCTCTACCACGCAAACGAGTCATCTGGACGAGTTCAGAACCGCTCCTTCCACCGTGAGTCGCTTCTGGCACACGGGGTCTCTAACGAATGCGGCTAATCGTACTGTAGGATCAATATGACGCTGCCTTCGCGGCATTTCAACAAAGCTTCCACTATGACCCTGCTACTTTCCTCGCCCAACCTCATCAAGCATCCACCCAATCCCCGTCGGTTCAAGGCCGCCATGACTCGATGGTATCTATGCCAGAGGTCGATATGTCCAGTCTCACTGCACCCGCAGCAGATATGACGCCCGATGAACCGACAGTAGCAAGAAGTAGCAGCGAAGAGAAGGATACCTTGACCCCTCAGCAGAGTCGCAGGAAGGCACAAAACAGAGCTGCGTAAGACCACTGAAATCTAGATCTCCGAGGGAGTAATATGATTCTAACAGTGAACCTCAGCCAACGAGCGTTTCGAGAGCGAAAGGAGAAGCACGTGAAGGACCTCGAGGCCAAGCTGACAAGCCTGCAACATCAGTCCATGACCCTGAACGGCGAGAACGAGCGGCTGCGGCGCGAGCTCGCAAAAATTGCAACCGAGAATGAGATTCTTCGTGCTACATCTGGTGCGGCATCGAATGGTCCGACTCCCTTTATGGAAGAGCCAGACGAGTTAGTAGGCCCGTTGGGGTACGTCCCCACTGATCGACATTTGAAAGACCGCTCGCCTGCTAGTTCCAGTGGTTCGTCCTTCGACATCGGCTCCAAATACGCGCACTTTGGCACCTTGAGGACCATCACGGTGGACAACGACACTGGGGAACCCTTGCTGGGAGCTGGCGCTACCTGGGACTACATCCAAGCCCACGAACTCTTCCGCAAAGGGCTTGTGGATGTTGGCGATGTCTGTGAGCGTTTAAAAAAGATGGCAAGATGTGACGGCCAAGGGCCAATCTTCCTCGAAAGTGACGTCCGGCAAGCGATTGCTGAAAGTGCCGTTGCCGGAGGGCGTGACGAGCTGATATGAAGACTCTTGTCGCTTGCTGCACCACAGGTGGTGATGCCTCTCCTCACCATCTCCTCACCACATTTATTTGAACCTTCTATGATCAAGCGTTGGCGCCCCGGAGTATTATTGGTTATCCATGACCTCAAGCGAGGCGCAAAGCATTTGGAGGAATTCTGTTGGAGTGATTTGTGCAATTGATCAACCGTCCCTACGCAAAAGGGACGATATCCTTACTATCGAAAGCTGAACCTGCGTACATGGCCACTTTTCCCGGGTGGCGAGAACCCTGATCACGAGAAATGCTCTAACCCCCCGCAGCACTCTCGGCATGCAGCTCTGGAGGGTTAGAGGATTTGCAGCCAACGCTTTTCCAGCCCTCTACTCAGGTGGATCGCATCTTTTCTGACAAATGGGCCTTGGATACGTTATGTCAGCTGAAACCATCCAGCCCACAGGCGTCACCAGTGACACAAATATACATGAGTTTTGGACCCTGCCGCGTACCTGCTCCAAGGCTGCTTCTTTCTGGGGACACATGACGATCTCGGACAGAGAAGCCTATTCTCTCGGTTGGATCTGATTTCCCGAGTTGCGCGAGCCTCATGGCTTCGTGTAGCCAAGCCGCCCTTTTGGGTATATCATGCAGGACACAAGTCATCAGTCACGGCCAACCAGACAACGATTGCACGCTTCAGAGTTCCTCAGAAACTAGGCTTCAGAATCGGGGGAGTTTTTGTCTTATCTGAGTGGCACCAGCGACTCGCAGCGACGTCGTCCACCTTTGGCAAATCGTGTTCTATCATTGGGCACCACCAGTGTCTTGTCTCATGCGCGCGATCGCCTGACTGAATGTTCCAGCCTCGTAGGCGTTGCAGTCTCGAAAGGCTGCCATGCGAGCAAAGGTAACCGTGTCTGGCAATTTTTGCGAGAGTGTTGATGTTGGGAGGGACGGCTCCGAACTCTCGGAAAGGATGTACGGCGTTGAGCTGTCGTAGAAGTGCCTGCGTCGCCTTTACCCTTGGCCCACAGCCATGGTTCATAGTCGTCAGCACTGCTGCGGATGAAGACCGCAAATCAATCAGAAGAATCATTATTGCATCAGTCCCAATCATCGTCGTCGTCGTCGTTAACTTGATTGTTCTTCTGATTCTCATCTTCATCGTCCTTTTGTCTGAGCCGCATGTCATTCTCTGAGACCGCGCCAACATCAACAAGAAGTCGTTCAAGGTCTTTCAAGTTCGTTCTCACGCCGTTGAGCTGCCCCAAAGTGATAATTTGGCGCTTGATGTCACCGTCTTTGTACACAAGAATGGTCGGTGTGTTCTTCTCCGGATAACCCTCAATGCACAGGTCGGCGCGAATCTCACAGAACTTGACATCCCCAAACTTTCTCGCAGCCTGTCTCCAAATCTCGGACAGGACCCGAGACTCAACATTGGTGCCTAGTGACGAGGTCAAATTGACCAGAACAAATGCCTTTGACGATTCTTCCGTAACATCACGGGCGTAATCTGGCTTTTGGAGCGGAAAGACTTGGCCGTAGAGAGACTTCTTCTGCAAGCTTTGGATTTCGGCCAGGCGCTTTCGGCGGTAGGATTCGAGAAACGCTTCATCTTCCTCGTCTTCGAGCTCATGGAGTTCGTCCAAATCCTTGTCCTCAAGTCGATTCTCGTGGGCCTTTTTCACAGCTTCGAGCAAAGCTGCTTGGATAATGGGTTCTGGATCTGGATCTTTCTCGGGAATGATACCATGTTTGCGAAGAATGTCGTTCCTTTATGTGTCACAGAAGCATATTAGCTGCACTGGGAGAGAGGAAGCACGGGTGAGAGACGAGATTAGCAACGAACCATTCTGTATCTGCGTTTGGGTCATCGACGGGGACATTTACTGGCATATCCATTGTGATTCTGACGGTTGCACAATCGTACTATGTGGTTAGAATGAAGTGAGGAGTCCGCTGACGAAGAGCAATGGGAGGAAATAATACTCGGCCCTTGAGTTTTCGATCCTCATCAGCGATCTTCCAGTGGCGTGAAGCACCAATGCGCATCAGCCACAGTGTGGCGGCCAGTTGTGGCTGCCGCAGGCACTCCGCACAAATTATTGGCAATGGACGAGGACACCGTCGACAACTCCAGCCCACGTCGGAAACGACGTTTCGACAGTATTGGCACAACGCCAGCACCCTCCCTTCAACTGTCAGGCTCACCATTCCCTTACCTCTCCTTCACTTCACTCTTAAGATTTTGACTGTGCGAAATGATTGTGCGGTAGTCCCATACAGACACTCGTCCCAGCTCCTCCCTGCCCTAGGGGGCATCCCTGTCATTGTGAATCTCTCGCTACCATCAATTGAACGAGTACGTGTTGTTATTGCCCAACATGAGTTACGCCAAAAAGGACGAGGATGCCGAACACTCCGGCTTCAAGCTGGACCGAACTTCTGTTTTCCAAGATGGTATTTCACCCTTGCGTCTGCCTGTCATCAACCAACATCCCAATTGCAAATATTAACCCACGATTCTCTAGCTCGACTGTTCAATTCCTCACCTATATCACCTCGAAAATGCCGCACCCTACTCACCAAGATCGCGGTCCTCCTTTTCACGGGGGAGAAATTCCCCACGAACGAAGCAACCACTCTCTTCTTCGGGATTTCCAAGTTATTTCAGAACAAGGACCCCTCCCTGCGACAAATGGTCTACTTGATATTGAAAGAGTTAGCACATACTGCCGAGGATGTCATTATGTCTACGAGCATCATTATGAAGGATATGACCGTGGGGAGTGAGATCATCTACAAAGCAAATGCTATCCGAGCTCTCTGCAGGATTATCGACGCAACAACTGTTCAGGGCATTGAAAGGTTAATCAAAACCGCTATTGTCGACAAGTCACCCGCTGTATCGTCGGCAGCCTTGGTCTCATCGTACCATCTACTTCCCATCGCCAGGGATGTGGTTAGGCGGTGGCAGAGTGAGACTCAGGAGGCCGCTTCCTCTTCCAAAGCTAGTGGAGGATTCCTGAGTTTCGGAGGTGGCTCCCAACATTCTCTGGCCGCGTCAAACACGAATTACATGAACCAATATCACGCAATTGGTCTGCTATATCAGATGCGGTCACACGATCGCATGGCTCTCGTCAAGATGGTACAACAATACGGCGCTGCGGGAGCAGTCAAGAGTCCAGCGGGGGTCATGATGTTGGTACGGCTTGCGACCCGCCTCGCCGAAGAGGATCCCAGTCTACGGAAACCTATGATGCAGATGTTGGACGCCTGGCTGCGGCACAAGAGCGAGATGGTCAAGTTCGAAGCTGCAAAGGCAATTTGTAACATGCCCGATGTGACCGACGCCGAAGCAGCACAAGCTATCGACGTCCTGCAATCCTTCTTAACCTCTCCGAGGGCGGTCACGAAATTCGCAGCCATCCGCATTCTCCATTCATTTGCCTCGTTCAAACCTCAAGCCGTCCATTCAGCAAACCCAGATATCGAGGCTTTGATTTCCAACAGCAATCGGTCAATCGCGACATTTGCAATCACAACTTTACTCAAGACTGGCAACGAGGCTAGTGTAGATCGGCTTATGAAGCAAATATCCGGTTTCATGACCGAGATCACAGACGAGTTTAAGATCACCATTGTCGAGGCTATCCGAACACTCTGCATGAAATTCCCTAGCAAACAGGCCGGCATGCTCACATTCCTGAGCGGTATCCTGCGAGACGAAGGAGGTTACGAATTCAAACGTGCCGTAGTGGAGAGCATGTTTGATCTGATCAAATTTGTTCCGGGGAGCAAGGAAGAGACACTCTCACACTTGTGCGAGTTCATCGAAGATTGCGAGTTCACCAAGTTGGCGGTGCGGATTCTACACCTTATTGGCGTCGAGGGCCCAAAGACGCCGCAACCCACCAAATATATCCGGTATATCTACAATCGAGTCGTGCTGGAGAACGCACTGGTCCGCGCAGCAGCGGTGACCGCACTAGCAAAATTCGGTGTGGGACAGAAGGACCCTGAGGTCAAAAAGAGTGTCGAGGTCTTGTTGACGAGATGTTTAGACGATACAGATGACGAGGTGCGCGATAGGGCGGCGCTTAACCTGCGGCTGATGCACGAAGAGGACGACATTGCAGACCGCTTCATCAAAAACGACTCGATGTTCTCGCTGTCGACCTTTGAGCACAAACTGGTCATGTACGTGACATCCGACGACAAGTCAGTTTTTGCTAAAGCATTCGACATTCATTCCGTTCCAGTGGTATCGCACGAACAAGCTTTGGCGGAAGAACGGACAAAGAAACTCAATACCGCCACGCCTACATTGAAGGCACCAAGTACAGGACCTGCGAAACCGAAGGTGAACGGAGCCGCAGAAGGACCCGCTGCCGGTGCTGCAGCCGCGCAGAAATATACCCAGATCTTCTCCAGGATACCCGAGCTGGCAGCATATGGGCCAGTGCTGAAATCGAGTGCTGTGGTTGAACTGACAGAAAGCGAAACCGAGTACGTGGTGTCTGCCGTGAAACACATCTTCAAGGAACACGTCGTGGTACAATATGACATCAAGAATACTCTTGATCATACTGTACTTGAGAACGTGACTGTCCTAGCGTCACCTGCCGACGAAGACGAACCTACCTTGGAAGAAGAATTCATAATTCCTGCCACTGCTCTGAAAACCAACGAACCGGGAGTTGTTTATGTTGCGTTCCGCAAACTAGGTGGCGAATCTGCCTTCCCAGTTACCGCATTCACGAACGTCCTCAAATTTACGAGCAAGGAAATCGATCCCACAACGGGCGAAGCCGAAGAAGGAGGCTATGAAGATGAATACGAAGTCGAGAATTTGGAATTGACAGGCGCGGATTTCGTCAGTCCCGCATTCGCGGGCAATTTTGATCACATTTGGGAGGGTACGGGCGCGAATGGAGAGGAAGTTAGCGAGACGTTGGTGTTGGGAAATGTCAAGACATTGGCCGGTAAGTGTACGACCGCTACCTACAACCTCATATGTTGTTTTGTTTTTAGTGCTAACATGCATCGCTCTGCAGACGCAACGGAACAGCTCTCGCAAGCTCTTTCTCTACAACCCCTCGACGGCACCGACGTGGTTCTATCCAACACAAGCCACACCTTGAAATTGTACGGCAAGTCTGTCACTGGTGGGCGAGTGGCAGCGCTGGTGAAGATGGTGCATTCGGCCAAGACTGGGGTTACTGTGAAGGTCAGTGTAAGGACTGATGAGACAGGAGGCGGTCTTGCACAGGGTGTCATTGGTGCACTCTCCTAAACAATCCAACGCTTGAACCAAATGTCATGTGGTCGGAGAGGTAGGCCCAAGGGGCGCGAGCCCGAACCAAGTCTGGAGGCAGCGAGGGCGTTGCACCATAGAACAGAAACGACGGATTTGAAATTCCCAAGGTTAAGTTTGCAGGCATCGAGGAGCAATCAGAAGCCAAATGATACGTGGGCGCGGGCATTCGAGTTTGTGCACTTGGTATTTTAGCAAATCTCCCCCACACCGGCTCGGGGTGGGAAAAATGGAATGATGTTCGAAGAGACGAAATACTTTTTTCCCAATGTCCTCCGCGAATCTGTTTCATGTTTGCCGTTTATGAAGATGAGGATGAGGATGAGCCGCAGTACAAGTACTGTGGATATCTACGAAGATACTAGCACTAGCTAGGTACCTAGGTATGGTATGGTATGGTATGGTATAGAAAGAAGAAGGCGGACTTTTATTTTGGTTTGTCTTCCAACTTGAATACAATACAAGAAGTGCGTAAGGCCTGGTTTGCATGGACGACTCGGCAGTGGTTGGCCTTGACCACGCTGGAAAAGGATCAGGGTGCTCTACAGGTATATGAGTAGATAGCTCTATAGCCCAGCACAGCGCGCTTTGGATCCGGCAACAATGTGAGCTCACGCCGTTTGCGGGCGGGGTTGATACTTGGTCGGGATCCTCTTTATTACGTGCGACTGCCCTGGATGGTTGGGGAGATTCGCACGAGGGTGAAGAAGCGCCTTGGTTCCAGTTGGGCAAAAGTTCTTTCTTGTACTTGTACGGTCTTGGCTCGATAGAGACCATTTGATCGGTTGATAGCAGGTTCGGGATTGCCGCGATAGATAAATCGTCAGAGAATCAGGGATCGTCGTCCAGCCTGACGCCATCTAGGAGGATGTCCTTGAATGAGGGTTCCGTTTTCATGCCGTGGATTGGTGGCATCGTAAGCACAGACTCCCAGGGCAGTCCATGTCCCTCCACTCAAGAATCACATAAGGATGCGTGGTTGCGATAGCGATTTGTTGTCGAGCTTTTGTATTCGAGTTCCTGCTCATCCCTCGCTAATCAAGTTCGACCACATGGTGGGAGAGGAAAGTCTGTCGGAAGGGCGGGAGAACATAGTTTCTTGTGACTGAACTATTCTCTCGATAGTGTTTAAGCCTTTTTCTTCGACCGTCCCTTCTTAGCGCTTGCTGGCACTGGGCTGGTCTCCAAACCGGACGTGAGTGTCGTTTGGTCGGCCTGTACCGCGGGCATCATGACGGGAATCCTGTCAGTCTTGTCCTTCTTGGCCATTTCCTCCTGTGCATTCCTCAACACATCGATGTTGGCGTTCAACCATGCCTGGAGAGCTTTGCGGTCCAGATAGCCATGTATATTAAACCACTCTGTGTAGTTTCCGGTGATCTCCTTGTCTTCCCATTTCTTGCCAGTCGAGGGCGCCGAGTAGGTGACTTTGAGTTTGTAGACAGGGGAGTACTTCTGCGCGGATGAGCGGAGCGTGAGCTAAATGATGTCCTGCGTCAGTCTGCAACTCGCTTACACGACAGAAGAAGAAACGCAGCAGATCCAGTGGTGACAGACCTTTTGCCCTCCCTCCCTGACACCCACGAACACTGTGCCTGCTTCCACCGCCCAGATCCAGAATGTCAATGCACTGTTCAGTAAAAAATACGCGACACATGCAGGTCCTGTGTACGCCTTCGTCGCGTCCCACCCAAGTTTCCAATCCGCATAGAACAGTATTCCGGCGATCAGAACGGCTGTGTACCCCAGAGCAAGTTTTACGTTTGTCATGTAGTGTTCTTGTTTAAAGGCGTAGGGTTTGGGGAGCGTGGTGAGGTATGGTGCAAGGGCATCGTCGGTTGCGTTTTTGAGATCTGCATTTCCATTTAGTGAGACCAGGCGAGCAATGCGGGCACAAAAGAAGTCACCACCGTACCATTGGCCGAGTAGAGAGACACTTTCTGTGGAGGAGACGAAGACATGTTGGTAAGCGAGGAGTCAAGCCCGAGCAGTGCAGACCGAGAGGAAAGGGCTATGACCTCGAGTTTAGTTTGAGTCTGCTACGGGGTATTGAATGGACACATTGTCTCTTGACCATTGCTTCGACAAACACTATCACGCCGCTTTTGCGACATCCATCTGCCACGTCTCGGTCGATTTAGAGCGGCATGCTACTTTACAAAATAAGCTAGCGTGTCTATTATCACGAGGCTGAAGATAAGGAGCAGCTTGGCAGACGATAAGGCTGCTACTCCACCTTGAGACATCCCGGACGATGGTTGATCCCTTTGACAAACATCTTGATGGTGTTCCCCCCAGAAAGAATATGCCGCAGATTAACTTGGACACTCCCCCCGCAAATGCCACCTCTGAGAATCGAGTCTCCCGTCTTGCGTTGTCATCAGCTCACATAAATTGGATGTCCAGATGAGTGGGCGCGACAACGGCTCTATGCCACCAGACACACCTTCCGAGCCAGGTTTTCAGAGACCCAACAAGCGTCCTCGAGTTGCGGTTGCATGTCTGAGATGCAAAACAAGACGGCAAAAGGTATAGTCCCCCAAGAATGAGGAACACCCTGATTAACGTCGTCTAGTGCGACAACAAATTACCGGCCTGTTCGAATTGCGCTAGAGCGAAATTGACCTGTGTCTTCCCTGAAAATGAATATCCGGCATCCTACGTCAAGGAACTACAAAGTCGGGTGGCATGGCTGGAGGCACAGCTGGGCTCCTTGCGGCCGAGCCAACCAGGCGAGCATATCTCCATCAGCGACAACAATGACGCAGCACCAAGCTCAGACGAGCGAATGGCTTCCCAAGCCAGTACTCCAAACTTGGCCAGCAGTGTCGGATTGTTGTCTCTACAGGCAGCGGCCGAACCTCATTACTTCGGCGTCTCGTCTGGAGTGTCTTTAGCCTTGATGATTGAGTCGGCCGTCTACGAGAAATCACGACCCCTTTCCAGTTTGAGTTTGCCTGCAGAGCCCGTCACAAGTCCATTCGCGAGCAATAGCCAGAGCGGTCCCCCAATAGGCACAGCACCTTTACCGCCGTTGGAGAAGGCAACACCTTTCCTGATCGCCTACTTGTCTTATATTCACCCGAATTTCCCATTTCTTTCCAAAGAACAACTGTGGAAGACTCATCATAATCGCCGTGAGTTGGAGGACTATAATTCTAATGAAGCTCGTCATGACCATGTGGTATTGCTGTTGGTGTATGCAATAGGGTCTCGTTGTTTAAAATTGGTAGGATCAGAGCACGTTGCGGAATCAGAGCCGGAAAGCCTTTATCATTCAGCCATGGCAAAGATACAAGACCAACTTAACGTTCCAAGTGTCCAGAATATCCAGGTCATCCTACTAGTGGCCATCTATGCATTGCGTTCCCCATCAGGTTCGTATTCGCTCCATCCCTTTTGGCACATTTAATCATTTTCCTTTATCTGATGTCTTGCGTTCTCTTCCACATTCAAAACGGACCTGGAACTCCAGCTTCGAAGACCGCTTTGGCGACCGGTCTACTAACCCTTTCAGTAGGGTCTAGCATATGGCACTTGTGCGGTTTGATGATCAGGCAATGTGTCGAACTAGGACTCCACCGGCAACTACGAAAAGATATTAGCACAGCAACCTCTGACGAATTCAAACGGAGACTCTTCTATAGCATCTACCACCTCGAGCGCAGAATCGTCCTAGTTCTGGGCAGGCCGTTGACCATAGCTGATGATGAAATCGACACCCCGTTACCTAGTGAGATCGAGGACGACCATTTCCAAGACCCCTCCGAGCTTCCAGAGAGCGGCCGCGAAAACACGGCGTGGAACGAAAACAGTCGGCCACGAGGCCCTCCTACAGGCCCGAGAACTGACATTATATTCCACGTCCACAACATCCGCTTAGATCAGATCAACGCGAAAAGTCGTCTTGTGCTCTCACGTCTCGCCAAGGCAGAACGTGGGACAAAGTTCGAGCAAAAGATTGCAAAGCGATTCCAAGAACTTGAGGACTGGAAAACGGGCATCTTTGGACACTCTGGAGTTGATGAACCCCCAGATCTGATGTTTTCCACGGTGAGGACGCCTGTTCAAACACCAGTGTCGCGGCTTGCCATGCCAGAAGCACAGCGCCTGACGCTACTACTCAATTATCACCGAGCTCGCCGTCTGCTTCTTCAGACCATTCTCACCGAAGTCCAGCTGTTCAACCAGCCATTCCCGTTTGCTTCCTTTGCCAAGTCATCCGGTGAAGTCTGCCAGCTTAATCGACGACTTCACCGCATACGGTCTGTGCCCTTCACGCTGCTGGATCTGCACTCAGTCTTTGTAGCCGGCTTCACTCTAATCTTTTGCGCGTGGTCTGACCCGAGCCTCTACGACGCTGAAATGGCGGCGGACTTGGGTGCTTGCTCAACTGTGCTATATTTGATTGCCGAACAATGGGGGGAAGGGGCGAAGAAATACCGTGATGCCTTTGAGCTGGTTGCGGGCAAGACGGCAGAGTATGTCCTCCGCCCAAAGCGCTCACATGCCAGCAGTCAACAACAGACGGGATCTGTTGGCATCCATGCCACATCTCACTCGGGATCATCGGGTGACACGGGCCTAAGCGGTGTGATGCCACCACCGACCTCTTCTGATGCTATGGAGCAATCCAGTAGTGATTCTTGGACAAAAGATGGCTTCGACGTCTGGCAGATGATGACTGAGTTTGTACAGACCCAGGACAGTGATTTCGAGTGCGACCCGGTCAATTTTAGAGAGATCGAAACCTTTCTGACGGAAGAAGGTTTGGGTTGGTTCAATGGAGGCACGGGCACGGGCTTCTGACTGCCATGCTACCCAGCGACTCGCTGTCCAGGCCAGGCAAGGGCCCTTTACACCCTCGAGGCTAAATATATTCCTCAGTCAGACCATTCTCAGTACCGACACATACCTCTTACGTCTAGCGATACCAACCTGTGATCCTCACATCACCCTCAGATACGAGAGATCTCTTGAGTCATCTGGGATTCGTCTACCATCGCCGGCAGCTGATAAGAGGAAGGGGGCTAGGTTGTGACTGTGGCTCTCGCCACCAAGTTTTTGAGCTTCGAAGAGGCATTTCGTCCAAATAATCGGATCGGTCCCGACCCGACAACCAGGCCTAGAAGCGCGGGACAGAGCTCCAGAGCCACAGACCCGCCAGGCTCGGTCAACTGCCTATCGCATTTACGCTTATGGTATATCGGGTATCTCTGGAATCTTTACCTTTGTGCATGTTTGCGACCCTGCGAGTGAGACTGGAGATCGATGGCCCTTGCGCAGCTCCAGTCCCTTGACATACTCCGAAGCAGAGAATCCCGCTTCCATTACGTTACAGATTCTTGAATTGTCGAAACCCTCTCAACGGGTCTGAATTGGATAAATCCCTGGGCTCCGCCGCCAGATCATCATTTGAGACCTCAAGCTCATGTGGTGTGACCGCGTGTAACGACACTCACTCAACCAGCTTCTTGGAGTTCCAGCGCTGTTATTCCCCGTTACAAGGTGACCATGATCAAGCAGAGCCCCAAACGCATCTGCTTCGGCATCTTGGTCCCTTCCTCTAATACGGTGCTGGAGCCTCTCACACAACAAATCATCTCTCAACTCGAGGATGTCTCGGTACATTTCTCACGCTTTCGGGTGTTGAAAATCGCCCTGGATCCCGACGCTTTGGCACAGTTCGACAACAGTGCCATCATCGAGGCCGCACGCTTGCTTGCGGACGCCAAAGTTGACGTGATCGGCTGGAGCGGGACCTCGTCAGGATGGTTAGGCTTTGAAGCAGACGTGAAACTATGCGAGGAGATTACAGCCGCGACCGGCATTCCCGCCACCACATCGGTCCTTGGACTCAATCGACTTATCAAGCGCTTGGGAGTCACGGAGATGGGGCTGTTGACTCCATATACGGACGACGTGCAATCAGCCATAATACAGAACTACCGCGGATTTGGGGTCGACTGCTCTGTTGAGTATCATCTGCGCCAATCCGATAACGCAGGGTTTGCCTATATCTCGGAGAAAACGCTCGATGATGGGTTCTGGCAGTTGACACAGAGAGGAGCTCGTGTCATCAGTGTCTTTTGCACAGGACTCAAGGCGGCGCACTTGGTGGACAGATGGGAGGCCAAGGCTGGTGTCATTGTGTTAGATACCATAGCGACGGTGTTGTGGGATATGTGTCGAATCGCCGAGGTGGACACGAGGTCGATTAAAGGCTGGGGGGTGCTTTTCCAACATTGCTAGCAATCAATCTCTTGAGGGACGAGGATATGTGGATGTACAGCTTTGCATGGGTTTTGTAAGCATTTGAAGAGGCAGGATAATCACGTGTGTTGATTTTGCATTCACTCTCAGACTTTCTGTCTGTCCTTGCTAAGTCATGACTGCACCTACGGGTACCGAGCATAGAACAGACATGTTCATTCCATCCAGCAAAGACGTGCTGTATCTCTCAGCCCTTTATCGTATCAGGGTGTTTCGGACATGGCCCGACAGCTTCAGTCCCGCTTTTATCATCACCACCATGACCACAATCTACTACTAACAAGGTCAGCATGTCCCGCCCCAAGAAATCCCGCGATTGGGCTGTGGCTTCGTACTCACTGATTTGCTAGGGATTCTTATCTCTTCCAGCGTTCCCTTTCAGACACTGTTAGACTTCCAAAGTCATCTTGCCCTCCCTGTTGGATAAATCAATCATCTCTTATCACCACGCCGCTCCCGACCACTATCAATTTGCAGACGTGGTGACTATGACCATCAGTCAACGTGCTCCAGCCCTATGTCCCCTATCTCTGTGGTGTCGGAGATGTTCCGACAGACGCATGTCTTCTCTAAGAGCGAGGTTATTGTATACACCCTTCGATGGCCGGGCTGGGAATATAAAAGATGACCTTTGCGACTGGTCTGGAACTGATCCACCTTGAGATTCAACTCCATCGAAATTCATAACCCTCTGTTCAGTTCGACAAGTGCTGCCCCCATCACATTACACCTCTCCAGCACAATGGACCTGCGGCACTTCTGGGAAGAGTATGTGGTGTTGAAGCCCAAGCCTGGGTCCTTTGGAGCCGACGATGCCGATGCCATCATCTATACCAACGAAGACATGGATCCCATCAAGCGCAAGGACCGCACATACCAGTGGTACCAGATGGGTCTTTTCTGGATCGCCGAAGGCTTCAACGCCGCCCAGCTACAAGTTTCCAGCTCTGCCTTTTCTCTCGGGCTCAATCCAGGATTGTGCGTCGTCGCCTGCCTCCTAGGCAACATCATTGTGTCTATTCCATGCGCGGCCTCGGGCTACCTTGGGAGTAAACTAGGGGTGAACTTCCCTGGCGTCGTTCGAGCTTCTTTCGGAATGTGGGGTTCGAAATGGGCTATGATCGTTCGCGCTGTGCCCTGCCTGATCTACTATGGTATTCAAACGAGTCTCGCCGGTCAAGCGGTTCAGGCATGTATCACGGCTATTTGGCCCTCCTTTCGCCATTGGGAGGTCGACGCCTTCCCAGCATCTGCCAACATTACCGCCCAGCAGCTCCTCTGCTTCGTCATCTTTTGGCTCATCTCGCTGCCATTCCTCTACCTACCGATCAAAACATTGCGCTTTTTGTTCGTGGTGAAGAGCATCATGGTGCCACTCTACTGGACCGCTCTGTTTACCTGGTCCATCACCGCCGCAGGAGGCTGGCCCAAGGTCTGGACGAAACCGAGTATCCCTACTAATGGCATGTCCGTTGGGTACCTCTTCGGAATCTGTGTGAACGCCGCCATCTCTGGGAACGCCACTTTTGCCGTCAACATTATGGATATCTCTCGACACTCCAAGAGCAACAAGGCCGCTTGGATGACTCAACTTTTTGCGCTCCCGGTATTCGTCACCTTGACAGAGCTGCTAGGATGTACCATGGCCGTGGCCTCCTCGGTGGTTTACGGCGAGGTCCAGTGGAACCCTCTCGTCACCATCAACAACTTTGAAGCGCGTGGAGGAAAGTTCTTCGCCGGCATATTGTTCGTCTTCTTCAACATTATGACCAACGTCACTGGAAACTCGATCCCTTTCGCTAATGATCTTACCGGCCTCTTTCCTAAATATATCAACATCCGTCGTGGACAGTTTATTTGCGCTGTGGTCGGGTTTGCTATCTGTCCCTGGCAGATCCAGGCTAAAGCGACGACCTTCCTAGCCTTTATGGGTGCTTATACCCTATTTCTGGGCGCCACCACGGGCGTGATGATGACCGACTACTTCTGGGTGCGTCGCGGCTACGGTATCAATATCTCCCATCTCTTCAAGCCGCATGGGATATACTGGTACAACTACGGATTCAACTGGCGCGCTTTCGTGGCCTGGTTCGTGGCCCTAGCGCCCTTGCTACCTGGCATGGTCCAGACCATGGGCGTCAAAGTCACCAATAAAGGGATCCTGAATCTTTACTCCTGGAACTATGTCCTCGTGGTCACGTTTTCGGGTCTGTTGTACCTGGCCCTGACCACCGCCTGGCCGATCCCGGTCCGAACCAACGACGAAGATCTGGGCAAGCTCTATCTGATCGATGGTCTCGATCCGGAACTCACCACTGGCATGCTTCCAAGGGGTGAAGATGTTCAAAGTGAAAGTGACGGCAACGCGGGGAGTCGTGAGAAGGGGGCGTTCGAGACCAAGGTAGATGCTCAACCCGTGAGCAACATGGCCTAGAAGCTAAGAGGCTGGCGGACATTTTTGTTTTTGGCACTCCCACATACGTGAACAGAGGCAGCCTATGTTGGCTGGAGACGGAGGTTGTGCGGCCTTGTTTGGGCCTACTTGATATATCCTCATATATACCTACACGCTTGTACCACTGAAACCTTTTGGCGAGAAGAATTGCAGGATCAACGTTCGAGATCTTTCTATCTGTTTAATTCTCTGGTATTCCCTAATTTGTCCGCGTGTAAAAACAGTCAAAATGAACCTCGAGTCTCTACCCTTTCTTTTCCCCCCATATCCCAACATAGAACAGGCTGTATACATGATCCGAGTTGAAATGGAGCCATGGTGCCTCGATAACGCTTATATGTTTACTGACTGACTGACTGACTGACTGACTGACTAACCGAGTGGCTCGCCAGCTCCACGGTTCAAACATCCATCGGTGGCCATCACCCTCATGAGCTCCTTGCCAAAGGCCATGAGGTCCTCGTCCTTCCCGGCCTGACCGATGACGGTCACGCCAAAGGGCATTTTCCTCCCCGCGGGGTTGCGCCACCAGCCCGCGGGGACGCTGACGGCGGCCAAGTCGAGCAGGTTGACAAAGTTTGTGAAGCGGCCCATGACCTTGTTGCGGGCCATGGGCTCCTCGTCCAGCTGCGCCACGGTGAAGTGGTCGACCGTGCTGGGCACGACGAGCACGTCGACGCGCTCCCGGAACTCGATCTCCGCGCGCCGTCGGTGGCCCGCCAGCGTGAAGATGTCGTCGTACGCGCGCACCGCGCTGAAGTTGTTGCTCAGGGCTTGCTCGAACGTGGTCTTGATGGCCGGGTGGAGGGCCTCGAGGCCGTGTGACTCGACGTATGGATCGAACGCGAGCAGTCGCTGCGCCACGATCGACGAGTCGTACAGCATCTGGTTCGCCGCGGCGAAGGGCCCGTAGTCGAATCCGTCGGCCGCGACGCACCACTCGCCGCTTCGGGTTCGCAGCAGGGCCGTGACCACGTTCTGGAACAGGCCGGCATAGGTCGGCGAGAGGGCGTCGCGCCACACGTCTTCGGGCGGCGTGGCGACCCGGATGGGCTTCTTCCAGGGGTTCCACACCGGCAGCTCTCGACGCGCGAACACGTCACGCTCGTCGTACGCCCGCATCACCGCCCAGGCGGCCTCGACGTCCTCCATCGTCCGACCCATCACGCAGACGCAGTCGATGTTCTTGCACGCGGGGAACAGGCCTTCGGAGCTGATGGTGCCCAGGGTGGGTTTGAGGCCGACGACCCCGTTAAACGCCGCGGGTACCCTGGTGCTGCCCCCGGTGTCTGTGCACACGGTGAAGGAGACCAGAGACGCCGCGACGCTCACGGCCGACCCGGACGAGCTCCCGCCCGAGATGTACTCGGCGTCGAAGACGCAGCGGGGGATGCCGTAGGGGGAGCGCACCCCAGCTAGACCGGTGGCGAACTGGTCGAGATTCGTTTTGCCCACTAGGATACCCCCCGCGGCGAGGATCCTGGAAACCACCGGCGCCGTCTCGGTCGGCGTGTACGCAAAGGTCGGACAGGCCAGCGTCGTCGGCACGCCCGCGACGTCGATCGAGTCTTTGATCGAGAAGGGGATCCCGAACAGCGCCGGCAGCGGCTCGTCGTCGGTGTAGTACCTCTTCACCAGGTCTTCTGCGCGCCGGAGCGCTTCGGCCTCAGGGACCAGGTAGATCCAGACGGCCGGGTCGCGCTCGCGGTACGCGGATATCTTGTCGTAGACGTGCCGGACGACGTCGACGGGCGAGAGTCTGCGAGTTGCATACCTCACGCGCAGGTCGACGATGTCCAGGCTCGAAATCTCGGGCGAGGACGACGGAGTGCTCATGGCTAGGGATTGGTGCTGTCACTCGGTTTGTGGCTCAGAAATCAATCTCCTCTCCAATGACTGAGTAGTACTGCAATGGTAGGTAGGTGTGGGAGCAAAGGTGAGCACCAGCACGGAGCAGAGCAGTCAATTCTGCTGGCCTGGCCTCAGAGGCGAACCCTTCTCACCCGTCCATGCCCGATTCTGTAAGAAACATTCATTTCCACATGTTCGTGTTGTTATCAATTGTCCTGTTATCCCCGTGTTCACGGTGACTTGTCCTGTTGAATTGTTCGAGGATGGGTAAGTTGTCGGGATTGTTCCGATACATCGGGTTCGCCTAATACCTCCTTGTCCGAAGTGGGAGGGACTAAACCAAAGGCGCTTTTTCGGACATTTTCCGACAATCTCCTCAAATGGGATGTTGCCAAGGCTTGGCGTGATTTGATCATGTCATTACAAATTCTGCTGGACCAGAAAGCTTGATGGCATCTGGAGAAATCCAGAACCCACGATAGTTGGATCAGCACCTATCTGTCTATGGATAGTGAAATCACCGGTAAAGAAGTTCGAGTCTAAATCTAGCGAGACTCAAGCCTGGACAAGGAAAAAGGGATCTCCATCTATTCTGATGACGCCGCCGAAATATACACCCTCGCCTCAAACGGCTGCAAGATCTTCTCCCCCAGATCATCGACGTTTGCAACGGCGAGGCTGAAGTCTCGACCATCCAATACGGCCGCAGGAGTCCATTCCTTCCCTTTCGTGGACATGTTGGCCACCGTCACGGATTTCGTCCCGTCGTCTCCCTCTTTGGCGAAGATGACCATGTCCCCGTCGGCATTGGCGGTCTCGATCTCGCGGAACTTGCCATAGACGAAGACGTCCTGGTGCGTCTTCCTCAGGTGGACCATCTGTTTCCAGAATTCCAGGACGCTGCCCTTGCGACCGACTTGGTCCGCCACGTTGATGGCCTCGTGGGACTCCAGCACGCTCATCCACGGCTTGACGTCGTCGGGACAGAAGCCGGCGTTTCGTGGGGCCCCTTCCCATTGCATGGGCACGCGGGCGTGGTCTCGCGCCGTCCGGTGCAGGATGTCCAGCGCCTCGGACAGCGCGGCGGGGTCATTTTGGGACTTCTCTCGGACCTCGCTCAGGTGGGACACCGACTTGATGCACTTGTACTCGTCGGCCGACCACGAGCGCGGGGCGTTGATCATGCCAATCTCCTGGCCCTGGTAGATGAACAGCGTCCCCGTCAGCGTGGCCAGGATGGCTGCCAGCATCTGCGCGGCCCGTACCCGGTACTCGGGCAGGTCGGAGGTGAAGCGCGACACAGAGCGGCCCTGGTCGTGGTTCTCCAAGAACACGGTCGTCCAGGCGTCGGTATTCTCAATCACCGACTGCCACTTGAACAGCTCGCGCTTGAAGTCGGTGGTGGTAAAGGGCCGCGGGATGAAGCGGGCCCCCGGGGTCTGGCCCAGGTCGACCACGTCAAAGTTGAAGACCATGTTCAGCTGCCTGTTGCGGGCCGAGATGTAGGCCATCACATCCGCCTCGTTGGGCGTGTAGGGCAGCTCGCCGACCGTCATGGTGTCGTACTGGGCGAGGATGTCGTTGATCTCGGCCAGGTACTCTTGCATGCGCGGTCCGTTGGCATAGTACATCATGGCCGGCTGCGACTCGCTGTCCGGGTAGACGACCGGGGCGTCTGGCAGTCCCGGGTGTTTGGAGTAGAGGTTGACCGTGTCGATGCGGAAGCCGTCGATGCCCTTGTCCAGCCAGAACTTGATGGCGCTCCGGTAGATGGCCTGTCTGCACTCGGGGTTTTCCCAGTTGAGGTCGGGCTGCTCGGGCGCGTACAGGTGGAGGTAGTACTCCTGGCTGGTCTCGTCCCAGGTCCAGGCCGGTTTGGAGAAGTTGCTGCGCCAGTTGTTGGGCCGGCAGCGTTTGCCATCGGCGTCGTACTTTGCTGGGCGCCAGATGTACCAGTCCCTCTTGGGGTTGGTCTTGGAGGAGCGCGACTCTTGGAACCAGGCGTGCCGGCTGGAGGTGTGGTTGATGACCAGGTCGAAGATGATGCGCATGCCGCGGTCGTGGACGGCCTTGATGAGGGCGTCGGTCTGCTCGAGGGTGCCGTAGGGTTCGTGGATGTCCTCGTAGTCCTGGATGTCGTAGCCCATGTCGACCTGCGGGCTCTTGTAGTGCGGACACACCCAGATGACGTCGACGCCCAGGGCGCGGATGTAGTCCAGCTTGGACATGATGCCGGGGATGTCGCCGACGCCGTCGCCATTGCTGTCCTTGAAGCTGGCCGGGTAGATTTGGTAGACGACGGCCTCTTTCCACCACTTGTGGTCGTGCTGGTGGTGGAGGACTTCGATCATGGTTCCGCTTTACTATATGGATGTATAGGAAGTATAAGATGTATAGGGAGGTAATTGTACGCTTTTATCGACCACTTCTAATTCCAACTTCTTACGGGGAGGTTTGGCGTCCGTTTGATATAACAATCCACGAGCCCCACGAGAAGGAGAAAGAAAGACCAACTGTCCTACCCATTCGTCCACCTCACCTCACGAACGCCCATCAGAGGAAGTCGACAAGGGGGGCACACGTCGCTCCTCCGCCCTCTGACAAACGCGGACATTTTCTCGCAGATTTGTCCAAGTAAACCGACCAAAGAAAGATTCCACTCCACCTAACCCACCCTGTGGGGGGTTTGTGATGATTCCATTCCGTTCATTTCATCAAACTATTTCCCCATCACGATTACCTGCCGAGGAGAGGAGGAAGAAGAAAACTTCTTGTCAGATGGCCTGATAGAATTGAACCCCATCAGCGTCCCCCGGTGCCCCGTCAGTAGAGGTCGTCGGCAAAGGGACCCCATCAAGCGACGTCCAAGCGACAGCCGATCGGCTACGCATGGACGGGAACCCATTTCGGGCCATGGCGATGGATGGTTTTCTGCCTCTTTTGCCTCTTTGGGATGAGGAAAGTGCCATCTGACGGTCATCCTCCGCCCGTAGCGTAAGCGACGCAGCCGAGGGAGGAAGGTTTAGTCTTTTCTTTCCTTTTCTTCCCCTACAAGATTTCACGGGTTCTTCATACTGTACGTACCACTAGATCACTAGACAACAAGAGATGAGAGAAAATCAACTAAACAGAGAATCTCGGCTGTACCCCAGACATTCGTTCCCCTGTCCGTCCGCATATCCACGTCCACGTCCCATGTCCATGTGTTCTGTCTGTACCATGTGTCCGGTATAAACCAAATACCTCCACTTTTAACCCGTGGGGACTCGTGAAGGAACAGCCCTGACTTGGACTCTCACCACGGGGTTTGGACTAGTCAGAAAGTCGTGCGCTCGCCACTGCTAAGCTCCCCTCGTCTCCTGTCTTGCTATATAACGGCACTTTTTTCGTCCTTTTGGCGAGCCCGTGGACATGGGTCTCTTCCTCCTCTTCCCACACACTTTTGTCAGTCGGTCAGATACTCGGTAGAGTTGAGTCGAGTCGACAGATCCTGTGCATCAAGTCCCTCTCTTCTCAAGACTCTTTCCCCCCCCTCCCGTCGCACCAATGGCGCACGTCGAGGACATCAAGGTCCCCGTCGAGGCCAATGCCGAGCCTCTCAGCGCTCAAAAGGCCATCATCCAGGAAGCCCAGGCGGCCGCAGAGGTCGAGCAGGAGCTGGGCCTGTGGAAGTCGATCAAGCTCTATCCCAAGGCGATCTGTTGGTCGGTGCTGCTGTCGACCGCCATCATCATGGAAGGATATGATTTGCTGTTGATGTGAGTATACATGCATACATACATACATACCGCTTTTTGGTCTTCGAGTCATTGACCGAACCCCCCCTAATATGTCCTTTACTGATTTGCGGGAAAACAGGGGTTCTTTCTACGCCTTGCCCCCTTTCCAACAGCGATACGGCAAACAGCTGGCAAACGGCGAGTTCCAAATCCCCGCTCCGTGGCAGTCGGGCCTGTCCAACGGGGCCACCGTCGGCTCCATCTTTGGCCTGATGCTGAACGGATACGTCTCGGAGCGGTTTGGGTTTCGAAAGACGATGCTCGGCGCCCTGGCCCTGATCTGCTGCCTGATCTTCATCCCCTTTTTCGCCCCGAGTCTCGAGGTGCTTCTGGTCGGGCAGATTCTGATGGGCATACCCTGTAAGTATTCACACACGTCTCCCAAACGTCCCTCTCCTGAAGCAAGGATATTCTGGAGGAAATCATGCTAGACGACGGCGCAAAACTGAACAAAAATCCAGGGGGCATTTTCCAGACTCTTCCCACCGCGTATGCGGCAGAGGTCACGCCAACTCACCTGCGAGCCTATCTCACCACATATGTCAATCTCTGCTGGGTATGTGTGCGGTGCGCAGTCTTGATATCTCTCAGTAACTGGTGCTGATACTTTGGGGGAATTGTCTAGGTCTTTGGCCAGCTTCTCGCGTCTGGAGTGCTGCGCGCTCTGCTCACGCGCGATGATCAGTGGGCGTATCGAATGTGAGTGGTCTACCCAGACATCTATACATGCCTCCCAGAGTCGACAGTTCCCGCAGCTAATGCTCCAAACAAACAGCCCTTTTGCCCTGCAATGGGTCTGGCCGATCCCCCTCATCGTCGGCATCTCCATGGCCCCCGAATCCCCCTGGTGGCTGGTCCGACAGAACCGTCTGGGGGACGCCAAAGCCGCCCTCGCCCGGCTCACCTCCCACAACGCCGCCGGCTCCGTCGACCTCGACAAAGCGGTGACACTGATGGTGTATACCACCGAGCATGAGAAGGAGCTGGGCACGGGCACCTCGTACTTGGACTGCTTCCGGGGCGTCGATCTGCGCAGGACGATTGTCGCGTGTGGGTGTTGGTTGATCCAAACGCTGTCGGGAGCGAGTTTCCGGTATTTTCTTCCTCTCTCTTTCATATCATATCATATCCCTCCATACCCATCTACCTCCTCCCGTGCTTCTCTCTTCTTCCTTGGCTTGGGCATCCCAGCTATCAATGTATATTCCTATCACAATATGAACCCTATCCCTGCAAGCAATGACTTAACTGACTGTGACCGTCACAGCACGTACTCGACGTACTTTTACAAACAAGCCGGCCTCCCCACCGACCAAGCCTTCAACATGTCCATCGGACAGTACGCGCTGGGCATCGTCGGCGTCTTGATGGCGTGGTTCCTCCTGCCCCGCGCGGGCCGCCGGACCATCTACCTGCTCGGGCTGGCGTGCATGATGACGCTGCTGATCGTCATCGGGATCCTGGGCGCCGTGTCCAACCCGCCGACCACGGGCGTCGCGTGGAGCGTCGGCTCGTTGTTGCTCGTCTACACCTTCTTCTACGACGTCTCGGTCGGCCCCGTGTGTTATAGTCTGGTGTCGGAGATCCCTTCGGTGCGGCTGCGCAGCAAGTCCATCGTGCTGGCCCGCGCGTCGTACAACTGTCTGAATATCGTGACGGGGGTGATTACGCCGTACATGCTGAATCCGGGGGCGTGGAATGTGAGTCTCATACCCTCATACCTCTTCTCTTTCCATCCTCTTACTCTCACCCTCCTGCCTTCCTCCTTTCTTTCTCTCCCCCCTTCATCTCTATGCTCTTGTTTTTTTGTACTGACGACGATGCAAAGTGGGGCGCCAAAACCGGCTTCTTCTACGGCGGCACCTGCGTCCTCAGCGTGCTCTTCACGTACTTTTGCATCCCCGAACCAAAGGGCCGCACGTTCGCCGAGCTCGACATCCTCTTCCACAAGAAGACGCCCGCGCGCATGTTTGCAAAGACGCACGTGACTCTGTTTGAGACGACCGCCTTGGATGGCCAGGCGGGCTTGGAGAAGGAGTGATTAACGACCCTTGTCTGGCGAGCCTGTCTGTCGGTCATGTCATGCCTGGTAAGGGGCATGGCATTGAGGATGGCATCGAAGATGGCTATCGGTCAAGGATGTCGATCAGGGATGTATATCAAGGACGAAAGTGCCGATGGTTCCGCGATAGTATCGGGTCGCTTGGTAGGGTAGTGGTAGTTTGTGTATATACATTGTGCATACCTTTGTAGTACATCGTGGGAGGCTGCGTGTGCGCGTGCGCGGGAGGCTTGGACAGATCTAGTTCCGAGTTCAGTTCATCCAAGTTCTGTAACAAAGTATTCAAGTGATTCTCAGTCACATCAATATTTTTCTTCTTCCTAGATGGACATTGTATGTGGCTCTTCTTCCGTTTCTGTCACTGCCACTGCCACTGCCACGACCACTGCCATCCGAATGCTCTCAGTCGTATTATCTCAGCTGTGACTGCGTGACGGCGCAACGTGTGACGCCCATCTAGATAAACGGCGGCGCAATGCCGAATTTTTGGGTACACAAGTACCGACAATCGACGCGGTCGGACCGCTGGCCCTGCAACTCGACGACGGCCGCCAGAAAACGCGCCATAAAGTCGCTCTGGTAAATCGGTTTCTGCACCCGCTGGAGCATCTGCACGGCCCAGTTGCCGCCCTCTTGGTCGGCCTCGAGCGCGTAAAAGAAGATGGGCCACATGAACCCCGGGTTCACGGCGGCGTGGTTGCGCGCGACGTTGTCGTCGACGATCCGCCGGACTTGGCGCAGCGCTTCCTGCGCCTCGGGTGTCGGCGTCAGCCATTGTCCGTGCGCGCGGCCGAGGTCGACAATCTCGATCTGATACGCCGCGTTGCACAGGTCGATCAGCGTCGATAGCTTGTCGAGGAGGGATTCGGGGACGAGAGCCTGGAGCTGGTCCCGGCTCAGCCGTAAAAGGCTCGGCGCCTGCTGCCGCAACAGAGCCAGCTGCTGTCGGATCTTCAGGGCCGTCTGGTCCACTTCGCTTTCGTCGGCTAGCGTGCCCCTCGAGCGGTGATGGCGATTCAGTCCGCAGATCGACGCCCCGATTTGCTGCGTCTGGATGTAGAATTCGAAAAGGGGAGATGCTAGCCCGTCGTAGAGGATCGATGTTGGAGGAGGATCTCGGTCCAGAAATATCAGACTGGGCGTCAGAGTGGTGGCGTTGTACGAGAACAGATGGCTGACTTTGGCCGACATGAAGCCTCTCCCCCCGAGATGCAGCGCCTTGACGTGTAGGAGCTTCAGCCATGTCTCAATGCGGCATACGACGGGCGGCCACGGCCGCTGCTGGATCCAACGCTCCAGCTTGATCACAAAGGGGCCTTCGGATTTCATCATGGTCGGGACAGTGTCTTGCTGAGAGACCACCTCAAAACAAGCTAACAGTGCCATCACAATAAAGGTAAACTCGAGGTCGGGCTCTTGGAACCGCAGCATTTTGGCGTGGTCGGCTTTGGCGGCGTAGTACAGGGAAATGGCATTGGACGTCTCTTGGCCAAGTTCTTCGGCTTCGTAGAGCGCCTCGACGGCTGATATAGCAGAGGCTATTACCGGACTGCGAGCGCTCAGCATTACCATGTAGCGTTTCATGCGCGCCCAGTTTTCCCCGTCAAACGTGGAGATGAATGGAAACTCTACCTTTTCGACAAAGTACGGAAATCGAGCGACAGACGGCAGCATGGTCGTCACGGGCTCCTCCGCAATGGGGTTTGGTGGGAGGTCCGCGTACGCATCGCCGAGCCCTGACATGGGCGACCCCACAGCAAGCCTGGGAGCGAGTAAAGGGTCCAGGTTGGGATCGGTAGCAGGAAAATCGACGGCGCCCTGATCCGGTCGTATTACTCCAGAGGTGAGATCGAATGTAGATTGCGACCACGCTTCGTAGGTGACGAACGGTGAGAGCGGAAAGACGTCCAGTGCTGGAAGGACATCCTGGGCTGTGACCGTGGCCGTCAGAGGGAGAGTCCCTTGGTCCATGCTCGTCCGAACCCTTTTGGGACTGCGATCTAGAAGGGCGTCTACGTCTGGGTAGACGCAAACCCGATTGAGTCTACTGCACTAAGAAAGGTCAGTCAGTTGATTCCCACGTATGCATGCACAGGTTACTCGTACATTCAAGCAGTTGGGCTTCTCCTCGCTGCATTTCACCTTTCTTCCGCGACAAGTGAGACATCCTTTAGGACTTTGGGATTAGCTATTTGCTTTGAGGCGTAGAACTGAAGAACCATAACACACCGCTCTTAGTGCGTGATTTAGGGAGTCCAGATTGTCCACTCCGACTGTACGAGAAGGTAGAAGTGGTGGAGGGCATTTGGCACGCTTCGAAATTAAAGCTTAGCTTGGGCAGTCGTCGGTCTCCTTGGTCTTAAGCGAAAGGCACGAGTAGTGATATTGAGGAGGATGAGCAGCAAGAGGGAAGGCTGAAGAGGCTGGATCCCCAATGATGCCAAGAAAGAAGATGCGGGGTACAGTAGAGCAGCATCACACCATTCCAAATTTGGGTCGTTTCACTTGCCACTTTTGGGCACAAGGCTGAGGTACAAGGCTGGTCGGAGCATTGGTCTCCAAGTGGTACACACGCAATGATCGATCGTAATGACGAATCTTACCAAACTCAAGCTCTCTCGAGAGGAGGAAAGAAACTAAGTTCAACGTTCGCAGTGCGTTAACGGCAGGGCTGACGATCCGACAAACACGACGGACCTCGCGTTAGATCAAAGGCTATCGCGCAGATGCTTTGCGCCGTGGCATGTCGTTTGCTTGGAAGCGGCTATAACGGCTTCTCAACTTGACAGAATCAATTACCACGCCGAGAGCTGGGAAAGACTTTCTGTTTGACCTCCCATGACGTGAAGAGTAATTGGTGGATCGACCAGGTAGGCTCTACCAACAGTGGAAGTCATACCCAGTATCGGAGTGAGTCGGGGTATCGTGTAATAGTAATACTTTGGACGGAGTACTAAACACTTCCTGTCAGCCCCCATGCAACAAACGTTACATTTCTCTTCATTGCTTAGTCACTCATAGCTTCACCCTGGGTGCCTTGTCGCTAGGGCGCCGGCCGTCCAATGGCACCCCCAGTCGGAGGTAGTGACTCACCCAATATCGAGTTCGGCGTCCTCGTATGTAGTAATTACCACAGACACATCTCTCAGCTCCGGTCCAAGCTATTTGTCTTCTATCACCAGCTGGAGGACGATGGCCAGCCAGAGAACCACCAACGATGGCGAAGGTCTCGAGCTTCAACAACCAACAACCGCGGGAGACGAGGGGACACCTCGCGAGCAGCTGCGGGATCATGACTATCCCACTGGACTGCGGTTTATCCTTTTGACCATTGGACTGGTATTGACGATTTTTCTGTCGGCCCTGGACACGTCCATCATCTCGACCGCCATACCAAAGATCACGGATCAATTCGGCACGGTCAAGGACGTGGGCTGGTACGGATCGGCCTATACCATTTCGAACGCTGCGTTTCAATCAACATGGGGGAAGGCTGTAAGTCGACCGCCCCGAGAGACCATATGACGCCGTGATCATGATGGCTGATTGTTGCGAACGGCAAACAGTATAAATACTTCTCGTTCAAATGGACCTTCTTGCTCACAGTTTCCATCTTCGAGCTAGGCAACGTGATTTGTGCCGTGTCTCCCAGCAGCTCAGTTTTGATCTTGGGAAGAGTCATTGCCGGCATGGGTGGTGGAGGAGCCATGACAGGAGCTTTCATCATCATCGCCTTCAGTGCCAAACCACAATACAGGGCCGCGTATATGGGGGTCCTGGGCTTGACGTTCGGCTGTGCGAGTGTCGTTGGGCCTCTCTTGGGAGGCATCCTCACCGACGGACCTGGCTGGAGATGGTGCTTCTGGTGAGTGTAGCGGTGTACGCGGATTCCCGAGCTATCAAGATTGATGCGTTTTCTAGGATAAGTTTACCCGTTGGAGCCCTGGCGGCGACTACAACCGCTCTCACCGTCAAAGTGCCGTCGGTGCCTGAGTCCATGCAGGTCTCGTTAAAAGAGAAGCTGATCTCGTTAGATCTAGCCGGCAGTCTACTTGTCTTGGGTAAGTTGCCTTCTTTGCCAGAACCGAAGTTACTTGAGGAGCTCGGCTAATGCAGGGGTCGTCAATAGGCTCTATGGCTTGCCTGGTGCTCGCACTGGAGAAAGGGGGAGTCTCATCCCCGTGGAGCAACTGGCACGTCGTCACCAGCCTGGGAGGCTTCGTGGCGCTGCTTATCATCTTCAGCATCAACGAGTGGCGGATGGGCAGTCGCGCCATGATCCAGGCACATCTATTGAAAAAACGATCTATTGCGGTCAGCCTGGTGTTTCAATTTTTTATTGCCGGCCTGTTTTTCCCACTATCTTTTGCGCTGCCGATCCAGTTCCAGTCAGTCGGAAATGCATCGGCGTCAGAAAGTGGGATCCGCCTGATACCTTTGATCCTCGCCGTCTCCGTGTTTACCATGATCGCCAACGGGCTGCTGACCTTTTGGCGGCACTACACGCCTTTCCTCGTGATAGGCGCCGTGGCAGGGACACTAGGGGTGATCATGGTTCACACTCTGGACGCCAGCGCTGGTCTCGGGTCGTGGATAGGCTTTGAGATCTTGACAGGCATGGGTGTGGGTCTTGCTCTCCAGGTGCCAATGATCGCGAATCAGGCGGCGGTAGGGATCGAGGATATGGCCGCCGTGACCTCGTTGACGCTCTTCTGCGAAAACGTGGGGACCTCCATCTTCATCGCAGCCACTGAAGCCGCCTTCACCAATGGGTTGGTCTCGGCTCTAGGGCACAATGTCCCCCAATTGAATCCTGAGATTGTGGTCAATACGGGAGCGACCGAAATCCGGCAGATTTTTGGCAAGAAGCAAATCCAGGGGGTTCTGAGGTCGTACCTAAAAGGCTGCCAGGCCAGCCACCTGGTGCCCATGGCCTGTGGATCAGCTGCCACTCTGGTGTCGATGATTGTTGCAGTGCCGTCAGTGAGTCAGTCATGGGAGAAGTGGAAGCACAAAGCGCATTCTCGGTAAAGAGCCTCGGCGTAGCTCACGGTCACAGTCGCTCGCTAGCTTTGTAGGAACAGACAAGTAGTGTCTCTGAGTGTGTAAGTTGTGGGTTGTGATTGGGGCAAGACGGAAGTGGCACAGAAGCGGTGTGCGAACAAAGACTGCGACACCCGCAACCACCTGCAACCACCGCCAACACCCTCACCAAATTCCATCGCCAATCTGCGCCAGTCTACCAGCTTGGCTCCAGTCACTGTAAATCTATTGCCTGTCTCTGCCATGCCCGCCAATAATCCATCTGTGATCCATCTGCAAGAGGAGGGACAATACACACAATACCTTGAGGGGGTTAGGTCATCCGACTACACCACACCACACCGCCGACCTCTACGCACGCATTCCGCCTTTCTCATCCTCCGTCACATGGATTTCTGTTGAGACCCTAGGCCTCTTTGGTCTGGTTTGGCCTTGCCAATGGCAAAATGGCGACATACCGAGATACACTACCGTCTGCTTGTCGGGGATCTCTGTGGCCGACACCTTTCAAGATTCCCACTTTGCGTCTCCGTTTCCATGCATCATCAACCGCCCACAAGCGCCCACTTGGTTATTCCTCTTGGACATGTCCACGCCCTGTCGTCCACTCTCCAGAGGCCCAGAGCGAAATACCGCGACCCCTAGGACGTGGCGGCAAAATTCCCCCTCTCTCCATCGCCATCGAGGCTTAGACTCGCACAAGCGTCCCGCCCGCGATCAAACGGACCTTCTACTTCGTCTCTAGAGGCAATCTGCGCTTCCCAAACAGGTGAATCCGACCCTGGCATGGCCAGCTTTTTGCTGCAGGTTTGGGCTGGTGACCGATGACCTACTGGTGCATCGACCCTCTTCAGAAAATCTGCGACTTCTAAATTAAATTTATTGTATTGATTTCTCGGTCTGTTCGTTACCCTGTATCTGTTCTCCTTCTGTGTTTCAAACATGGTAGAATGCCCACAGGGTGATTTCGCGGAGACTGCACGAGGTATGAATATAAAGAATTCTTTATGACAACGCCGAGCTGGTCCTCGCCATCAATGCCTGCTTCACCTATTCAATCTCCCGCGCTCTGGTAACGGAAAGAGACTGCACCCACGCCACTTCTCCTTTGTTCTGCAGGCCCAAACGATCCAGAAGCCTTCGTCGGGTCACGTATGCCACAGTTTGGGGACGCCAGGCCCTCTGAGAGACTATTACCCCAGCTTCACCACAGTGCATTTCCACGTCCGAGACTTATGAATGACATGACGACGATACGAATAATGAGCATACGGTACGACATGACGGCCACTTGTGACGACACTGCCGAGGTGTCTGATACCGAGTCCTTCCACTCGGCCATTTCAAATGTCACCAAGAAAAGCTCCAAGCGTTGGAGCTCGCCTGCCCAGAAGGCCGCGATAACGGCAGATTGCCTGATCCATCATCAAACAGTGCTGAAGAGACCGCGATCGCGGACGGTTTGCTCTCAGTCATCGGCCTCGTCCAAAGCATCCCATCCTCAACACAGTCCTCGACACTCGCGGCACAACTCCGTATCCATCCCCTCCCGACACAGCAGTCTTGCGAGGAAACGGCGTCGATCGCGTCAGGATTCCATAGCGCTGCATCGCCAGAGCTGCCAGATTTTCTCCTCCCTGGACGGAGTTTTGGCCTTGAGTAGGGACATCACACCTCTGCCCAGCGCGTCGACCTCGCGGACAGCAACCCGGCATGCATCCATAATCCCCGAGGACACCCTGGACCAGGAGAGTATCCGGCGCATGTGTGAGAAGATCAACGCCAGACTGACGGCTGTTGAGCACCAACAGCATGATCAGTCAGACCAATATCCCTACACTTATGGCTTCTCGTACGCTGTCCCGGCCAGCGTCAATGATCGCTCTCCGACCCTGCACTCGGACGTTATGCCACAGCTGTCCAAAATCAATACCAGGTACGCCGAGTCGGTAACTGTCTCTCCCGTTACAAGCCCGGGAAGACCAACCTTGAACACCGTGATATCTTGGACCTCGAATGCAACGCGGCGCGTCGAGTACGAGAAAATCGACCGCGCACACAGCGGTGTCAGGGGTTTCCTCCGCAGAGTCATTCCCCGGTGTTTCCGACCCAAGCATGGACGGAGAGCTTTTTTCACAGGTGAATGTGACGGAGACAGCGTGAGAAGGTTTCGACTGGATGTCAGTGATGATGAAAGTGACGCGGACCATCACGGGGGAGACGATATTCGCAAGGTTTCCGGAAGTACTACGTTTGAAGTTGAGAAGGGCAGTCCAAGCGTGAAAGTCGATGTGGGTGCAGCAGATGAAGGCACCCACAGTCGCAAAACTGGAACCAGGGGTGCCAAAGATGGAGGAGAGCACAAGGATAAAGCTCGAAAATGGTCGTGCTTCGACTTATAACAACACTAGCAGCCGCTTGGGCTTCTGACCTAGGGTGCGACGAGAGCCTCCGGTCGGTCTAGCTGCGTCAAACACTTGCAGCAGTCGCATGTTGTATTCTGACGATTCCATCGACATCAATTTTCTTTCGATCCTTATGCGCCCGGCAGAGTCAACATGTCCATTCATATGATACCATGAAATGCGCTCCTTTCTTTTTGAGGATGGCCTGAAGATACCCGTCATGATCAGACTAATCCTGGAGGAATTTTTGGGGTTGTTCGAAATTGTACATAGGAAGCCAGATCAGACAGTGAGCTGTAGAACCTTGATGACGAGTTCATGCAGCTCTGGTAATTTTATTGTTCCCGTCCTTTATAAAAAGGTCGATTCGGGCTTCCCTTCCCTCGTTTGAGACTTCGAGTAACATGATAGTCCAGTCCTTGCTGCTGAGCGTATAAGTCGAGTGGAGGCGCAGGAAGCGCATCTGGGTCGCAGTCTGAGCCCTATCTGTGTGATAATGGAGCCTGCATATCGTCTCCCCGATCGCTGTCTGCGCTTATTGCAGGCTTCTTGGTTGCACAAATACAGGTCGAAGGCTGAGCATAGCATAAGGAATCAAGATACTCGGCCGGGGCTGCAAAGGGTGATGAGTCGTGCTCATGCGTCTGTGCAGCCTGCGCCCGACGAATTCGTTGGGGTCTTGATCGGCATGCACTTCCCTTCGAATCCCAAGCAGCAAAAAAGGTGCACGGTTCCGAGTGTGTCGGCAGAGATTGCAGCTTGATTGTATGGCTCAAATGAGCCTGAGGGTCCCATCTCTTCATCATCTCACAGCAAGTCAAAGTCATCCAGTTTTTCCCTGTACTCCAAAACCTGCCTCTTGACTTTACTTCCATCGACCCAGGTCACAAAGTCCTCCATGCCCCTCGAGACAAGGAAGGCGGGGTCGGTAACCACTTCAGTGCCCACTCTTACATGGCCCTGTTCAACAAACTTGTGTGCCGTGGCGACATGTTCCACCATGCCGATGCGGACCATCACTATGCCCAAGCGGCGACGACAGAATGCGCTGACCGTCACATCCTTTTCCACCGACGACAACCCGGCGCCTTGGCTGCGGTTCTGCTTCAGGATCCCGATCTGGTGCAGTTTTTCTAGCATCACGCTCTCTGTTTCCACGCGGTACGGATCCGCCGGGTCGAGATTTGACAGCAAGTGCGCGAGCTGCCTCAGTCGACCGCACAGGGCATTGTACTTGGAGTAGTCGAGCGGGTGGGTGAGATGATATCGGCGCCGGATGGCGGCTTCACGGTGAGAAGGACCGTCGGATTTGTAGGTGAGAAGGTCGACTTTGCGGAGGAGCCGCTGCTCGTGGTGCTTGAGTTTACGGACCATGATTCTGGAGTAGGGAAAACCTGAAGGCGGAGTGACGGTGAGTATCTAAAGTGGTAGGGAATATTGTCGAAAAAAATAATTTGGTTTGGAGAAGCAGCGGGGATTGGGCTGCCGCTTTAAGGCACTCACAGCCTCACACAATGCGACGAGGCTGTGGTCTAGGGGGAGGCGTATGCTGCCAACAGCTTCGTTGTAGAGCATACTGCCTTGGTATTGGCTTGTGTCGACGATTAAAGAGCTTTATTATCAAACACGCAGCCACTGCACTGCCCTGATGGTTTACAGCATGGTCCTATAAGCATGGTTGGCTCTGGAGCAGCAAATACAACCCATCGCGGGCTGCACTTACGGTGTACCTGTCCCCTTCTGTCTGGACTTCTACAATTATTATCTTCTGTCCAAGTGCGATAAACCGACGAAAGGTCCAAAAAACAGGCTGTCCGTTCTTTACAGACCCCAGGCGTCCTCTGCATCATCTAGGTGACCGCCCTAAGATTCCCACATCTGGAAATGTTACGGATCGACGACAGTAGACTTTCCGCGAGATGAGTTTTGTAGAGACACGACACGGTGGTCCTGGACGACAGGCGGGCGACTGATCGACCTGTCTTTTGGACAAAGCTGGGCGTTGATGAAATGACATCTTGATGAAGCAGATCTTTCAGTTTTCGTGTCTTGTTGTGATGACAAGGGCGAATGATTCCAAGTTGGTGATGGCCTGACCAGCCACGAAAACTCGCATGGTGTCTGAGGTTCTGTGACGACTGACCACCAAACATTCGACTAGGCAGAGAGCCAGGACGGTGGGATTCATGCTCCCGTGCCCCGAGAATTTGTCCGATCCGATTGATCATGTCTTTCTACTGAATGGCATACTTATCAGTGACCTATCCAGCTCCAACTTAAAGCCGAGGATATACGCTGACTTGTGGAATTTCTACACAAGAACGAAGGATGGCCTTTGCCGTACATTTGCCGCATGTCGCCTCGCTACGACCCAGGCACACAACTCCTATGGTTTCACCTTGTGTCATTTCCACCCCTTCTGGAGTCGAGTGCCCAGCTTTCAACGTGTAAAATTGGATGCCTGATGTCCCGCATCGAACATCGAGCCAAAGAGGAGGGGTGCGGAGTATCTGTCCGGGATATGGATCATGCTGTGGGATCGTTGCGAGTTTATACCGTCGCTGACCAATTCATGGACACAAGGGGAAAAACTCTCTCGGACTTAATTCATCCTCCTCATTAAGAAGGGCCATGCATCTCGTACATTAACTCAACACTCCTCAATTGAGTCTGAACAAACACTGTAACTACTTGTGGTGTGCGAAATCTCTGATCCATTGTGTAACCGCCAATCAAAACTCGCTACCATGAAGGCTATTGTGATGGATGGTGAGCCTGGAAAGGCGTCTTTCGTCACCGACCGGCCTCACCCAAAGCACAGGCCAGGATACGTTCATGTCGATGTCAAAGCGGTTGCGTTGAACCCTACCGACTGGAAACATATTGACTACATGAACGAGAAAGGTCTCCTCGTGGGCTGCGACTACTCTGGAGTGGTTGCAGAGACAGGAACCGGCTACTCGAAACAGTGGAAAGTCGGTGATCGAATCTGTGGCTTCGCGCACGGATGCAATGAGTTGCAGCCTGAAGATGGCGCATTCGCCGAGCGCATCGCAGTCAAGGCGGATGTGCAGATCCGCGTTCCGGACAACATGTCGTTTGAAGAGGCCGCGACATTGGGCGTCGCTGTTGTTACCTGTGGGCAAGGACTCTTCCAACAGATGGGCTTGGATCTACCCTCGCAGCCTTCCACCAAAGGCGAGTTCATCCTGATCTACGGAGGCAGCTCCGCGACCGGTTCCATTGGGATCCAATTTGCAAAGCTGTAAGTGTGAAATGCCGTTGGGGGACTGGTTGGTGCTGACCTGATAGTGCTGGATATAAACCCATTACTACATGCTCTCCACGTAACTTTGATCTGGTCAAATCGTTGGGAGCAGTCGCCGCCTTTGACTACAATGATCCAGAGTGTGCGACCAAGATCAAGGAATATACCAAGAATGATCTCAAGTATATCTGGGATACCATCTCCCTGCCCCAAACGGCCAAGCTCTGTTCAGAGGTGATTTCATCTGGAGGGAATTATGGCGCGATTTTGAGCGTCGAATTGCCCCGGACAGATGTTAAGACCACCTTCAATTTGGGATACACTGCGACCGGAGAACCCGTGAAGAAGCGCTTTTTCGAGAGCCAAGACAACACCAAGGACTTCGAGTTTATGAAAAAGTGGATTGAAGAGGTCGAACCCATTTTGGAGCAGGGACGCCTGAAGGTTCATCCTCCCAAGGTGGGTAAGGGCCTCGAGCACGTCTTGGAAGGATGTGATTTGTTGAGACACGACAAAGTGAGTGGGCAAAAGTTGGTGTATGTCCTGTGAGGACGGGGAAGGAGATTCTTGTCGTCGGGTCAGGCTGAATGATTTTCCTGGTCGTCGTCGTCATCGCTAGCCTTGTCCGATGAAGGGGCGGAGGAGAGGGGTTGTATTTCCACACAGTCATGATTTACAACAAAGTCAGCCTTGCTAGCATCAAAAGCGCGAGAGAGGGTATCCAATCTGAGGTCAACATGAGGGCGAATACCTTTTCCTGATTTCCACCGAACTGGGTGGGAGATTGATAGTCGCACTGCCTCGCTCACAACTGGACGCGTGTTGGGATGATCTGTGCCTCGTACTCGGTAAATGTTGGCTGTGGTGTTGTGGTGCCTGCAGGTGTGGAGGAGATTGGGAATTATCCCTGTCATTTAACGGTCATACCAATGCAGAGTGTCCGGACTTATGTCATTTGAATCAGTGCTTCCAGACGCCCTGAGCGGTGGTGCCGCCCCTAAATTCATAGTATCTTACCCGTAGCTGTCACTTTTGACCACTGCGCGCACCCACTTGACACCCCCAAGAGGCCCCGCCACCCCCTACTCGTGCCTGCTCAAGTACCTGGCTTATTTGTTATTGGGCACTCTAGCCTCGTCCTGCCAAGTTTGGGCTGCGGCCATCTTCCTTCCGCCCCATGACGCAGTCATCCTGCACCTGCTTTCACGCCCATGATGCCGCCATCTGCGGCAATGTTTGAAGCTTGCTGCTGAGCCATGACAGCAACCGTGGCTGTGACGCTGGATTCACGTTCCAGTGACTGTTCTTCTTGTAGTCATTGATCAATCTGAACCATTATCGTCAGGGCACGAGGAGATCGTCGCTTGACCAAGTCCTACTCATACCCATCACATGGCTGCGCATTTATCACTTTATCCCAGGGCCACGTAAACAGTTCCTGCTGGCAATTTCTTAACTTTTCCATGTGCTCAAAAGGTTCTTCTACTGTCCCCCGGAGATGAGTGCTTGACCTGCTTTCCCTCCTTCCCCTTGCTCTTGTTGGCCATCCGTCAAACATGTCTACCCACGATGTTGTCGCAAACGTGCAAGAGAAATCTGCGGACAAACCTGCGGTCGTCTCCGAGTCCAATGGCGATATCAAAGTCCCCAAGATCAGTGTCGATGCTCCGGCCTCACCAGGCGACTCGACATCCCCAGCGGGACAACTCTTGACGGGCAAACAAGAGCACTATCTCAAACGAGAACTCATCTCCCGTCAGGTCTCGGAAGAGATCACCGAACTGAGCAGTCCGACGGCCCTTCAACGCTTTGGTGCTCCTTTCCGTTCACAGTATGGCGAAGTCTCCCCCATGGACTCTGAGTTGCCAATCCTACGGTATATCTTTGTCAATCACGTCCGCAATTTCCCCTTCCTCGACCAGGCGAAAGAGAAGGAATTCTGGCAGGACAAGTTACAGACTTTCCTTGAGTCTTTTGCCAGCAAATACATCTCTTCATCGGAAGACAGGCTAGAAGAAACCAAAAGGCGGAAGTTGGCCAGAAAGTCCGAAAAGTTGGTGGAGCTGATGATGGTTTCTGGTGTACCCACGGCTTCTGGTTATGAAGAGAGAATACGTTTCGCCGAGATGGAAGTTGTGGAGCGTGGTGCGAACGAACAAGGCCTGGTTGTGAATATTCCAGAAGGAAACTACATCAACAATTGGGATATCAATGTGGCTGGTGTGAGGATCACCTCAGTCAAGCGAACCGTTCGCTATCATCAGCACGCCGAGTTCCTGATACGAGTCAAAAGACCCGATCAACCAGAAATATACATCGGAAGACGGTACGGTGATTTCGTGAAGCTACACAAAAGGCTTCGGACTGAGATGCCGGGCAAGATTCTCCCACCTTTACCCAGGAAGAACAAATCCTCCACCTTCACGTCTGTCTTGCCGTCAGGGGATGACGATACTTCGTCGGTGTCTTCCGTCTCTACTGGAGTCAGTGTAGAGGATTCTGGGAGGAATTTTCTCGTTCACCGACGTTTGAAGTCATCCAACTCTTTGAGTCCTAATCTCGGGTCCGGCTCACCCAAGTCATCAGCAACCCCGAGGAGTCTCTCCAGAGAAAGAGGAACCAGCCCAAGTCCGCAGACTGTTCGCCTACATCGAGAAGATCAAAGAGTCTCACTAAGAGCTTTCTTGAGGACTCTCTTGCAAAACCCCAATATTGCACAGTCGAAATCAATGACTGATTTCCTGACTCTTCAACCTATCAGTCTCAACGAAGAGGAACTAGAAGACATCGAACGACGAAAAGAGATGGACGCAAGGCGGCTGGAAGAGCAGAGGAAGTTCTACGACATCGCCAGGAAACGAGCGGCAGAGCTTGACACCTACATGGAGAAATTCCGAAGAAATATCGTCGAGGCTAATGGCTTGACCAAACTATTTGCTGAGATACGAAGCAAAGACAAGCTGGCAGATTTAAGCCCCGAGTATCAAAAATTCGCAGAATGGCTCAGGATAGAAGTGGCAGCCACCATCTACCATTTATTCCTGGCAGAAGATAACTCCCCCGAGTTGTTTGCCCAGGCGAAACGGATACATTCTCTGGTGCCGTATACGGTACTGAAGAACGTGATTCGAATAGCAAACCCTGCAGCAGTCATGTCTGGTGTCCTGGATCTCTTTCTGGCACAACCCTTCGGCGCAAGATCACTATTACAACGAATTTTTGCCCAGACCCTGGCAGATGGAATCCGACAGTTCCAGAGATCTATCGATGGTGTCGCCGGACAAGTGGGAGACCCAGTCCTGGTCAACAAAATCAAAGCGTTCGTTGACAGTCCCGAAGAAACCAAGAACCTCCTCCGAGCAGAAGCGGAGACAGAACAAATTGACCTTGTCGTGGCGATTCTCAGGTCAGAACAATTCGAACCTGAACTTACGCCGCCACAGATTCAACGGGTCTACAACGCATGGGTGGCGTGGAACAGTGCAGTGGAAAACGAAGACGAAGAACTTAAACAAGGCGCTGAAATGTTCTCACACCTCAAGCAGCTTCTCAAGTTAATGACTCGGCAACGTGACAAGGCTATGATGGCAGCCATGATCGAGGAGCCCAATACTCTCCAGCTGTTCCGTGATCTATTCACCATATTCTACGAACCTTTAATCCGGGTGTACAAATCTGCAAATGTTTACAACTCCATCACGGACTTTGCGCGCTTCGCCGACGACGCCATCAAAACGGTCGAAATCGCACAGAGGCAAGACGTGTCAGCCGACCCAAATCAGACTGTTCAGTCTTTCATCGATCTTTGTGCCAGACACGAAGATAACTTGTATAAATTCATCCATGAAGTCCATACTCACGATAACGGCCTCTTTACCGCCTTGATGGGCTGGATTGAGGGCATCCTCGAGTTCCTCCGAAAAGGCCCCAGGAGCGGCGGGAAACTGGATATGAATGCGATCTTACAAGGGGCGCTAGACATGAGGGCGGTGGACAGGGAGATCATCATCACAGAGGTCGATGAGTTAATCAAGTGGCAGGAGGCGCGAAAGAAATGGCATAGTGATAAGACGAGGCAGAAAATGGCCGCCGAGGGAACAGGGTCTGCCAATTCTTCAGAAGCAGCCACGGGGATGCCGGGGGCCAACTTCCGGAGTAGCGATTTCGGATTGCATGAGGTGAGTTTCTCTTCCATTCCTGACTTGGTTGCCGCCTCTGTAAAAGGTGCCGCCTTTGATACTGGATTTATGCTGACGATTTTGGTAACGTTGCAGGGCGATCTAATGGATCTCAGCATTTCCGACGAAGAGGATGACCTTGACTCCGAAGAAGATGATGCAGAAGACGATCTCGACCCTCTCTCGGCTGAACGTCGTCGCCGTAGAAAGGCACAAGACAGGCTGAGAAGGAGTGCCGGCGAGCCTGTCAAGCCGGAGGTCAGCGAGGTGCTGAAGCTACGCGAGTCATTTGTGGCAATGCTGAGAGCTGTTCTGAGTGATTGACCGGGCGACAATGGGCCGACCATCAAGTCAGAAGTGACCAGCATGGTTGGTCGTGGCCTGCATTGAATGGACTGGTCTGAAAGGCAAGCATAGAATACCCCTGGAGGCCTGCCACGCCGGGCATCGAGACGATCATAAACGCGTGGATCGTGGCACACGTTGCATATATCTGCATTCTGTCTTGGCCATCCTCCTGCTATCCCTGTAAAGAGTCTAGTCACATTGTAAGAAGCACAGATGAGGTATCGATAGTTTGCTACTCAACAAATGAGACGACGACTTTCCTGGGTCGTGGGATCAGGTCTAGAAATCTACGCTCCGAGCTCTAAGTCGGGGGAGAACAGACAGGGATTATGAGACCAGCTAGCCCATCAAACATATGTACATGTACTTGTACAATCGTCAGTGAGCCGGTCTATTCATCTTCCGCTGCCGGATAGGTACACATAGATTTCTGGCATCAAAATACTTTCCACAAGATAGGTAAAGCAAGCCCTTCAAGATGATGGATCGCGTGGGTATTGTGGGTCGAGAATTCCTTGACTAAGTGGCTCTGGACCGCATTCACAGGGGCTAGGAAGACAGACTGGTAGAGTCTCGAGACCTGAGGCACGGGAGAGGGAAGAAGCAAAGGTCGAGATGAAGATCGACAATGGATGGCAGTGACCGAGTGAAAATGGTTCTGGAACAGGAAAGCGGCACGGGGCGTGTGTGATGTGGTCGATCATGGGTGGGAGGAGACCACCAGCCGGTCCAAGGAGACAGCCAATTGATCAAGAACAACATGACGAACGACGAGAACCTTGGTCGCACCCACGGCGCACAGGTGTAATTCCCATGTGTCAGCTCGTGGACTATATTCGTCACTGAGGGCAAGAAGAATTCGGCTGGCTCGCCAGGCTGTCTGCTGCGTGACGACGATTCCAAGGATACGAAGACCCTTACGCAGTATCACCTTGACCTCACGGCTGTTCATTCATAGACGCCACTTCCTGTCGACTTGTCCAATCAGGCAGGGTTGGTGTCGTTGACGGCCCATACATCGAGTGCTGGACCCGCGGGGTCAAGGCTCTGACATGTGCTTTTCTCGGCGAGTCTGTCGAGATAGTATGTTTCAAGCCAAGTCCACATTCATCTCGTGCTGGTGTCAAGCCAGGCAGACATACGCCCAGACGAAGCTCGACGAACATGTGAACTATCTGTTGGATTTTCCTCCAAGTGGACGAATCACAAAATTCCACAGAGAAAACAAGGCTGTTGGCGAGCTTGATTGGCCGCCACTAGGGAAATAATCAGCGGCTCGAGTCAGGGACTGAAGAGTGATATGGCGTCTGGTTGGGCGAGACAGTGTTATTTTCCGGAAATTCCTGGTAGATGATTGGAGATGAGGACAAAAGGAGCTACAGGTACAAGTCCCAAGTACGAGGTAGACTCGGAGCAATTTGGTGATCAAAACAATGGTAGCCGTGGTGTGATTCGCGTCTGCGACGATCGAAGGCAGTCGAGGGACTCGAGGACTCGAGGTTGACCCGACGAGAAAGGTAGTAGGAAGTGTTGCAGTGAGGGAGATTGGGGCAGGCAGGGCATCACGCAACAGCGCATCCGGAGACGATGGCCTGATTGGGCTGGTTATGGTGATGGAATTTTTAAGCGAAGGACTTGTGGTGGAAACGCATGCAACGTCGCCGCTGACACATGAACCCGGGTGAGGGTGGAGGGCGAGGAGGCGAGGACGAGAGAGGAGACCTTGCGTTGTAACGGGTTAGTACAAGGCCTCGGTAGGTCCGGCGCAAGAAAGAGAAGGACAAGAAGGGAAAACAGAAGAGAAAACTGAGGTGGCAGGGCAGCGGAAGACAGGGAAGTCCAGGGCCGCGCAGGATGCGGTGAAAGCTGCCGAGCAGAAGAGCGGAAGCCCGGTCACATGATGTGGACACAAAGGTTTTTTTTTTTGCTTCTGTTGCGTCAGCCCTGCAGCCTGCGCCCTTCTGATGGCCCTTGAGATGGTTATCGGTGCGAGGTGATGATACAGCGGAGAGATTCGTAGCGAGTGGTGTGTCGTTGTAAGGAGTACAGGTATAGTAACAAGTATACAGTCACGTTGCAGTTCAGTCCTTGACTGCGAGGTACTCGTAGGTGCTCGGTATTTCGGTACAACGACTTGACACTCATTCAGCTTCCAAGTTTGTTGAGGAAAATCCTGTGTGCGAAACTAGTCCCATAGTGGAATAGCACGGCTGTGGATGCATCGGGTCACGAGGATCTTCCATGGTTGGCTCTTTGTCTCGACCAAGCAAATTCAAGCGAGCAGAAAAACCTTGAAACCTCGTAGTGACTTTCGTAGTAGACAGTAGTACGCACTTCGGACAGTAGTAGTGCGAAGTGTTGCTTTTCTTCTCGGGGGGCCCTGGTACCCTGCAGCTGGTCGCCGAACATCCCATCCCCCCATTCTCAAGGGAAACAAACCTTGGAACCGAGTCAACTGAGCACAAGCCGCGCCCCCTCAGCCGCCCACTCATCCTCTGGCTTTTTCCTCCCTCCCTTTTGTATCGCCCAATCGCCCCTCGCCTGCTGGTTTCAACTTCACCTCCTTCACCCAATCACCCAATCATCCTCCAGCCGGGCCGACTACTCTGTCGTCTTGCCAGTCCACTCACCACTCACACATTGTCTTTGCTCGCTACCGCAAGGAGCACGCAACGCACGACATCATCTCCGCCGCTTTGCTCTTCAACGTGGGGCTGCCCAGTCTCACGAGTGCGCGAGTCGAATCAAAGGGTGATCAAAAAAGAAAAGCAAAAAGCCCCGAACCAACCCGAGGCCAGGCGGCTCTCCAGCCTACCTACCTAAGCCTACCAAACACACCCAAAGCTCAGCCAAAACGTCTGGCCGAATCATCTCCCTCGTCTGCCTCTACCTGGTCGACTGCATCATCAAATTTGATTCGACTGCTCTCTCCACGATCCACGTTGCTGGTAAACATTCACCACCTATCACCATTCACCCTCAACTCGATCCCGTAGAGCCTTGCGCGCATCGAAGCATATTGAAACAAATAAACACATCAATAACTACGGTGGACAGAAATTGCTACACTGCTGTACTCGTGTATGCGCGCACGCCGGCGGGTGATCTCATCAGCCCCCCCCCGAGGACAAGCGCAACAAGCCATCCATCAGCCCGACAAGCCATCAACACAACCCCCTCCCACCCAACCCCAGTCACCTAGGCCAGCTCTGCAATCTGCAAGCCCACCCACTACTGCCATTACTCACCGCGGTAAACCTCCCGCCTCACCGCTGGCAATCTATCTATCACAACACGCAAAATTGACTGACACGCATCACCGATTGACTGACCGACCGCCAGTCCCGTGTCCCCAAAAAATACAGTCCTCCACCGCCGCACTTCCCGTTACCGCCATTGACAGCGCTTCAACCCCAGCCGCACATTATTTGGCAAAACTCCCACGTCACTGTCGCTCTGTAACAATCGCGAGCGCATCAAACTTCGATCTCGCTCGGGGTCTGTCGTCTCTTGTATCAAGAACGCGTCGGTAACCAGCTTCATCCCTGTCGCGGGCGCAGAAACCGGCCTCTGCGCATCTCGCGCCAACTAGAATCTTGTAAATTCAACCAGCTTCATTTTGTGGGCAGCAACTTTGACCGGGCTGTCGCATCACTTGGGCACGACCCGTGGTTGTTCCGAGAGACCACAACAGATCCCACAAATCTTCCCCTCTCCAACAAGACCAGAAATTTCATCATCTACAAGAATAGATACTGGCTGGCCGCCTCCGGGTTTGCCTGTTGACAGTGTGGGACGGAACTAAGAGGTGAGTGCATGGAGTTGCCAACACATCACTGCATGCGCGCCTCCAATCGATTGCTACATAACCATTCCCACCCGACCCCATCCTCCAATAATCGTCTTTGCGCTCTACCAGAGCCAATACTGATTCACACTGTCCTCAGTACGTAGTCTGGCAATCGAATCGCAGCTTACCTTCCTTCCGCGCCCTCGAATCATTCCTCTCAGACGCCCGCAATCCAAACAAATCCATTCCAGCCTGCGGCGCGTCGCATCAAAGCTTCGGGAAAGCGGGAAGCACCGCCAGAAAAAACGGCGACGACGAGGAACGACAACAACGTTGACCGGCGGAGCAAGCAGGAGAAAGAGCTGGAAAAACAGTGCCTGCTGCGTGACGTCCTCAAGTCAGGCATCCTCGTCCCGCGCCACACTCTGCTTCCCTCAAGAGCAGAAGTGACAACTCATCAACAGCGCTAGACCCCAGCTTCTCCTGCAAAGAAGCCCAATCTGAGGCGAACTCAGCCCGGGTGTCGACGGTTGCAGCAACATCCCGGACCCTATCTCGCCTCATTTGTTGACTTGTCTTTGTCAATATAGTGAGTGGACCGCTGGGTTCGACTCCTTCGACAATTTTCAGACCCAGTCTGCTCATCATCTGCTCTATCATCAGCGAAGGTCAGTATTGGTGCTTTGCCGGCGATCCAGTGACCGCCGTGAGCTGCGCTAGCAACTAACGCAAGGAACCAGGCTCCAACCTACCGCTGTTAGACCCTCCTATCAGAGTGTCGAGGCGCCGTTGTTGCAACATTTCAAGGCACAACAGCCCCCAGAGAGCGCGTCTCAGCTATTCGACCATCACCCTTTGCGGCCTTGCTCGACCTCTTAACTGCCCAGCTTAGCCTCCGGAGACCTGCGTCCTCCCGTACGCGCGACAGCTGAGGCGATCCAAGCAAGTCCATTCTCTGCGGGCCGAGAACCTTCTCTATCTCTGCAGCCCCGATATCCATCACCAGTACTGAGCGAGACCTGCCATCTTCGTAGCGAAAGACGTGTACATGATGGAATACCCCCCTCAGTATCAGCAACACACCCAGCATCCTCACATGCAGGGAGGTTATCAAACGTCGCCTCAGAGTGCCGGTCCCGGTTCGCTCCAGTCTCCATCCGGCCCTCAATCGCATATGCAACAACACAACCCCAATCAAGCCTCTCCCATCCTCCCTTCCCAAAGCCAGAATCACTATCAACCTCAGTCGGCCGGTGGTGTCCATCAATCCATTGCTTATCCGCAATATGGTGTCGGTACGGGAATGACACAAGGCTATGGCATATCGCCGACTCAAGCTGCGGCCATGGCTACCGCGGCGGCATCAGGTGAGTCTACCCCTTCTCCCGTAGCATCTTGAGAATGATGGCGGTCCATTTTCTAACACTTGAATACAGGACAAATGCCGCCCCTGCCTTCCACTGTGAGCATGCCCCAAGCAGGACAGATGAACCAACAGAGACGCATGAGCCAACATATCACGAGTCCTCACGGCCAAGTCTCTCAGCCTGTCCTGAATCATAACATGCCACGACAATCGGTTCCTCCTACAATGCCTCCTCCGCAACAACCTGTACAGCCACCACAGGAAGAAATTGTAGCGGGAAGTGCAGAGGAGTCTCCATTGTATGTCAATGCGAAACAGTTCCATCGCATTCTCAAACGCCGTGTTGCTCGACAGAAGCTTGAAGAGCAGTTGAGGCTCACATCCAAAGGTCGTAAGCCGTACCTTCACGAGTCGAGACACAATCATGCTATGCGACGACCTCGTGGTCCCGGCGGTCGGTTCTTGACGGCCGATGAGGTTGCGGCATTGGAGAAGAATCAAGGTGAGGGCACCGAGAACGGAACGCCTGTGACCAAGAAAGCCGACAACGTGTCTTCGGGCACCAAGAGAAAGGCGGGCCCTTCCGACAACGAAACCCCGGTCAAGAGATCGAAGCTCGCCAGTGAGAGTGCCGAAGAAGAGGATGACGATGACGGTGAGGAGGACACGGGCTGAGCCTGATGTTTTCCGTAAGCCACATTGGACATTCTTTTCCCATCTCTTTCATTTGTCTTGCATACTAAGGGGGGGCCTGCCACTTTAGCAAGCGTTGTTTCGTCTGGGGATGGGAGAGAAGCATCGTCTGGGTGGGAGGTCTTTTGGATTTCAATGACTTGCTGGATCTCGCAGGGTTAATCCGTTCATCACCCTCAACTTTTCCTTTGTCCATCAATATCAAACATTACAGAGAGTATGGGCTCACGCCAGGACACGTCAAACCTATCGTCACCAGCTGACGAATTTTCATTTCCAATCTGCCTCCGACGCCCTGGGGTTGGCGGCAAAAGCTACCGTCTTCTCGTCACAACAACAAGAACCCGCCCGCCGCGACGACCAGCTGGCTACTATCAGACACCCGCATCATCTTTGATCACACCGCCTGTCGCTTCCGAACGCAATTTACTTTCCACTGTTGGTTTTAACGACCGAGACTTTTCTTTTTGCTACATATCCACGCACATACCATGGTGTCGAAATTAATGTATGTGGAATAGGCTTTGGAATGACCACGAAAAGAGGTGGCAACAGTGTTCGTGTCCCTTGCCGGGGTGACTCGAGTGCTCGCGTTGATCATGGGCTTTGCAAGAGACACAGACAGGGCTACGGGAACTCGACGCTGGGAAGCTGGGGAATTTAGAAACAAGGACTCACCTCACCGTGAAAAGGGACAAGGCAGTCAAAGCGAAACAATATGGGAAAATCGGAGGGAATTTTGAGCCTTTTTGCAGCACGAAAACCGGATGGGGGGATACATTGGGCGAGCGAGAATGACCAACGTGCACGCGCACAACCAATGGACGGCATCATTTTCTTTCTCTCCTTCGACTACTGGTTCGTGTTCATTGAGTGAGCCGAACCCATTTTGAAGCATCGACCATCGTTTTTATTACTCCTTCTTACACCATCATTGACGATCGTTGAACGAACCGGCCTGACGAATCTCCTTGTGCGAATCTGTGTCTTGCGTGCTTTTTTCGAGATGTATTTTGAACAGATTGCCTCTGCATGCTCGGTTGGTGGAAATCACAGGGATGGGGAGGCCCGGGAAGGGGACTTGGGAACCATGAATGGCAGGAAGAGAAAGGGTGCATTACAAACAGGGCTGGATCACCTGGGTTATGAGGAGTGAGAGGGACATGACTAGGCTGGGCTTGGTTGAGAGGTAGCAGAGGGATGCTGCCTGGTGCAGTGAAAGGACACGGCTGTTGAGGAGACGCCGAGAGGATGATAATCAGCGTTCTGCTTCTGGCCTTTTCCGCATGTCACACACCCTTGCCCACATGGTCTCTAGACGAGACTGGACATTGATGATGTTGGAATGCGAAAAGGGAGAGGAAGGCAGAAGGATAGATCGTTGTCGTCGTCGTCGTCGTCGTCGCGCTTGTGGTTATCGTTGTGATTGTCATTGTGGTTGTGGTTGTTGGTCGTGGATGTTGACGGCATTGACTTTGACTCGACTTTGAACTTTGACTTTTTTGACTTTGAAACTTGACTTGTACAGGGATCAGATTGGGGCTGGATGCTCGAAAGAATTAAGTAGTAGTGTCTGTCTTTTTCCTTTCTAGCTGAGCTACGAGCAGAAATTGTCAATCATATATGCTTTTTAATCACACATACTCATTCATACCCATGAGCCATAATCCATGCTCACTCCACGGTGGTGGCGATATTCGTGGTCTGTTCTGGTGGTTTGGTAGAGAGAGAGAGACCGGGAGAGAGGGATCATACATACATACATACATGCATATATACACCTCTTTCTCCTTTCTGTATAGAACCTCTCTCAGACGTCTATAGATTGATTTGACTTCCCTCTGTATATTGTACGAGTAGGTATAAATATATACATGGACAGGTGTCTTCTAGGAAGGCTCTAGTTAAGTATGTAGGTAGGTAGGTAGCTTCTTCTAAATATTCTAGATCTGTACTGTGCTGCTTGAGCTGCGTTGAACTGTACAGTGCTGGTGTGAAAGTCTGTGCTTGGTAGACGATGCCGCCGCCACCCTGAGTCGGTGCCATGCTAATAAACCCCAAATGCAAGCTAAACAAGCAAAGCTCTCGCCTCCCCTTTCCTCCTCTCTGAAATGATGCAAACCAGACGCAAAGACATTCCATGAAAAAAGCTCGCTGGTAATGTAAAGGACAGAGAGAGTCGTCCTCCAGCTATATGCACTGTCTGCATTTCCGAGCATACAGGCGACCGCCCAACCCCCTACAGCCTGGAACAACACCTGCTGAGGGAAGTCTCCGTGGGGAAAACATGCATCTGTCGTGACCATTTGCGTCCCAAACCACAGCACTTGAAGGTACATCATCGGACTCTGTGGTGGATGGTATTCGTAGTGATGCGTTCTTCTCGTATGATACTCGTCGAGTCTTCGACCAAGCTGGATGTCGGTAGATTGTAGTAGGTCGCCAACATTGAAATGCGACCATTTTGTCATGGCCTGTGCTGTCCAGTCGTTGCTCAAGTCCGCATGACCAAATCGATCGGACAAGACTTAGAAGACCCAGTTCTCGTCAACGGACTTGATCGCCCATTCGAACTTTTCACGAAGTGTCTTTGAGAAGAATTTCTCGATGGGAACATTGAATTTCTTGCTGAAAACCACCGTCAACCGTGGATCAATGTAGTTCTGCAAGAAAGATATGGTTAGCAAAGCCTGATTGACACGATAAGACCACGTGTGGTCCAACACTTACGATCTTTGAAGTTCCCAATGCCACCTCTTTGTTGTTCTCCTTGTCCTCCGCCTGGACGGACATGGTAGCAATCCTCGCGTCGAACTTCTTGACCTGCTCTTCCAATTTCTCAATTGTCGGAGACTTCCCTTCAGCCTCGACCTTCTTCGTCTTGTTCTCTTTCTGAAACCTCTTCTCCAGCTCCTTGACAGCCTTCAAGCGTTCTTCGAGCTCCTTCGGCTTCATCTCTTTCTCTCCTTCCGCTTTAAGCTTCTCATTATCCTTTTCGAATTTTTTGGTGATCTTAATCTTCTGTTCTTCCAACAAGAAAGCCTGGTGTTCCTGGATCCACGCCTCATCCAGGTCGTCGGGCAACTCGAAATACTCTGCGCCCTTCTTCTTCTTGATCTTCGAGTCGATGTCGAGCATCATTTGTTTGACTCGCCATTGCTGGTACTTGAGGCCTTTGATTCGGTCACTCAATTTCTCCATCTGATTCGCATGCCCGGCTGCCACTGTTCGCTTGTGGTTACAGAGAATTGCTACTCTTCGATTCGCGTCATTGTAATCCTTGATCTTTTCAGCAATTGTACCTTCAGATTTCATCTCGGAAAGGAGCTTGGCCATGGTGAAAGATGCGTTATAGGTACGGAAGACCTTGGCGGTCAAACCAGGCATGTAGTTCTTCAGGTGGTTGTTGAGTTGAGTCGTAGTGAGCCTGTCGAAGATGTCGTCTCCTTCACTCTTCGGCGGTTTCTTGAAGATTTTGAGATTCTTGAAGACCTGTGGGTCCACCTCGAACTCTTCATGGAAGCGAATGCTGTCTTTGCCCAGGAAGTCGAAGATAACCGTGTTCGGAGCTCGCAAGGTAATGTGCTCATATTTCAGAGAACAACAACCGACTGTCTCAGCCTCATCGTCGCCCTTTTCATTGCCGGCACGAAGAGCGAACTGATCGATGAGATACATGGCGGTTGCCTTTTGCCGATCTGCCATGAGTTCTGATTTGAGTTCCTTCCGATAATCTTTGCGAATTCGATCAATGTGCTTCTTCAGTTCACGAGCCTTCTCAAACTTCTTGTAATCGCTCTGGCCCTTGACGTCCGAGTTGGCAGCCAGCATGACATACTTGTAGTTGCCGTTGATGTTCTCCTGCCACATTGCCAGCCACGTCCCTTGCTTGTCGTGCTTGATTTCCTTCCATTTGTGGCCTTCAGGAGGAGTAGGGACGGTGGCTTCTTCACCAATGTTGAGCGTGATTTGTTCAGGCATAACCCTCGTCTTGACTTTGCCCGTCTTTGGATGATCACCTCGGCCGCGGAAAAGACCAGGAGGTTCAACTCGGAAGTTGCCAACCTTTTGTTTCTTGCCATCCCAGACGCAGTACATGTACGGCGCTTCGGCTTCGTCTTTTGCTATTTTGATAGCTTTCTTCTCCTCCTTGGACAGGGCCTTTTTCGCCGCCCTTTCCGCATCATAGTGGTCGAAGATTGGTCTGAAGTCGCATTTCGAGAATTCCTTGATTTCCACCTTCTCCCCATTTCTGTTCTTTGCACCGCCAGTCTTCTTTAGAATGTCCTTGAAGTCGCTGAAGAAGTTTTTCTGGAAGGTAGGATTTTCCACGTTGTGCGTCGAGTTGAGCATGCTACCAAAGAAACCGGCCACTTCCTCTGCATCAGGATGGAGGGTAATAGGTTCACCGTCGTATTTCATCTTGACATTTGGAGGAAGTGGTTGGTAAGGGGGTGGGAAGACGACACCATTGTGCTGCAAAGTCTCCCACTTGTTTGTTCCATCGCCCTTGGTTGGATCCTCCCACCATTTGACTTCGTCTTCTTCGTCGTCTTCCTCCTCGGGATCGGCACTCTCTTCCTTTTTGATTACCTTGGATTTCTTCGGAGAAGGAGGAGCTTCTATCTTAACCTTTTTAGTGGGTTTAGATGGTTCGGCTTTCGTTTTCTTGGTATCGGCTGTAGATGCACGTTTCGATAGAGGCTTTTCGTCGTCACTGGATTCTTCCTTTTTTACTCTCTTTGCCGGGACGGCCTTTTTGGGTGCCTTCCCAGTCTCCTTCTCCTCTTTTCGAATCTGCTTTGCTTCCTTTTCTGCTGCTTTTTCGATCTTCTGCTTTTGCTTGGCTAGCTTCTGGCCAAGAGGCACGTCTGAGTCGGACTCTTCACCAATTTGATGAGCCGAGACTCGAGGGGGCTTCTGCACAACTTTGCCGTTTGCCTTGGCCTTGGAAGCGAGAGGGGCGTCGTCGGAATCTGAATCAACAGCCGTTGAGATCTTTCTCTTTTTGCTCTGCATTTAGATCAGCCGGGATGTTCTCTCAAAAGGCAGAATCTGGAATTGTAGGGGTCGCATACCAGTGGTAAGTCGTCGTCGCTGCTTTCAGGCTCGGCGTAAGATGGTCGCGTGAGACTCTCCCTGACCTTGCGTTTTGCGGCAGCGACGCCATTGGGGATGCTATTCTTGTTGCCAGGTGGTGATAGCTCTTCTACCTTTACCTCACCATTGGCCATGGAAATACCCGGCATGACCTCGCCGTTGGTGGGAATCTGACGATCCATTGCAGCGTCAAGTGAGGACGGGATTTTGGAGGAAGATAGAGGAGGCGTGACTGCTTGTAGTGTCAGTTAGATGACAAATGTCGAGAAGCGAATAATAGAAAGTTGAGAAAAACAACGCGAACGAGGATGCCTGGAGCCGTTGGTTGCAATGGGGAGAGCGTACCTCCGTTTGTGCCGTTTACCCTCCTTGAACCCGCGAGGGGCATATCATCGTCGGAAGAATCCATGAGGCGCGTGGGATATGAGACGGAGCGCAGTGACCTCGCGAAAATAAAAGGTAGAGGTGGAACAGCAAATAATAGAGGTGGACGTGAGTAGGAATGTGAGGCAACGGATTGAAGTGACCTCCAAAACGCGCCTCGGAAAATCGGAATGGTGGGCGAGACCTCGATAGCGACGAAGGGGGACCGTGCCTGTGGTTGGTATTCCAGGAGGCGAGCGATGGAGATGCCGAAGAGTGACTGAGGAACAAGTTGAGTTGGTATTTAAGAGAGAGACAATGAGAGAAGAGGAAAGAAGAAGTGAAGGGAAAGGAATGAGAAGAATGGGAATGGGAATGGGCGAGGCCGAGTAGGAAAATAGAATGAGGGAAAGTCAGAGAGCAGCGCAGTCCACCACTTATCCACTCACTTCATTCGTGAGGCTCGTTCTGGGAGGGAAGAGGGAGAGGCAACAGGCAATGCCCACTTCCGATTCGGTTGTATCGACGATTTTGTTCTTCAAGAACACTAGTCCTAATTAGGCTAGCGTGTCTTCCCACCAGTGAAGCTCTGATCGGAACCTCAGTTTGTTCATTGACCAGCTGCCCTCGCACCACCCGAATCTCCTCTCCCTCAACATCCAGTCCATCTCTCCATCACATCACTGCTCCCTTACGGCCTCGTGGTCAGCCAAGTTGCACCATGATGCTGTCCAGAGCTGTGAGACCGGCCCTCGTGGCTGGCAATGCCGCCCTTGCAAAGTGAGTTCAATCGGGTGCAAAATCTCAGGAGCTAGAATAACCCTGACTGATCTATCACCAGGACGGCTGTTCCCCAGGTCGCCGGTTATGCCACGCTACGAGAAATCGAGAGTAAGGAATTTGAGACAGGAAGCTCGATTGCGATCGCTAACGGTGCGCAGGTCGTCTCAAGTCCATTCGAAACATTGAAAAGATCACAAAGACCATGAAAATCGTTGCCTCGACCAAGCTTACTCGTGCGCAAAAGGCCATGACCGAATCGAGATCCTATGGGCAAACGTCAAACAAGGTCTTTGAAGAGGCGGAAACCAAGCCATTGGAGGAGAAGAAGACACTGTTGGTTGTTGCCAGCTCCGACAAAGGCCTCTGCGGTGGTATTCATTCCGGAATGTCTCGTGCCGCTCGTCGAATGCTGGAGCAGGACCCCAACCTCGATATCGTCATCATTGGTGAAAAGTGCAAGGCCCAAATTGGTCGTTCCAACCCCAAGAATGTTTTGTTGAGCTTTGCTGGTATTGGAAGAGACGTGCCTACCTTTGCCGATGCCCAAGCTATTGCCGACCAACTCGTCCTGCTCCCGGAAGAATACGCCAGCGTCAAGATTCTCTACAACAAGTTCATCAACGCTCAGAGCTATGAACCTGTCACGGTCGAAGCATATTCCGAGGAGGCCATCACTCAATCTCCCAACTTTGCTGCTTTTGAGATTGATGACGAAGTTCTCGCCAACCTCCGAGAGTATGCCTTGGCGAACTCTCTCTACTGGGCACTTGCCGAAGGCCATGCCTGTGAACAGTCCGCCAGACGGAATGCTATGGATGTGAGTTGTCTGATATCTGACGTTGATACTTGCGCTGACATGAGGTTTCAACAGAACGCGTCCAAGAACGCCGGAGACATGATTGGCAGATTTACTATCTTGTACAACAGAACCCGACAAGCTGTCATTACCGGAGAACTGGTCGAGATTATCACTGGTGCCACTGCCTCGGAAGACATGTAGGCTTCGTTTCAAAAGAGAAAGTTGTACATAACTGCCCACCCTCAATTTTTTACTGTTATCAAAGAAGACTCTTCCAGATTTCATGCACGGCTTTTGTGTCAATGAGCATCTTCTCGTGGTGCAGGTGGCTTCTTGCGAAAGTCTTGACGTTGCTTACATTTGCCGCAGGTAATGCACTTGGTCGGCATTGTTTCCATCCTTTCCTGCCGTGCCGTGAATTGAATGAGATCCTTTGTTTACCGCTGCCTCACCAAGATCCCACACTAGTCACTACTGGGTGAATTCTCGCGTCTAACCAAAGTCATCAAGCCGAGCATTCCCCTGTCCCAGTTTTGAAACACCTTCATCAAATCTTGACATACTCCCATCAACATGAGCAGTGTTCATTGCGACGATGGCTTTTCGGACCACCAAATTTCCCAGGAAACACGACGATCACTTCGCATAGAGCAGTTCTCTCCCATCCGACGGGAAAAGGTCGAGACTTGGTTTGAAGGCCCAAGCAGATTCTGCTTATCACCCGACGCAGACGGCGAAGTTGAGGACTGGGTCGACGAGATTCCGGACGGACATGAGACTCCCGAAACGCATCCTGACGTGGGCCACTTACTCAGTAGTATCCCCGGCGCATGGATAGGCCCTTTCACGATTGCAAGTAATGGGGACGTCGAAACGTACAGCAGTGGTGCGCATGACGATGAAGAGCTCGGAGTTCGAAGGACACACAAATCTGCAACTCACGACAAGGGCGTCGCGTCTGTCGTCGACCACACCCAAAACCAAGTGTCGGTCCTCTTAATAATTGCCTGCGTCTCGACATGCGTCCTATTCATCAGCAACCCTCGTCAGTTCCTCGACCTTGTCCTCCTATGTCTTCTTTTCGCATCATTCCCTCACTTCGCCCGCCACTCGACATATTGCCTGCTTATTGCCATCACTTTCCCGGATTTGAAAGTCAAACTCAAGTGTGCGATGGTTTTCGGCTGCTTGGCCTTATGCGAAAGAATTGACTTATTGGATGCTGGGAGAGGGTGAGAGATATCAAAGAATCATGGCATCAGGATGAGGATGAGATGAGAATAGCGCCGAGCACTGGGGATGTTGGAGCTGCGGTCACCGGTAGCAAGAGGCGAAGGATATGTGCTGGGTTGTTTGGCGGAAGAGATGGTGCTGGGGTTTCATCACGCAGATCAGAAGATGGAATGGGAGGCAAGTCTCCAAGGACTCGAGGATGTCCAAGGGTGCTCTTGATCGTTGGCCGACGATATGATATCCATGGCCTCCTGTTAGTGCCTATCCTGGCAAGTGCTGTGCTTCAGAAGTCTGCCAGCTTCACCATCTGTCTCCCTGCTTTTCTTTGTTCGATTTGGAGTGATCAATTGTCCACAGCAGAAGGATATGCAGACAGACGCCGACTGCCTTGTCATGGCGCATCAAACGCGAGCTGCCTCTACCAAGGCAGCTCCGAGCGAACTGCCTGCTAACATCATACTGCCTTGGCCGGCTGGGGTTATTTCCCGCCACGGATTTGATCCCATTCTTACTTCTCAATCTATCACCAACACTCGGAAACCCCCATCACACGCATCTCCCGACCCAGACTTTCCCTCGGTGACTACACTTCCTCGACGCCGACGCCGCCATGCCGTACAAGATCCCACAAACCTACCTCGTCCCACGCAAGCGAAAGTGCGAGGAGGTCTCCCTTTATGAGGTGCCTGGAGGTGCCAAAATCGTTGCTCATTTCACCGTTGACGCATTCAATTGGCATTATCAAGACCAACGTGTGCCTCTCGTGCCGGACATACCGTACCCGATCCCCAAAGAGACTGGCTATGTCGGGTTTTTTCAGAGATGGCTTCATGCGGAGCCCGTGAACCCCACAAAGCAAGTTGCCTGGTTCTGGAATGCGCTCTTGTACACGGGAGATGCGATCCGCGAAAACCGCAGCAAGGGAGACCTGGCCGCTCTGCGTCCGCAGATCGAGGAGTTCCTCCAGCATGCCGACCGAGTCTATCAAGACATCATGACTGAATCAGTGTGCTCGCCCGTTCGGAACCATATGAAGAAGAACCCCCTAGCGAGGGCGTACCCTGTCTATCGCCAGGTCATCCTGAACCTGATCCCATCACCGCCACCACAACCACTACCACCACCATCGCTGTCGTCGGCACCGCTACTATTGCGAGACACTCAGCATGACAACTGCCCTGCAAGCCCTGTTACCCCTGCAACACCTACCACCCGCCGCCCCCAAGGCCTTTGGAAGCTCAGACTCTACCTCTCTGTCACCGTGACAATCTTCGCAGTGGCCCTCAAGGTTTTATTCGTCGTTGCCAATCTCTGTATGTTTTACGTCTATCTTGTGTCCGTGGCTCTTTATGCGCTGGGATTCTACACGATTTGCTCTCCCATTGGTCTTTGCGTCGTGATTTTGCCTCTGTTGTGGGTGACTGAGCGAGCGAGATGAGTGTGACGTGAGATGCGAAGCTCCTTTTCCGATGTCTGTGAAGAAATGTGTCTTTCCCGACAATGTGCATCGTTCCTATCTCATCTATGGTGAAGAGAAGTGAGTCCTGCTCACCAAGTTCAAAATCCATCTGCCTGTGCTGTCCGTGTTAGTGAGGTGTGGTGCGGTGCAGTGAAGTGCGTGAAGTCAGGCTAGCTGACGAACAAAACCCAGCAAATAATGCCCACAGCACAGATGTTTTTTTTTCTTATTGCTTTTTTTGGGCATCTCAGTAACAATGTTACGGATCGGGACAGAGGAAGGGAGGGGAGGGTCACAGGTCAATTCTGCAGGTTTCGTTCATCCAGGCAGGCATTGTTCGTCACCTGGACAAGGACAAAGACAAAGGAGATATGTGGGCGTGTGTTTCATTTCGGATCTCGGGTTTGTGGGAGTTATGTCATGTCAAAAGCACGGCCTGGGACACGGATCTAGATCCGGATATGGACAGGCATAGGGACTGAGACAGGAACAGACGCTCAGAATAATATGTTGGTCCATGGCGTCTATCGTCTAGATCCTACATACAATAGGATCCCATCAAAGTCCGAATGATGACCATCAATGCGAGCATGAATATGAATATGGATTCCCATGGCCATTAAATACCAAACCCATTCAAGATGAAACCCGATCAAGGCTTTACTTGCATTGTGGCATTCATTCTCTCATTCATCCATTCAGTTACTCACACTCCTATTCTCGCTCAGCCTTGCGCGACTCCAGCTATCATCACCACCAGCACTCCACAATCCTAACTCCCTCCGAACAACGACATTATTCGATCGATATTGGGTTATTATTCTTTCGTCGTCTGTACAAAAACCTGAATTCCAGGGTAGGCAGTCAAGTACGCAGGCAGGATGATAGGCAGGTCCGTAGACTTTGTCATGCATGCATGCGTGCGTGCGTGTTTGATCCGTCCAAGTCCAAGCAAACTTCTGTATTCTCCAGGTCTCCGGATGTCCAGGTCGCGATAGATCTCGCTGGCTCTGAATGGACCTTATTGAGGCAAACAATACAATACAATCGTGACAATTAACATGTGGTATTAACACACCTTTTGCCTTTTTCTTCTTCTTCTTTTCTCTCTTCCATACACTTACTTCCATCGTTCGATCTTGAGGGTGGTTCAAGTCATCTCCTTGCCTGAATCTCCAGAGCTCTTTCGCCTCTCTCAGGAATCTGCCACTCCATGGAGGACACACGCTCTGACGATACTCCCTCCAAATACGTCGTGCCGCAGCTGAGACAGTATCCCGCCAGAAAGCATCACGTCAGTCCAGCAGCAGAACTCCCGCTCGATTCCGCCAACGAGGCATCTCGCAACTTCGGAACCGGTACCGCCACAACCGACAGCCTGGAGTCAGCCTCGTCCCCTGCAGCCGATCCGGACGAGGAAATGGCTCACACCACGAAAGACACCGCGACACTCGTCACCTCGGCCCAAGCACCGGCAATGAAGACGATTTTCTCCCATGCAGACCACCCGCAACAACATCCAGTCATCGCATTCAAGAAGCTCTTGCCGACCAGTCTCAAAGCAGTCGACCCGGACTTTTACCTCGTCCTCTTCCAAGAGCAGCTCGCGGTGCAGACCAAGGAGATGACACTGGCGGCCAGGCGAACCGGCAACCCGCCTCACCACCTCGTCGCACCGCTTGCCTACATCCGAGCTTTGGCTCACACCGTCGATCGAATCAAACAGCCGCGACAAGACAATGTGTTGGTCACGCGAGCGCGGAAATGCGAACAGATCCAAAGCCTGCTTGACTCGCTCGGAGACGAAATCGAGGGGGCGTCGAACGACAACTCAGATTACCAAGACGACGGCCTTCAGTATCTCATCACCCGCTATGACTCTGATCTCCGAGGGCAACTCGAGGCGTTGAAGCCGCAGCCGGCTAGGAGTCGCGTCAGTTTTGGTACCGTCGTGATCTTGGTCGTTGTCCTGGCGTTGTTGACCTTCTCTAGGCCGTTCCTTCGAGTATTAGGGTCATGGGTTCTCAACGGCCTTGATGCCGAAGCAATTCTGCTTCTCGACACCTTTCCGAAAGGCCCAAGTGACAAAGATGCCTTCGCGACATAAGTGAGCAGGAGCACATCAGGGAGAAAGCGGCGCGATTTGCCCCGACTCGGAAGAAGGCATGGAGTGCGGCGAAATGGTGTGCCTGAGTTGCAACAACAAATGCAAACGATCGAGCTCGATGTCATAGGGGTACTGTCTGTGGCGTGTGGAACTGATGAGCTGGGGATTCCTTATTGGCAAGGCTTTGTGGTATCGTTACGTAGCATGTCCGTCAAGGTCAAACAGTCCGACTAGACTGGAGATCTAGGACAGTGTGAAAGAGTGCTGTGGGTGGGAGGCAAATGTGTTGGATCACGAGTGAAATGCTGGTTGGAATGAGCAAAGATCTGCATGTTTGTTGGTATCATCGGAGACAGCTGGCGAGAATGCAACATGCATTCAGTGTGCGGTCACATTTGCATTCTCTGAGAACATTTCATCGGCAGTCCGATTGGGAAAAGACTCGCCATATTTTCATCCGCTCGACTTCGCAGTGCCGCTTCTCCTGGGCTCCCTGCTGCTGTCGGTACTGTTCCTTTCCTGCTGTTGCTTCCAAACCTGATACCAAAAGTCCCCCTTTTTCTTGCTGCCTCTCCGTGCCACTTCAAGAAGTCGAGCCAGCACCCACTTCGGCTCGTCCTCCATGCTCATTAGAGGGCTTTCTTGTCCGAGCCAACTCCACTTCTGGTCGTCCTTCTCCCTCACTGGAGCAGCAACATTGGCGTCGTACTCCCACGGGTGTCTATGGCCGACTGGAAACGATTCGTCCTCGTAGATGAGTTTCAAGAACCACGTCCATTCCTCGTACGTGTATTTCCTCGGGGGTTGCGCATCGAGGTGTTGTACAACATTCTGCATCTCGCGCAAAAGTATGTGAAGTCTGTATGCAGACAAGAGCGCCTGCGCTTCTTTCTCGTCTTCTGGCTTTGCATCTGTTCCCGGGGCATTGTTTTGCTCCCGCCCACCCAGTGCCTGGATCACCTTGGCGACGTTCGGATCGTCAAAGTCGTACTCAACAGCGGCTTCATCGTCCATGAACCCTGGTGGCTTTGCTTCCTGGAAAGCACCTTGTCGATTCCGTTTCTTCTCTGCCGCTGCCTTTGCCCCCCTTAGTATACTCAGGCTCTCAGGTGCATGTTTACTGAGCCATAATGTTGTAGAAGCTACGATATCGGAGATGGTGTCCCCGATGGCGCCAATCAGGACGGTCAGTGTCGGGAGTGCAATCAATGACCAGAAGACAAAAGCAGGCTTGCCAGAATTTGTTTGAGGGTAAAAGTCGCCATATCCGATCGTCAAAAGAGCCACATAGGTGAAGTACAAAGCCTCGAAATACGACCAATTTTCCCCGCCAGTGGCAGACTCCGCTTGCCAGAAAACCACTGCGCCAATGAACCATAGAATGAAAAAAGAAGTGCCGGAAATCGAAAGGGCGATCAGCCGATTGGTGCGCGCCGCTTGTTTCTGGACGTCACGCATGATTTGGAACTCAAGCTTGCGGCGATCGAGTTCTGACCCACGCCGATCGCCATCGAGTTTTTGGCATCCAGCGCCCTGAGGTGCGAGCTTGGTAGTCTCACTATTGCCTGAATTGAGCACTTTATGACGTGCCTTCTCGACCATTCGAGTGGAAATCTTGCGAGAGCCCGATTCGAGGACAAGCGTGCGGATTGAAGCGATGATCAGACCGACGAAAAGGATACCGCCAATCGCCATGGGAAAGAACAACGACCGCCCCAAATGTGTGACAGGATGATAGTCTCCGAGTCCAATTGTAAACAAAGTCACATTGACAAAGTAGACGGCATCGAGGAAATCCCAGTTTTCGATTCGAGAGTAGACTGCGCCTGCGGCAAGCAGGTAGCTGACAAAGAGGATAGTCTGGAGCATGAGCGAGCGCTGAGACATGGTCAATTTGAACGATCGGCTAAATTGTGGCGCCCGGTATCGCAGGTTGACGTGGGTGACGAGAAGCATGGACGCGAGAATGAAATAAATGACGCAAGCGAAGATGGCATAGTAGAATGCTTGAGAGTATGTTGCCAGAGTGTCGGCCGGCAACGGCAATTGTTCCGGAGTTGCAGCAATTATGCCTAGCAGGAGCAGGGAACTGGTGTACCAGCCAGCAATGGTGATGGGAGAAGCTCGTTGGTGCGAGATTCGGTCCGTCATTTGAGCCAACAGTGCTAGATTCGCAAGGATGGCAGTGGCGAGGCTGACACCGTTGACAGAGAGGAGCCAGCGAGGATCGGAAATGTGTGTGCCCTCTGACTCCGTCGAACTTGAGCTGAGAGTCGTCCGCCAGTCAATGGCAAGGGCACAAATGTTGAAAGTTGAGGCCAGGGGTCCGAATGTCCCAGCGATGAGCGGAAACAGTGTTGACACCATCCACCAGCTGATAGGAGCCTGGGAAGATTGATGAGCGTGTTGTTTAGGCATGACTCGAATAAAGACAATCCTCTTGGTCATGGCAAGAGAGCAGCAGCACTCACATTGAAATCTGCTACAGCATCCTCCTCGTCCTCATGGATGTATTGTTTTGCCTTTTCAGGCTTTGGGGTATTGATTACACCATTCGGCCGCGGCGTACTAGGACCGTGAGGACCGCTGGCATCGTGGTCAGTATGTTCAGTGCCGGCGCTTGGTTCATCCATCTGTTAGGGAATCGAGGTTTGGAAGATAGAGGCTGAATAGACTGGAAGCCATCACAGGAAAGGTATATCAAGGTTGGCGGTGCGTAAAGCTGGCACTGCCACTGTCGTCATTGTGCGAAAATGTAGAGCCTTGCAGATGATCGTCGCTGAAAAGGAGACAACCTTGTGGCGATGTGTCGGAGGACGTTGCATTCCCGACACAATAAGCCATCTGGGAGACATGGCACAACAAGGTTACGAAGAGACTAGTAGGCATTTGCCCTGCGCTTTCCGCTAAGGCTTTAGCATAAATATCTGTGGTGACAATAGTGATGAGTCTTTTGGTGGTTGAGATTGGAATGGGCAAAGGGAGGAAATAATCACGTGAACAAGAGCTGGAGGAATGTTACGTCATAGTGGGGCCACACTATCTTATCACGTGTCATACCTACCTTACCTATTCCGGCATATCAACAGACGTCCCCCTTTCTCACTGAAGAGTCTCTCTCGTCTTAAAGCAGTATGAATCTCTTCACTGTTGACATCTAGACAAATATCGATAGTAGCCCTCTCATTTTTGCGACCTTGTTTTTGGTTAAACAGCAGTTCCTGTGACACAGCCTTGTGCAAGCCTGCAGGTCTCTCCTCCCACTAAGACGCGACAATGCGTCTCTATCCTAATAAAAACTGTTTGTGTGATTATTCCACTCAATGGCGCACCTGGCGTCGTTATACCTGGCTTCTTCGTCAGTTTTATCGCCGGACGCTTCACTGTTTGTTTTCCTCCGGGTGTGCCCCCGCGACCCAGCTTCACTCTCTTTCACTATAGCACTCTGCCATTCTGCACTCCTCTGTTTACAAACGCGACAGGCATACATCACTCTGACTTGCGCCTCTGCCTATTGCTAATGCCAAGAAGTTGAGATGTGTACGCTGCGTGTCCAAGGCAGTGCGTCAGCCTGCCGCATCGCGTCTTTTATATATCTGTCCTACCTTTGATCTTTAATATTTTCTTCTTCAGATCTCTTCTATCATTCAAACAAAAAAGACAACATCGATACCCATCTTTGCAGTCCTCACAGCTTTGAAAGATATTGGTCTCTTGCCCCTCTATCTTAGCATACTCATATCAACATGTCTTCAGCAAACGTCACTCAGTTTGTCAACACACTGCGTGAGCAGACACGCCGGTTCATCGCTGAACTTCCTGATCGGTCATTCATGCTCCCAGAGATACCACCCATGGTTACTGTAGGTTACCCCCATCTACTGCAATGTTCTGCATGACATCTTGTCCATCTCTTAAGATTTTACGTTATGAGGCCTGCTTCTGCTGTGTGACTATTTGTGAATCAACTCACTAACTTCATGGAAATGTAGGATGATGAAGACCTTGTTGTAGCAAATCTACGTCTTGTTCTCCGCTACTTGAAGCAAGTCAACAAGTTGTGCAAACGTCAAGCCGCCACTGACTCCTCTATGAAAGTCTTGCAGCATCGTGCTTTAGTCAAGCAATTTCATGATGTAGGTGATTGGTCTGCAAAGCTTCCACCACCTTTTGAAACACCTGAAGCTGTGAAGGAAGTGCCGAGACAGACCCCTGCAGAGGAGAGATTGAAACGATTGATGAGTATACCTTGGCCAACCAAGCATCCATCCACCCCTGCCACAACCCAGAGCGCCAGTACTAGTTTGCCTCTCCCTGATGCCGGTGGCTGCAAAGAGGAGACAGCAAGCACTCCTGCCCTGCCAGAAGAAGTTGGCGCGTGTGAGGGAAAGACTGTCGCGCGTGACACTATCCAGAATGAACCAGACGCCACTTCCCGAATTGACAACAACATTCCGAGTGAAAACTGTGCAAAGGCTGACACAAGCAGTGATGCTAGTATTGCCTTCAAATTCCAGGGAACAGACAGTGATATTGCTAAGGCTGACTCACCACCACCACCACCAAGTGAACTCCGGTCGTTTCACTTCAGACACGCATCAGACCCGCTCCAGGTGAAGACCTCCGAGATCAACAACTACGCGCACCAAAAGAATCGCGCCGTCTCACTTCCAATCACATGCGAGGATTCGATGCAGTCTTGCTTCTTGCGCTGGAGTGGCGAGACTCTGGAGGAATTCATCCGTGGTGTGGAAGTCGACGACGCCAAACATGCCAACAAGCAGAGATGGCTGTTCCTCATTCAACAACCTGACGCTGTTGCATTCCTCGGCAGGTGGCCTTCTCCAGCCCAATTGAAGGATTTCATGCAGATGCATCATCTTGAGTGGGTCGTTCGAGTGCGTGGCAAGTGGGATTGGGAGTCCAAGCCAGCCGCTGTTCAAGAGTCGGCTGATCGTGATGCAAACAGCGCTGAAGAGCTTCCTGTCGAGGGTGACATCGTCAACAGCGTAGAGCAAGACACTGTTGACCAAGCTGCTGTTGGTCAGGACGGCGTTGAGAGCGGCAAGGTGGCGGACCCTGCTGAGTGCAATGACGAGAACAGTGTCATCAGCCCTGTCGAACCGACCGAGGACGCTGCCAAGAATACTTCCGATGACGAGCAACCAGTCCTCGACACCCCAGAGATCAATGAGGCACCATCAGAAGATGTTGTGACAGACACTACTGCGAACTATGCTGAGAGCAGTGCCGTTGACCCTGCCACACCAGTGCAAGATGCTCCTAAGGACATTCCCAACGACGAACAACCAGCTCTTGACGACTCGGATGTTAACGAGTTGCCATCAGAAGATCTGGTTACGGAGGAAACTACTGAGAACAACAAGGAGATCAATGAGTCACCGTCAGAAAATACCGTGGCAGACACTCCTGAAAACGATGGCGAGAGCAGTGCCTGTGACCACACCACACTGGTTCAGGATGCTCCTAAGGATACTCTCGACGATGAACACCCTGTCCCTGATGACTCGGATATGAACGAGTCCTCACTAGAGGATCCTGTTGCGGAAGAACCAACTACTGGGAATTGCAACGAGAATAACGACGAGAACAACGAGATCACTGACGAACAACCAGCTCTTGACGACTCGGATGTAAATGAGTCTACATCAGAAGACCTTGTTACGGAGAAGGCTCCTGAGGGTAACGATGAGATCAACGACGAGAAGATTGAGACGAACGATGAACAACTAGTCCTTGATAAGTCGGATGCGAACGAGTCCCCACCAGAAGATCCGGTTACGGAAGAATTTACTGAGAGCTGCAACGAGATTAACGACGATCAACCGGCTCTTGGTGACACCGAAACAAATGAGTCTACATCAGACCACCTTGTTGCAGAGAAACCTTCTGAGAGCAACAACGAGATCAACGAGATCAACGACAAAGAAGCAGTCCTTGAGAACTCGGATATAAACGAGTGCTCATCAGAAGACACGATTACGGAAGAACCCACTGAGAACACCATTGAGGAGAACGATCAGAACAGTGTCTTTAGCCCTCTCGCATTGGCACAGGACATTACTCAGGACATTTCTATCGACGAACAACCGGCTCTTGATGACTCGGATACCAACGAATCTACACCAGAAGAGGTCATTGTAGAGGATCCTACTGAGAACGACGGCGAGAACAGTGTCATCTACCTTGGAGCACTGGTTCAGGACGCTACCAAGGACATTTCCACCAACGACCAACCAGCTCTTAACAACTCGGATATAAACGAGCATACACCACAAGACCCTACCGTGGAGGAATCTATCGAGGACAACTACGAGAACAACACTCAGAACAACGACGAGAACAATGTCTTCAGTCCCGTCGCACTTGTACAGGACTCTACCAAGGACATCTACCACGAACAACCAGCTGTTGACACCTCCGATATAAACGCATCTGCATCTGAAGATCTCGTTGTGGCGAAACCAGGTGACGCAGTCGCGGACAGTCCTCCTTGGTCCACCACAGCCATCATTACCGGCGTCGCAGCGTCAGCAATCACCGCTTGCACCTTCTGCCCACCGCTCTGTGTTATGATGCTCTATGTCGGCATATCGTATGCTAGGGCTAAATTGTGGCAATGAACGGTCTCCATCACCATCAGCGAGATTTCAAACCCCCGAGTTCTTTGTTCTATGTTGGTCCGGAGAATGTGTTGAGTTGTTCAGTTTACAAAGTCACGCGTGCATTTTAGGAAAACACGGTTGTGTTGTTAATACGATTAATGGCTGGCAGTGTTCAGTGTTGGGCACGATGCATCCCCGCTACCAGGTCGACGAAGTGGCTGGAGCTTAGGGAGGGAGCGGGTCCTGGTTGTCTGATAAATGATTTTGAGAGAGTATCGAGTCTCTGACCGGCAGGAACCGAGTGATCAATAATGCAATAATGGGAACGGAGAGGTCAACAAAAGCACATTGGGTTTACGGAAATGGTTTCAAATTGTGGAATTTGCTTGAATTGGATGAAATCCAGGTATTGGAGTTGGCAAAGCAGGCGCAGCAAAAGCTGATCACCAATGTTCATACATAGATATCAGCAGAGGATGAGGCTGCGGGTTCACCACCACCAACTTGGATGTGTGTATGTATAGTCCATAAGTCCTTAGCCTGCTCGAGAATAAGAGGGGTTTCAAAAGCGCAGAGTCTGTGTTAATAGTGCTTCCAATTATGTCGCCGCTCCAAGAGTGACTTGGATCAACGGTCGTTTGTGGTCCTCGTCACGCCCAGTCGTGATGGATATAGCACCCCATCGAATAACAGCCAGCTAAATCTCACCTCCGTGCCCCGAACTCGCTATGTGATGTTCAACCAATACCTCAGCTCTCTCTCCCCCTCACTGGCCACAGACTGTCCAAGGTTTCGTAGGTCAGATACCCCCATGAAGAAGTGCCATCGACGTGAAGGCCTCTCAGCCCTGGTGAATACGTAGCGTCCCTCCATTCGAGAGCCGCATCACTCGATCGCCATCCCCCATTCCAAAGCCGCCTCCCACAAAATCATCGTCGAAGTCACTGTAGTCATCATCGTCATCGTAGCCTTCGTCAGGATCTAGACGATGGCCACCTGACCCTCCACCTCGGCGAGGCGGAGCCCCGAATTCGTTGTCGACCACGATAGCCCCTCCGTGTCGCGTGATTCTGACACCGCCTCCGCCACCACCACCTCGTCGAGGTCCTCCCTCTCGTCTCCGTGGCGGTCGACCGCCAGAAGGGCCCATCGTGTCAAAATCATCGTCGTCGTCGAACTCGTCAAAGAGCCAGGCGGGGACATCGTCAAATTCCACGCCTGGGGGAAACCGACGTCGTGTCCGGCGAGGTCCTCTACCGAGCGGATCGTCTCGAGAACCTGTAAGTGGTCTTCTTCGGAATAAACCGCCTCCAAAGCCGTCGAGATCGTCAGAGTAGTAGTCTTCGTCGTCGAAGTCAAAGGCGAAATCCTCCACACCCTGACCTGCTGCGCTGCGCGTCACGGGGTCGCCACTACTAGCGACCAGCCGGCCGTTATTCCACACCTCGAAGCCACTGCCGTTGGCAGCGCTCCATGCGTTAGCACTGACATCGGCGTTATTGTTGTTGTTTCCTCGGGAACCTATTCCGCGACCTCCTCTGCCGCCCCGTCTAGGGCCATTTGGCCATCCGGATACTGGATCGGGATAAAATTCTGGTCCTTCCACCTCGCCCAGGTTGCCGTGTCCGAAGTATCCTGGCAGTTGACCGGCTCCGTCTCCCTGGTGGTCCTCGCCACACGTACTGCAGCTGCGGTCGCGAGGCGGACGTGGTCGTCTGCCGGGTGGGCGGCCGCGTCTGGGCATATCGAAAGGAGCGGTGCTGCTGTTTTCGCGTCTTTACGAACAGGTAGGTTGATTGACGATAGGTGGTCTTCACGCGTGCCTACCGCAAGGTAGATGGGGAACCAAGGATGGGAGGATTGATGGACGATTTGGTTCAGACATATTTATGCAGAGTTTCGTCATGTCACTCCCGCAGTGTCGTGACAATCTGTGCTTCGCCTTGGGACAAATGTGAAATGTTGTGGATCTATCACTCCACGCGTTGCAACAAACAAGACTAAGAGTCAAACAAAGTGACAGAAGGAGAGAGCTCATGGGTAACAGGGTGTTGAAGCACCACGCACAGTCTTGGAGTAATTTACCCAAAGTTTTGTGAAAGACCGAAATCCCATATGCCTTGAGTGAGTATCAAGGACCAGGAGGGGTCAGCCCCCTTTCACATTCAGCCTCGCCCGTCCGTAATGGGGGCTCAGATCCAGAGGTACAAGATTTCCCACGACACTTGCGGTATAATATTTTATGAAGCTCTCAGATCACTCTCCAGGCTCCTTCATCACGAGTTGTCATGAAGTCCATGGCTTGTGTCTGCTTCGGTAACGTCCACAGGAAACTTGTCATGGGCACAAGGCTCAATCCGCCACTTGTCGTGCAGAGTGGTCGCGGATCACGAAAGTCCAAGAAAAGAACAAGGACTTTTTTGTCCGTAAATATACGTATCACAGAGTGATATCTTGAAAAGAAGACACAAAGCGAACAAAAAGTTCTGGTCTGGAGACAAAGGCTGGAACTGATATTCCGGGACACGACCTCAGTGCCTGATAAGGCTAGATGCCAAGATAGCCAAGCCGCTAACCTCTTCAAGACGAACAATCAATAAAGATTCAGCTTTACCGCAACTTCATCCCAGCTCAACATACAAGGAAACTTGTCCTTCATCCTTGTTGGATTCTGCACCGAATCCTCAGATCAACATACTTCTTCCGTGATGCTTGAGCCGCGAGCGGCGCGTCAGCTGTGAGGTGCATACCACAGAAAAGTTCTACGCATGGCCCCCAGTCAGTTCACCCTGGGAGACCCTGGGAGACTCTGGAAGGTTGAAGGAAACTGCGGCCATGGATGCCTTCGACATGCAGCACTCACAACAGACTGAAGTAGTCTTCCTTATCAGCGGCCCTTACAGTGTTTCTGGGCTAAACGTGTCCCTTCATCGGGGCGCAACCCGACCGCCGCTGGTGGCACAAAGGCTGAAGGCTTCTATTTCCCATGGCGCCTTCCCTCGAAAAATTCAACAGACGTTGAATCAGCAGATATGCCACGTTTGATTCCGGCTCTAGACCTCAAGATCAGCAGTCGATGGCCTGTTGCCACCATAAATGTTTCACACGCATGAACAGATGAGGAATAGTCCTGGGTTGCTGCCACACATGCCTACTTGAGGACTTCAAGCTTCCTATGAGCTAGTGCAGCACAAAGATCATTAGTATGTCTCTTCCAACACTATCCGCAACATCAATGTTTACTGTTGGACCATCGTGTAGATTCTAACCACTGCTAGATAGCTTAACGAGCTATATATATATCCTCTATATGACCTTCCAGATCGCCGACCATCCTGCAAGAGCAGCATCTCTTCAGCATAGAGTCAACGCGCCGAGGCTCTGTGATGCCCATCATGTACAGAATCGATTCCTGTCTAGCTGAGTTTTGCAAGCCTGGGTATGGTCTCAGCCAAGACATTGACTACCAAATGATCATGGACGGCAATGCCTCGATGACCCTCTACATGGCCGTGGACAATGGGGCAGCTTCTAGAGCCCAATGGTCCCCCCGAAAGTCGACACCATCACCAAGCCATGGCTGGCGAGGACGGGCCTAGGCATTGCCCCTCCCAGAATAGTCCTATCGAACGCCCTGCGAGCCATTGTTTACTGACTCCGACAACAAAGAGACAATCTGGACTCTCGCCCTGTCCATGAACAATGAGCAATTTATCTCGTTGGTGCTTTTCATCGTTGATCATTGTTTCACTCATAGTCTACTCCGACAAAGACCTTTGAAAACCGGTTTATCGGAGGACCATCCATGCTCTATGAATAGCTCCTGATACCTCTTTGTTGAACTAGTAGACCTCACAAGTACTTAAAGCCGTCTCGATCTTTGGTCCGCTGAGAGGCCTACCAATAACTCATGTTTCACAGCTTGACAATCGTGCAAATCAGAAGCATTCAAAACAAAAATGGACCAAATTGACTGGATCTGGCTCATGCAGATTGCGCCGCGGTGGTGGCAGAATATCTGCTTTCATCTGGCGGCTTTCGGGCACGCGATAGACGCAGATCTGGTGGATGAGGAAGATATCGAATCGATTCGGGATTTCGCCCGCGCCATGCCCACTAACTTGTCACTGGTTGAACAGGACGATTTCTGCGGTCTCTTCTGTCACGCCTTGCACGGGCAGTACGAGAATCGTATCCCACTCATGATGCTCTTCAGAGACAACCTCTCCCAATCCACAGATCCTCTCAGCAATGACCCCTCCCTCGAAATCGTCCGGGATTTCGCAAGCGAGGGAATTGATTACCTGGCGGACATGGATCGTATCCAGACCGAGATCGAAAATTTCAGCGCCAACCTAGAGGCGACTCAAGAGGCGACTCAAGACCTGAAGGATATATGGATTGTGCGTTTCAAGTGGAGTATTGACCATTCGCGAGCAAACTTTCCTCAGATTATGGGACTTTTCCAAGGTTATTTGGAGAGAGAGCCCACGGCGGTGCCACCAGATTCAAGACTTCATTTTGTGCAGTACACACATCACTTGACCGCTCCAATGTGGGAGCGCATCTATCAGGCACGACCGAACCTGATTCCACAAGCGCAATTTGCTCCGCCACTGGTAGAAGCGCGGGCGTTTGTCTGGGCTGTGGAGATCCCTCCGTGGTTTGAGACCGCCATGTACGTGGAACGATTGTGGCCGGAGAGACGACTTCTGGAGAGTGAGGCAGCTCAAAGCTCACGCGCTCTCCTAGACGCTTGCGATTATGCATATGATATGCTCAATCTGCAAGTTGCCACGAACGATGTTACCGAGAGAGTTCAGTCCATTATCAACGAATTCTTGCTTGAAGTACCCGCTGACAATGCAGGGCGCAACGCTATCGACCTCCTCAATCAAAGCATGGTGGAACTGAAGAGTATGTATTTCTTGCAAGAGCAAGACACTAGCGATTTCTCCCTTGAGGATGTGCTTGTCATCCGTGAACGGCTTGAGAGGGAAGAAGGGATGCTCGACCAAGTCCGAGCCCGCAACTTCCAAGCCGAGCGTTATCTGTTGGCCAAGGAGGCCTCGATGCTGGCCGATGGCGAGAATTTCTTGGCTGCCGCCTTGCGGTATGAACGGTGCAAATATCGGGAGTTTTTCAGGTCGGCCGTCGCCACCTTGAAGACAGAACGACTGAAGGAGGTCGACTACACGGAGGACATCCTCCACTCATGGGATGCTGGAGCAGAACCACTAGTTGTGCCGGCCCCCTTCGACGAAGACCATACGATATGTCCCATTTGCCATGAGGATCTCCCAGCCGAGCCAGTGGTGACGCGTTGTTGCCGGAGACCGTTCCATACCCAATGCTTGCTTTCTTGGCTCCTTCAACAGTTGCATAGCGAGGATAGCATGACCTGCCCGCTGTGCAGAGCTGAGGTCAATTATGCCTCCCTTGCAGATGTCTTGGAAACGGAGGTGAGACGAATGGACATTTTGTGATTTTTGGACAAAGGTAAGTTTATCTTACGCCAGTGTTTTTTTTTTTTTGTTTGGCTAGTATGAAGCTTTTATGAGGCTGGTCCTCGAGCTGATGGCCGGGGCGTTATGCTGAGTTGGTAAGAATGTTAGTCCTGGTTCTCTTTCATTGATGCGACGCGTTTGATTCTTTGTTCATATCTAATATCGTTTCCTGCCTCAAAACCTAATAAAATCGCCCCGTTTATTCTCGGGCTGGTCACAATCTATTCTCTTCAATTCCTATCATGATAGTCGTTCACTCGTTCATTGTGTCTAAGCAAAGGGAGTCTACAGGCAGCCTCCAGGTCTAATCCCACTACCTTTTAAGTATCACTACAAATTCCTACATGTATATTAATCAAAAGATACTCTATGAGTTCAAAATCCAAATGGCAAGGCTAGATCGAATATTTGATCGAACAAGGCTGAATGTCCCTACGCAAGGCACTGCCTCTGATTGGCTCTGAGGGAGCCTCGTCCGCGTGCCAAGAACACAACTACGAGAGCGAGGTAATCCGACGCCGTCTTCCACATTGATATCACCCGATAACCGTGTACAAGTGTATACGTAGTCATTCGCGAATAGCCTTTGACAGAGGAGAACATCGGGATCCAACTTTTCGAAGCGAGAGAAGAAGCGATACAGAAATAGACTGGCGAATCAATACCAAAAACTTGGCCTCATAAATCGACAAAGTGACAAAAGGACGCTATCAACTGGAAAGAATCCGCGGCACAGAGGCGTCCGCGCAGCTCTGAATTCGGAATCGGACACTTATAGATCCCAGCATTTGACCGCTCAGACTGCCACAAGGTGTATAAAAAAGGGGGGGGTGGACATCCGGCCCCGACTCCTATCCACAATGACGCCGCCAACACTCCCACTGGTCCCGTCCCAATCGCCCTCTCGACAAGCAACACTCCTCCCCCTCGAACCACTGACACCGGCAGCATTCTCCGCCTTCGGCACCGCCATATCCCCGCCCTTTGACTCGTCGTTGACGACGCCCCCGCGCTCAGCCGCGTCCATCCCCGTCCCGCTCCACGCGCCGCACCAGCCTGCGCCGGTGTTTGCGAACCAGAATTCCGCGCTGAAGACGTCCCCAATCTCGCAGTTCACTAACAACTACCCCGCCGCCCCGGCGCCGGCCTCACAGCCCCAGATGAGCATGTTCTCGTGCTTCCCGCGGAACCTGAGCGGGATCGGGATCGAGACGGCCCCGTCGTCGTCGTCATCTGGCGAAACCATCTTCCGCGTCTCCATCCTCGAGCGACACCCGTACACGACCCAGACGTTCTGCCCGCTCGGTCTCTCTGCCGCGGACTCATCATCGGCCGTGTTTCTCGTCGTCGTGGCGCCCTCGCTACCCGGTTCGACCACGGCCACCACCCTCACACCCGGCGCCGGCGGAGTGACCGTCGCCAATCCCCCGGATCTCACCCGTCTGCGCGCCTTCATCGCTAGAGGCGACCAGGCCGTCACGTATGCCCCCGGCACATGGCACGCGCCCATGGTCGTGCTGGGCCAGCGACGGGTCGATTTCCTCGTCACGCAGTTTGTCAACGGCGTGGCGGAGGACGATTGTCAGGAGGTGTTACTGGGGCGGAATCACGTCGGGGTGGACTTGAGTCGGCTGGGGTTGCTGGGTGGGGATGGAAATGGAAATAAGGCGAGAGGGCCAAAGTTATAAGGCTCATTTTCTGTTAAAAGGGGCTTGGGCAGCATTGTGGCAGTGGACATGTCTCGACAGCATCAGGCAGTCGACTGTGGGAGATGTTCTTTTCTTCTTCTGCATGGACATGCCGCCAAAACGGACATACTCAAGGGGGTATCATTTGCCAATCCAAAGCAAACACTGATAACACGATCCGGCTATCGATCGCCATCGCAAAAACGCCACCGTTGGCGGCATTTTCCAGATGAGGAGAGCTTGATATCCAAAGCCGACCTAGCCAGTAATGGAGGGTTGAATACGAGCGTCACTTTCCCCCTTCAAGCTTCGTCACTAACCTCTTCATGCCCACCCACTCATCCATGCTTGCCTCGCCGTTCCCGCATTGCAGGCCCTTGCCGACGTCGAATACAGTAACGACGCCATCGAGCCCGCCAACGGCCATGTGGCTACCTCGTTTCTCCTCCCACGCTACCTTGTTCAGCCCCTTAAATGGGACCACCCCGTTCTTCCCCCTTGTGGGACTTACTTTGGCAATAGGGACTTCCAGGTCATAGCTGAGGTCAAACACCTCCAACTCTCCCGCACCAGTGACGCAAGCGAAAACTGACGGCTTATGCGGCGCCCATTTTGCATCGTAGACGAGGTCTTCTCTTGCAAGGTTGAGGATGGGGCTCAGAACTGTTGGCGCCGCCCCTCCTGCTGCTATAGTCGAGGCACTCGTGCTAGAACTTGCAGCGGGCTTCACCCGCCACAATTTGACAGACCAGTCAGAGCTGGAACTCAGCAGTAGATCCCCTAGATCAACGGGACCTCGCGCAGGGTGAAACTGCGAGGACATAACAGGTGCCGTGTGTCCTTTGTAGGCCACGCGAGTGTCCACGCCCGCTTGAGCCCCGGCACGATCATACCGGTGGCATGGGTAAATAGTGCCTTCTTCGGTGCCGACAAGGAAGAAGGTGGGGTCTGCGGCGGGAAAACTCATGCTTGTAGGAGCAAGGTCGTCAGTTTTAGCCGGGGCTGGGGTGTTGAGGACGAGATATTCTTGGGCTTGTGTGAGCATGTCCACCGACCACGAGCAGACAACGCCGTCCATCGAGGCAGTGATGATGTTATGAGCATTGGGCGTCCCCACGACACTTATGCTGTAGACTGGGTGCGTGTGGCCCAAGTGGGATCCAGATTGTGGCGTTTTCTGGACTGGTTGCCCTGTACGTCCCGAGGTTCTAGTATCCCACAGGCATATTTGACCAGAATAGCAGCCGCCAATGACGAGATTAGGATGAAACGGTGAGAAACGAGCCGACAGAACGTCGGACGACGCCGTGAAAACGTACTCCGGTCGAGACGGTGCATGAGTATTCCACAGCAGAACCAGACCGGCCGGTTCATGAGGGGCAGAAGGATTTTTGGTGTATGAAGACAAGAGAAGTTCATTAAAGTGGGGAGAGAACTGAATATCCGAGACAATGCGTCTTCGTGTGTATCGGTCGGAGAACAACTGAAAAGACTCGCGTACAGAATGGGACTTTTTGCCGGTTCGTGAATAAGGAGTAGCATCATTGTCGTCATCGTCATCAAGCGTTGATGTACGGGTATAGTCTGCCAGCAGATCATACTCGTCGTCGATATCGAGGGCACGCTCAATGACTTTTGAAGAACGCTCGACGAAGGAAACGAATTCGGGCGAGGCAACCACGGCATTGAGCTCAGTATTGGTGAGCGTGCGCAGGGGAAAGCGGTGCTGCTGATGAGAACCGGTCGATAATGAGATTATAGATTCCCGATTGCGCGTGGCTTGTAACTCTTCCTCAATTTCCTTCCGCAGTGCCAACCGGATTTCTTCATCCCTCTCTTGGTCCCGCCGGCTGAGCCGTTTTCTCTGTCGCAATGATAGCTCATCATCGTCGGATGGTTCTTGTGATTTAACGGGTTCTTCGAGGTATGGTTCAGTCTGCACGCCCTTGGTGTACGTGATATACTCCTTTTTCGAAGGGATAGGCTCATGGGCGGAAGCGTCGACTTCATTAGGGAACGAAGTATCCGTGCTCTCGGTCTGCGTGGCTATTGATTGCATCAACCTCCTTGGCGATGGTTCGACATCTTGCTGGGGACTGAGTTGTCCTGTGCCCTGAATTGAACTAGGTCGACTAGCACGTCTGCTGGGCGATGCGGCCACATCTTTGTCTCGTTGCCGATCGATTAGACTGGAGACGAGGTGATCGATCTCGGACCTGCGCTCCTCGGCGGTTTTGCCAGGTGAAGGGGCCTAGTGATGGTGAGCGTGGACTTCAATTGAGGCTAATAGGTCCATACCTCCCCAATACTCTGCCGACTCGACGTATACTGTTCCTGGCGCAGCTCCCTCTGTCGCCGTAGCTCCGCAAGGCGAGCCTTCTTGGCCAATAGCTCGTCCTTACGCGATGACATGGTGAACTGAAATTCGGGGTGCCGATGGGCACTAGATAGAAACGGTTGAGAGAGCGGAGGATGAAGTGTGCGCGTATCGAGAATCGCGCAATCACGTGACCAAGAAATCCAAAAAGACGCAGGGATAAGCTCGGTCTTCCCAAGAAACAATTTGCAGCTTCAACTATCCGCAGCAGCCATTTTCAGATTCTCTCGACGCCACAGTCGTTCTCAAGCAGAAGTGAACGGCTCAAGGAAATTAGTCGCATACTCGAGCTCTGATAGTCGGGCTCTAGCTTTTGCGGCTCAGGTGCGGCTCAGTCACAATGTCAACATCCCAAGGAGTTAATGTACGCACCTTCCAATGGCCCAACATTTCGAGATGCTCGATCGATGGGGTTTTGCTGCGTCACAAACGAATTGCTGATTATATACAGGTACTCCGGTGGTCAGCTCTCGTTGCCGGTATTTTCTACGGATTTTCGCATCAAAGAACCATCAATGCACATTCTGCAGCTGCACGCGAGAAGGCCGAATACGATCACAAAGCCGAATTAATACAAAAAGCCAAGCTGGAATGGGCGAAGAAGACGCTGCCTCCTCAAGCCAAGACGGCCAGTGATGACAGTATGTGAACACTACGATCTGACTGCAGCTCATAGACCTGTGAAGCCATGGGACTGACAAGGAAATAGTCATTACGGATCCCAATGACAAGAATTTCGATCTCGAGGCATACCTAACAAAGCTTTCCGCAGAAAGCTGAGCAACGACGCCGGGCAACGGAGCGAGGTGACCTAAAAGCAGGGGATGGGTGGTATCTCGAAAAGCTTGGAGAAACCAACAATAGACACGGGCGTTGATTCGAGTTGATACCCAAGTGATTCTGGTTCTAGGGATGGCGGACGCTACCCTTGCACCAGAATGAAAGCGCTGGCGGATCGCATACAACTTGTACATACTGGTTGAAGGCACGCGCTGTTCTAATCTGTGCTGCATGTAAAATCATGATCCAATTGACAAGAAAAGAGGAAATGTGTCTGTTTGCCTGCTGATACCTTTCGCCAACCAGACCGTTGCCTTTTTCCAAACGATCGTATATGGGAAGCAAGACCAGAGTGGGATATTACACTGCGCCAAACCATTTTCACTGAGATGGCCGGCTCGTCGAACAGAAGTACCTGGCCCAGGTACAGCTTCCGGAAGCTCTCAGATCTTTGTTGACACCGCTGTGTGCTTTGCAGCTACTACAATGTTTACCGCCCCCGTTAAATACAACAGCATAAAATACCCGGCCTCTCTGCACGAAGCATATTTCCTAGCAAGGCATGTGCCATAAACTTCAGCAAGCATCAACGGGCGGAGTCTGCAGCCTTCATGTCCAATAGACGCTCGAGTGACCCTCAAATAGGGACAATTGAATCAGGTGGTCTGTGATCCTGACGAAAGGATCCAGTCAGAACCTATGCACTACCCTCCTTCATGATCTCCGCATACCAAGTATGTACGGATGCGTCTGGAGGGAACGAAGGCAGTGAAGCAGTATCTGCCAGTCAGGGTCGCTTTCAATTGATTTTAGTGGATAATGTCCGTCTCAAGCACAATCACGTGATGACACGGAAGCTTCAGAAAAAAGTACAACAGGATGAATGGAGTGATACACTTTTCACACCAGGACCCATGCGGAAGAAGCCTGCGACTCATGTCTGGTTGGATGACACCCCCCTGATTGTTCCCCTCAGGTGTCACATTTTCACTGGGTCAACGGAGACTGGAACCGTCACTCGCAAACGCAATCCAGCCCATCTGTCCGATCGATCTCTGGTCAGACGCCAAAATTCTCGACAACTGAACGAGAGACTGTTCTTGAGAACATGCAGGGACAGGGCGGCAACGGTAACGGCCCTTTCTGCCTTGCGAACACGACAGCTTGACCCAGATCATACAGCATGGGCTGCCTGTTCCTGAGTGTCGTCTTGAACAAGAAGGGTGGCAAGAGTTGCCACTGCGCACCAATTCCGGCATGGAGCTAACAGTGGATAGGACGATGGTGCAAAGACCTTTTTGGACCGCCAACTGGAGACGGCGATTCGGAACCGCAAACTGAATCACCGCTTTTCTCCTCCCTGTCCTTGTTGAACGCCCCTTGGGAGCTTGCAACGATTCGAGCTCCTCCCAGCCACCACTTTGGGCTTTGATCCCACCCTTCCCCCGTCAAACCTTTCTGCTCGTCGAATGAGAAGCCACGCTCCACGGACAAACACCGTACTAGAGTGCCAGAAAAGAGCTAGACTCCAGAAGTTTGATGGCAAGTCACAGGAGGGTGTCAATACGCTATACTCTTCATTATTTGTGCGCATACATGAAGCTATGACGAAAAGCAGCCTGTCCATGGACGATCGGCGCCCTCAAAGACCCTGATGCAATTCCTGCTCAGGCAGAGAGATATTGCAACAAGTCCCGAGATCGAATCTACGAATTGTATTGGCGCCAACCCCGCAAAGATTCGTCTTCCGAGAAGGCCGTGCCCAGAGGCGGTTCTGCATCATGCCAACCAGCCCAAGGAGCTGGTCCTCCCAAGACGCTTTGGGATGCATCCATTTTGGGTGTTGCAGAATCCCAAAGCTCTTGGCCTAATATTCTCACATGCCCGTGCCCTTCGTGGCCCCAAAAACTCCGAAGGAAACATCCTGGAATAGAACTGGTCGATCGGAGGTCGATGATCGTCAAGCGCTTGTTCAAAGTCAAGCAAACAAAACAACAATCCCGTCACATCGCCGGCGCCTTTCCTACCCCAGTATTTCCCCGCAGCTCGGGTACCAGTTCAGTCTGTTAGTCACCGTCCTAGTGTCGAGCTTGAAGGCGCCGCCTCGTCTGATCATTGGCGGAGAGTCTACACACCTTGAGTTGTATTCTGGAGATTGGGCTTGATCCAGGTCAATAGTACCCTGTCTGCCTCTGCGAGTGGTGTGTTTCTGGCCAGGACCCTTGCTTGTCCGCTCTGTCAAGTATCTGGCTCAATTTCGCGGCTTGCTACAAGTGTATTTGTGCATAAGTCTCCACCAAGCACACAACGATGGCGTTCGGTTGAGCGGGTTAGGGGCTCTCCTCTCCACCGAGAGGAGAATCATCGATCGAGCTCTGTGACGCGACCATCATGATGGCATATATTATTTGGATCCCTCCCTGCTCATTCTCATGGGACAGAAGGATCTTTGTGTGCTTGTGTTCCTTGCTACAGCCTCTGCAAAGCTTTCTTCCACTTTGAAACTAGGCCGAGTCCTTTGACCCTTGACCTTATACCTGCGGGCAGCATCTATACCTTGTACTGATCCAAAGTTCTTCCCTCAAGCATAGAACATTGTCAACATGGCCGCCAACGTTCCCGACGTCGAGAAGGATCATGCCGGTAGCGACTCTGTCAACGGCAAATATGACCTTCACCACGACCACCACAACGAGGAGTCTGCACTTAGAAGAATCCGGACGGCCGGAAGCATTTCCATCACACCAGAGCTCTTCGAGAAGATCTACTTGTCACCCAAGAACCGCGTCTCTAACAACATTCGGTCAACCTTTGGTAACCCGACTCCTCTGTATGTGTTCCGGCCTCTCTTCTGTTGATTCCACCCACTGACCAAAGTTTAGTGCTCTCGTCGGATTTCTGCTGTCTTTGACTCCTCTTTCGAATGTCCTCCTGGGATGGCGAGGAGCTGGTGGCCTCGGCGCGGCTGAAGTGTAAGTACTGAACAGCACCTTGGGATAATGTCTCAATCTGACGGTGGATGCGCAGGGGCGTCTACTACTTCTTCGGCGGTCTGCTCATGGTGTTGGGTGCCTTCTTGGAATTCATCCTGGGCAACACCTTCCCCTTCGTCGTCTTCGGCTCCTTTGGCGCTTTCTGGCTCTCATTCGGAGCGACTCTGACACCATATTTCAACGCATCCATCGCCTACGATCCTACAAACCCAGCACAGTCGTCCTCAGATCCGGTGTTCGGTTCTACATTCGCCTTCTTCCATGTTTACATGTCGGTGTTGTGCTTTATCTACTTCATCATCGCCCTCCGAACCAACCTCGTCTTCGTGCTCATCTTTGCCCTGCTCGTTGCCGCCTTTGCATGTCTGGCAGAATTCTTTTTCGAGATTGGCGAGGGAAAGGTCAACCTCACGATGCAACACTCGGCCGGAGGGATCACGTTCGCCGTGTGTCTGCTGGGCTGGTACCTCTTCTTCGTGCAACTTCTTGCTGCTGTTGACTTCCCTCTCAACCTCCCTGTGGGCGACCTCAGCCGATACATCAGGGGCGCAAGTGAGAGGGCTGAGAAGACCGAGTGAACGAATCGCAGCTGTGAGGGGGTCTGTGCATAATCAGAACTGGTGAGACGAAGCATGATGGGTGGGATCGGCGTGTGTTGGCAAGGCATGGACCGGAAAATTCTTTTGCAGAAGGTTGGGAGGACTGCATGGGGTTCCAGTCTCCCGCAGCTGCAGAACTGTTGGGTAGTAAAGCAATGAGAAGACGACAGAAGGTTTAGTTCCGACTCATTACGATACGACAGCTGTTTTGAGCAAAAATTATATGTTTTTAATCTGTGAATGTAACGCAAAGGAATCTTCAATGTATCCAATCTGTACAAGTGCACAAAGACTGTCTGCGACAACTTCGTTGTGGCAACCTGACGTCGAGAAGGTCTTGCAACGAGGCTGTGCGAGGTATACGGCGTAGGGGACGGTGAGGAAGCATTAGGAGGATTCAAGCCCATTGCAGAGGTTCCGAACAGCTGCAGGAGGATGCTGTACAACGCACCCGGATAGCTTGGATTGTGCAGACAGCAGCGGGGGAGGGCATGACCCGGACCGAACACTGCATTGTCCAGGTCCAGAGCAATCATTCCACCCGTATCGGGAGAAAAGGAGAGCGGATCAACGACCAAGTTTGGATGTCGCCATCCCAATTTCCTCTCGTCCGGAGCGAGGCTGATTGGGCTTCGAGGCTTCCCGACACAAGTGTACCTCGTACCTAGCGAGAACCTTTGTTAGACCTGCCAAAAACAAAATCCTGACAGGGCTCCCAACCCTACCTCATACACAGCATGTTACCGCAAAGTGACGCTAGGTCATGCTTGACTCACCGAAGCTCAGGTCCTGAAACACACCGCTGACGAACCCCGTCGCAATAAACTAGGAGTTTGGCGGATTCTCGTAAGGCGCGGAAGCGGACTTCCAGGGCTAGACAACGGGTGGATTCGTGGTTGCATTTTCAGTCCCTCTAGCCGCTCTGCTGGGGCTTGGAAGCTTGGGGGTTAGGCATAAAGGCAATGCTGCGGAATGAATCCACATGCTGGAGGCCTGTCGTTTCGCGGGAGGAATGAGGGATGGAGCTCGGGTCAAATGTACGGATTACAGAGTATGGGGTATAGAGGACTTGATGTGGAATATGGGCGTTGAGTCTGGAACAATACGGAGTCAGGATCATGGAGCATCGACTTGCACATGCGCTGCGCTTCAAGGCAGTTTCTACTCGGTATTTGTGCAGTTATGACGGCGGAAAGTTGTTCCGATCCGGTGCCAAGCATCGCGAGACTCACCGCCAGCCTTCAATCCAGCCACGCAGCCACGCAACTTGCCAGACGTTACAACTTCTCTGAGATGCCCATCATTCGCTCAATTTCTGCTGGCATTCTGAGACCGGCAGCCTAAAAGGGTCATAGCAGCTCTTCCACCTCGAAAGCTGATTGGCAGGATAGGTTGTTATTGTATCTTCACCGCATGGTCGGGATTCAAATTTGGGCCACACCCTTCTTGACGTCCATCCTATCTGGAACTTTATCAAGATTGGCCTTTGGGAAGCCTGGCCTTGGTCCTCGAAGCAGACTCTGTGGGACCATAGTTCGCAATATGGCAACCACCATTCACACTCCTCGTGATCCCAACACCCTTTCCAACTACAATAATTGGCGGACACTCCACACCTCCACCAGCTTGGACATCTTGTTCGACAAGCAGAAATTGAAGGGCAGCGTCGTCCACAGCTTCGAGTCCATCACGGATGGCGACAGTGATGAGATCTTGCTCGACACCAGCCATGTGCAAATCCACAGCATCAAGGCAGATGGTAAACCAGCCGAGTGGGAATTGCTCAAGCGGGTTGAGCCATACGGCAGTCCCTTGAAGATTAAGCTCGGTCGGAAGCCACAATTGAACGAGAAGATTGACATCGAAATCAACTTAGAAACGACGTCCGCCTGCACCGCATTGCAATGGCTGACTCCGGCCCAAACTTCCAATAAGAAACATCCGTATATGTTTTCACAATGTCAAGCCATACACGCTCGGTCCATTTTCCCTTGTCAGGATACCCCGGATGTCAAAGCACCATTCGATTTCCTGATCAAGTCGCCCCTGCCGGTTATCGCATCCGGCATTGGGGCCAAAGACAATCCGGTGTGCCCGTCCCGCGATGGGTCCTCTCAGCTATACAAATTCCACCAGAAGGTACCCATTCCCTCGTATTTGTTTGCTCTCGCTAGCGGTGACATTGCTACCGCCAATGTAGGCCCTCGGAGCCTTGTTGCTACCGGCCCTGATGAGCTCAAAGAGTGTAAATGGGAATTGGAAGAGGATACAGAGAAGTTCTTGAAAGCGGGCGAGTCGCTCGTCTACCCTTATGCGTGGGGTGAGTACAATGTCCTCGTTCTCCCGCCGTCATTCCCCTATGGGGGCATGGAAAACCCCGTCTATACATTCGCTACGCCTACTATTATATCCGGGGACCGTCAAAATGTCGATGTGATTGCTCACGAATTGTCGCACTCCTGGTCTGGGAACCTTGTCTCCAATGCGTCATGGGAACACTTTTGGCTGAATGAAGGCTGGACGACTTACCTCGAACGGCGCATCCAAGCCATCGTGCATGGTGGCGACCAGTGGCGCGATTTCTCAGCGGTTATAGGGTGGAAGGCGCTTGAGCAATCCATCAGTGAACAGTTTGGCGAGCAACATGAATTTACGAAGCTTGTCATCGACTTGAAGGGCAAGGACCCTGACGATGCATTCTCGAGCATTCCGTACGAAAAGGGTTTCATTTTCTTGTACTACATTGAGAAACTGATCTCCAAGGAGGAATTTGACAAATTCATCCCTCATTATTTTGAGACGTGGCGGGGCAAATCACTCGACAGCTATGACTTCAAGCAGACACTGCTCGACTTCTTCAAGTCCAACAAGACGGTCTCGCAAAAGCTAGCTACCATTGATTGGGATACCTGGTTCTACAAGCCCGGTTACCCGCCCAAGCCTGACTTTGACACGTCGCTCGTCGATCAATGCTACCGGCTTGCTGATCAGTGGGAGAAATTCACCAAGAACCCCAACCCTGATTTTGGACCCAGCAAATTCGACATTGATGGCTGGTCGGCGAACCAGATTGTCGTCTTTCTCGAGAAACTGCTCACGTTCGCGGACAAGTTGCCTCAGCCGCACGTCAACTACATGGGTTTCATCTACGACCTGAAGGAGACGCGAAACGTCGAGATCTCGGCTCGGTACTACCAAGTCGCGATGAAGGCTGGGGACTGGACGATCAAGGGATTTGTCACGAAGCTCCTAGGGGAAGTGGGCAGGATGAAGTTTGTCCGGCCGCTGTACAAGGGGTTGATGAAGATGGACTATCAGCTGGCGGTTGAGACCTTTGAGAAGAACAAGGACTTTTATCACCCGATCTGCCGAGGTCTCGTGGCCAAGGATCTGTTTGGGAGTAAACAGGAGCAAAAGTAGGGTATGCGTGTGGTGAGCAGTTCTGCGCGATACAAGCACGCCACGCACAACGCCAGGGAAAGACGCCGGGCAATAAATCGCATGGGCATGGGCACGGGCATGGGTATGGGAATAGGAGACTTGTAGCCAGATCTGCCGGATATACGTGTCTTGTCAATGTATATTCATTCACGTACTATATCACTACTATCTCGAGAAGAAGCTGGGACAAGAAATACGAGCAAGTAGTAGAGATTACAGGTCCTGCACGTTGTCATCAGAACCGCCCGCTCCCTGCCCGAATATATATGTAGCTCATACATGTACTGTGTATGCTTGTATGTATTATGTAAGTGTTTATATAATATCTATCTGTACAATCTGTATAATGTATGTAAACGTATATGTGCTGCGTACCTGAAAAACTTTTGATCTCTTCTGGAGGAAGAGAATCGCACACGAAGCCACGCTCATGCTCATGCCCATCCACGCTGATGCTGATGCTGATGCCATCCATGAAAAAAAAAGACGCCGCGCTATGCTGTGATATGCTGTGCTATGCTCTGAACGTGACCATGGAAAGAAATATGCCGGGGGTATCAAAAGGACTGCATGCTCTCCCCAATCATCCCACAATCATCTCTTACTCAAGCAAGACACCTGGGATCACATGCAATTCCGGTCCGAAGAAGAAGAAGAGGGCGATTATGACGACGACGACGAATGATGCTCCTTCATCCGCACCATCAGGATCCGGAGAACCTCGTCTTCCCAATCGCTCAGGTCGAGCCACTCGGGCACGATCATGCGGTCCTTGGAGATGAAGATGCTCTCGCCCTCGACGACCTCCTCGCCGAGTTCTCTCTCCTCCCTGGATTTCTGCCGCGCCGTCATGGATTGGTGTGTCTCGGTGCCGACTAGTCGAGGAACCCTGTCGGTCGACGAATAGGTCACCGCGCGACTCAGAGTCCGCATGATCTCGGGCGATGACCCGTGTCCGTAGCTGTCAGCGCCGCCTCCCTCGGTAGTGGTGTCTGAGAGGTCCTCGCTGTCCGCCCCGCCAGGCAACGATCGCCGTTTGGTGCCCGTCTCGACATCCCCTCCAAGCCCTTCAGTCTCCAACTTCCTCGCCAGCCTCGTTTGCCTCCTCTGTTCCCTGAGGTGTTTCAGATCGACCGGCGTCCACCAGTACACCGGGTAGCGTCTCCCGGAGAGATTGTTCACCACAAGCGCGCTGGCCAGCATCAACATAGCCGCCAGCAGCACGAGGGGCAATAGCCACCATCCCAAGTCTTGGATCTCCTGGTTCGTCGCCGCCAGTAGCGCAGTGGCGCCCGCGGGTGGGTGGATGGTTTTGGTGAAGCTCATTACAATGGATGCGCATCCGACCGCGAGCGCGCCGGCGGCCCACCTCTGCTCTTCGAATCGGTCTGGCGGCAGCAACAAAAATAGCTTGGTGATGCCCACTCCAATGACGGCTGCTAAGAAGTGTCCGAAAATCAGGTTTCTCGGCTGGGCCAGCGGTGATTCAATGGTATTGTACTCCAAGATGGCTGCAGCACCGAATGACGCGATGACGATGGGTACCGTGTGTCCCGACAACTGGGGAAGGGCGAGGAAGACATTTTCGATGATGGCGACGCCACAGAAGGCACCGACTAGGATCGACAGGTAGAGAAAGAAGGTGTGGAGGTGGTAGGTATAGAACCATTCCGACGGGTGGAAGTATTCAAGGTACGACTTGGGGAGGAAACAGAGACACGGGTGATGTGCGATGGTGGACGAAGGGGTGCGGTAGCCGAACCAGTACGAAATCCAGGGAGGCAGGAATCGCAAAGGATTGCGAGGAATCCAGGGATTGAGGTAGTTGTCTATGTCGAATGGTGACCTGGGCTTCGAAGCGGCCTTGGGGGTGGGATTTGATGGATGGGGCTTGATTGAGCCATTGGCATCCGTTTGAGGCATGGTTCACAGTAACGCTGATGTTTCGACACAGAGACGACAGTCCTCCTGGTTTTTCTCTCGAAGAGGCGTCTTGCTTGACTTTTGCCAATGCCCGAGACCAAGGGCCAGCAAAGGCTTTACATATACCTCTACATGGCATTGTGAAACCAACTTCCGCGGCCAGAGTTCCGGCGAGTCGGGTAAACGATGGAACTGGGTTTGAGAAAGCAGCGGGAGACAGTCAAACGGATCAGATCAGATCCAAGGGCACCCATCAACCCATCAACCTACCGAATTGTAATGAGCCGCGGAGTTCCTGAATATCGACCCAAGGAAAAAACAGCAAGAGGAGCACGGGAGACACACGCGAGAGACATGCTTCGCCGCCTCAAACGGGTCTCGAGGCACGAGCGAGCCCCCTTTCCTGCATGCAGCGTCACGGAGTGTGCATTTTCTGGCTGACAGAAACGCTGTCTGTCTAGTGTTACATGAGAGAAATATGATGACTGGTAGATCCGAGTTAATTGTAGTCATGAAAATTCCAGGATGGGCTTGTCAAGTGCCCAATGGTGGATAGAGAATCTAGGCTGAAGAGGGTAAAGAGATCTCTGGGGTATCCGGGTCAGTAAAGCAGCAACATAGCTATAGGGAGGGTCGTTTCCATAGTGGATGTGAAAGGGTCATGGACGACGTTGTCAAGCTTTGTTGGTGTGAGGAAAAAGTTCTGACAATGTCCGGCTGTGAATACTACCGAGATTAGAGCGGCGGAAAGCACTAGAGCAGCGACACGGCCAGTAACAAAGCAGCAGGTCACCAATCAATTGCTCTTTGTTCAGCCGGAATGCATGGCCGCCATAATTTTGCAGTGATTTTGCACAATGACGTCGCTGAGCCACTAACTGCATCCAATGATGGAAAAAGCAGCAACTTCCGGCACCAACCAACGGCAAGTTACGATGATGTAATGCCATATGCCATCTTGCGTGACAGCACGTGATGTTGATACTCTATGCCACGTGACTGCGTGCCTGCGCCCTCACATTTTAGTCTCGATTATTCCTTTCGTCTTCGGTGTCCCACGACCACTACACCTTCACCTTCGCCAACTCACTTCGCACAGGGATATTATGCTCAGGGTGTGGCTCTGGAAATCCTTCGACACGAACCCCCTTCCTGAACATCAAGCAATGTGTCGATCCTCCGAAATGGAACATGCCAATCTCGTCGCCCTTCTTCACATGCTGACCCTCCTTGACCGTGATTTCGCAAGTCGATACTTCGCACATACCGATACCTAGAAACGCCATGAGCCCAATAGTTGGATTGTCTGCTTCAAAGAACATGATCGCCCGTGTGGCCGTGGCCGTCAAATATCCTTGACTGGTGACTTCACCCTCAGGATCCGCAGGGTGGTCGGGTTTGAAGTCTTCGAACAAAGGCTCTGAATAGTAGGTCCCGTCCACCACGTATGCTTTGACCAGTTTGCCGGAGACAGGTGCATGCCAGCGATGATAGCTCAATGCGCTAAGAAAAGCTTGGTATACGGTCCCTCCAACGAACTGGTCCGCCCAGGGATCCTGTGCCAACATGTCGATCACTGAATACGGCTGTCCCTTGAGCCAGAAATGGTCTCGCGCCTTGACGTCGCGCGCCACCTTGAATGTCTTGGATTCGCACGCGTTTGCAATCACATTGTCGTCCTCGGGACTGGCCACCGGCCGTGCCTCCTCCTTGAAGAGCCGCGTGAAGAAATCATCCCAGGATTTGTAACCCATGTGAGGCTTTGATGGATCGCACTGGAACAATTCCTCAAACTTGTAACCTGTGTTGCCCAAATTGGCTGTCGTGGTGAGCTCCTCCTGGCCATGCGGACCAAACCAGCTCCCTTGAGCGTCTTTCTCCAGGACCTTTGCCGATTCTGGAGAGCGAAGAAAGTCTCCCCATGCATTGAGGACTTTCTTCAACATTTTGTTTACGTCTGGGTCAAGAAACACGGCGTACCCCGAAGCTGTTCCCATGGGCCAATCGAAGAGGGCGTTGAACGGAAGACCCACCAGTCCAGTGCGCGCCGAACTCTCGGACCATGATGGCGGCGTGGTCAATATGTAATTGATGACACGAAGCATATGGATATAGTCGCGGACCTGGGGATGTCCCTCTCCGCGAGGGTCGTTGTTGTAGGGCTCCTTCTTAGGGACCTGCTCAAACATGGACTCAAAGAGCATGTACACTCGAGTGTTGTTTTCGATCAACTCCTTGAATTCGACCAAGACCGGGTGAAGATCTTTGGGGTTCTGGTCCACCTCTTGGATGACGCCACCGAGCCATTCTCGGTGAACATCGTGATCGGGGAGCCAGTCTCCGACCTTCTTCCGTCTGCGTGTTTAAGATGTCAATGACTGTCAGACACGGTTCACGCCAGTTGAGTTGCTGGTCGTAATGGGGGTATACGGGGTTTTCTTACCTGTGTTGACGATCGTTCTTCATGCCGAAACGGTGGGAGGTGGTGAAGTGCTCTATAGCTCAACTGGCGGAGAAAATTACTAGGTAATGATGAGTGTGTCTCTCACAGAGTAGATATAACGGCAGGTGCGGTACCAATACTTGGTGGTTGTGCTGGTGGCATGTCACGACTTGCGTAATCGTCCCCAACATTCAATACGTCACCGACCAGGTCCATCTCCACCTACTCATCATTGTATACCTACCGACTCGCCGAGTACACGTATACATATATCACGGAAAGAAGACGAGAATAATAGAACAAGCGAGACTTGACAGTAGTCGTATGCCTACCTACCTAGGTAGTAGTATAGGGTACGAGGATCTAGGGAGGTAGCACCATTCCTCTCTCGTTTGGAGAGGTAGGTAATTCATTACGAGGTACATACCTCGATATCTGGGTAAGTGCTTAGGTAGGCGGATAGGTCAATATATTTTCTATGCCTCTCCGCTGAAGGACCCTTGTTGATATAACCTTGTGCCATCCCATCACTAGATCCCATATCCAGAGGGAGGTTGGTAGACAGAGAGAATGTGTGTTCGTGCGCCGTGCTTTTTCCGTACAGTTCCTGCTGCACAATTCCATTTCCATTTCCTTTTTTGGTCGATAAACACAACCCAGCCTAGCCATTCCCTCAAAAACTCCATAACCCCCGATGATGTCCTTTGACACCTTCGCCAGTTTATCTCAAGTGTATCTTATCTTACATCCCCGTAAAAAAAAAACACCATGGCACCTTTTTTTTTTGGAACAAGGAGATAAAACAGTCATGTCGGCTTTTGGTCCAATAGCCAAAAATCCCTGGTGCTCATGTCACTTCATCATCTTCAAAACAATCAATCAGCTCCAATTCTGCCAAACACACTCACATCCTCCAGTCCCCCCGTCGATACCGCCTGCTTCCTGGTCGAATCCAGTGTCGTCGCTGATGGTGCCATTCACAAGACCTGGCGCCGCGTTGATCAAGGTCCCTGAAACACTTCTGAACTCTGGCACGATCGTCTTGATATCGGACTGGATAACCTGCAGTTGGTCTACGCCGTAACAATACACTGCTTTCTTGTTGATGTTGCCCCCGTGTCGGTCAAAACTGATCGTCGTCGGGTACGGAAATGAGCCTGGTCGGCTGAAATCGGTTGCTGAATTGCTGCTCCCTACGTCGGTCGAGTTGGTCCCATTTGAGGCGGCAGGGAGAAGCGTTGCGCCAAAGGCTGGGTTGGTCCACATGCGGACCAGGAACCTCGTTTGACTAAAGGTGCACCGCAGTCGGGACTGATCGCGAGTGGAACCCCCGTTTTCGTCCTCGGGGTCAATTCCATTGTTGTCTGTAAATTCCGAGGTGTTCAAGGCTGCCGTCGAATGCAAGAAAATGGCCTTGTCGTAGTAGATGTAGAAGCCGTAGTGCTCGTCCGCTTGACCTCTGTTGTACAGTTTCATCGGCTGAGATGAAGGGTACGGATCGTTAGGGAGGAGGTTGGCAGGCGCAGCACTCCCGTCGCTCAGGACGTCGGGCGCCGGAATGGCATCTGAGGAATTCGTCGACTGACGCCTTCGAAGCTTGGAGCCTGTCGGGCTAGATGCCGTGGCGGTTGTATTTGAAGGGTCGATAGGAAACACTGGAATGAATGTAATATAGAAAGGCGTCTGCTCCCCCTCGAACGGCTTCGTGATGTTGTCGGTCGTGTTGCCCATGAAGATTTGGTCCGCTCGGCTTGGTGGCGTCGGGTTGGGATCAAACAGATCGTTTGTAAACGGATTGTCCGCCCTCTTGCGCAGGCGCCGCTCTGACCTCTTCCTGAGCTCTTGTATGGGTACCGTCATATTCGCTGGTACAGTGCCGTTTCGAAAGTTGATCTCGAATCGAAAGTTCGGCTGGTCCGGAGAGTTGGGAGCAACCTCGAACTGCTCCTCTTTGGGCAGAGCACAGCTCCACATTGTGTTGGGTCCCACACATTGGGACTGCTGCTTGACGACATCAGGTCTGGCTATGGTGGATATGCCCGTGGGAATGGGAGGATAACCGGTAAGATTCAGCCACTGGCTCTGTACAGGAGTGCTGTCGCCTGTCCTTGTGAGGAAGGTGGCTAGGAGAACACACACTAGGACGATGATAAATAGGATGATGCCAATGACGAGTGTCCATCGACGTTTCTTTTTCTTGTCCGCGTCGTCCTTGTTGCCCGCCTTTTTTCGACGAAGAAGCCCTTTAACTCTGGTCATCAGACTTGCCTTTTTGGGGGTTTCTGATTCGTGAGAAACTGGCATTTCTTGCCTTATGACTTCCTGCTTTTGGCTGACTTCTTGGGTCGAGGTGGTAGATTCAAGCCGCTCCATGGCATCTCTTCTCGCTTCCCGAACAGTGTTGTCGTCTCCATTTGCGAATGTTTCGCTATAAAACGCATGGTTATGAATCGTGACTGACGGTGGCTGCGTTGGCGCTGCCGCTTGTGGCTGGTCTGATGGTGTGGTTTGCTCCAACGAACGTGGTTGGCTGGGTTGGTAGTCGACTTGTGTCATT